CTTTTGAGATGCGGAATTTCGCATCAAACAAGGGGGTCTGGGTTTTGACGGACTTTTGGTCCTTCTTCCCTTTCTCCTTGTTTTCCTTGGGTACTTTGGTGTATTTCCCCAAGGCATCTTTTCTTGGTGCTTCTGTTAGAATGGGCGGATTCGGACGACTCCGGAGTGGAATCGGAGACTTAGCGTGGAAGGACCTTGGCCTCAGCGACTCAGGCGGAGCGCTGTGCCATTGCTGGTTGTCCTAGGGGTCCCTAATTTCGGATCTAGCAGAGGGAAAGTCTCTTGGGGGGAATTCATGTCGATTTCGGACTGAGGTTACAAGTTACTAGGTACATTGTATATAAGGAGGGGTCCGGAATCAAAAGGAACAAGGGTAGGATGAAAGGAGACAAAGGGAGATGGAAAGAGGAACAACACTGAGGGTCAAGTGTTTGACTCAATGGTGTTTCCCAAAGGAGGAATGAAGGGCCAAGGCCCAAGGAGGAAGGAAGGAGGTTGGGAGTGGGGAATGGCTAGCTGACTGAATAGAAAGGAAGCAGCAGCCCAAATAGGAATGAGGGAGAATAGCGGAATTGAAATGGACAATGCAATAGTTGCAAGGTCCGGAGTAAGTCCGGAAAGTCTGAACTCGGAGGTTAAACTCCGGAATATTGGCAAACATAATTAAATGGAATGAGCTAACCAATACAATGGGTATAAGCGGAGGTGGGGTCAAAGTCCGAGGTCGGAGCTAAGACCGGAGGTTCCGGAGACGGAGATGCAAGCAGGATTCCGGAGCGGAGGTCCGGAGTCGGGAACATAGGTGTTGCATGCTCGTCTGGAAGGTGTTGAGGTTGGGGTCGGACCCGGAATGTTCCGGAGTCGGACCGAAGGTGGTGTCTGAGCCAGAGGTGGGATAACCTCTTGGGAGTCGGCAAGGAGAAAGTGATGGAAGGGAAGTAGGGCTCCGGAAGTCAGAGTTCAGAGTTCCAGGAGCCCGGAGCGGAGGTCGGGATTGTATGGATATGACAGCTTCCACCAAGGCTTCGGCGACTTTCTCATCTGCTGTGTTTTCTAACTGGCATGCTACCGCCAGTTTGATTTTGTAATTTATGTCATTGTGGTCGACGACTGACATTGGGCCCATCCTTATGGTCCTGATGTTAACTTCCTCACCCTCTGAATTGGGTGAGTATTGAGGTCCCTCATATGGGTCCTCTACTTCGAAGCTTGATGCTCCGGAGTCACCAGAGTTGTTCTCTGGTTTTTCATCTGATGAGTCTTCTGACTCTTCTTCTGATGCGTTTGCGATTCCCATGGCAGCTATGTGCCCTGGCTTTTCATCACTCATTGCATGATGTTTTGGGCAATCTTTCATTTGCCCTATTTTGCCGCATTTGCCACAAATTGGGACCGACTTTTGGTCAGTTTTCCTCAAATTTTTCGAGGATATATCCTCTTTCCATCTGGGTTTTGGCTCTTCAGCCTTCTTTCCTGATGGGAGAGCTCTACTGCAGCCTGTGGTTGCCATGGTGGTTGTTTGGGTATAATATCCTGATTTGTAGGCTGAAGACATCTTCAGCCCATGGATTATCTCATCTACATGAGATATTGCTTTTAACATCTCCTTGTTTGAGGAGAAGTCTGCTCTGATTCTGTCATGAGCGATCATTTCCCTCTTCCATTTGAGGGGAATGTTGTTTAGAAACCTGGTGTTGAAGGACACCTGGTCTGGTGGCATCACCATCTGGGACACTGCTTTAGACAGTTCTAAGTAGAACTGTTTTAGGCCTTTTTCTGCTTCATATTTAATGTTGTGGTACTTCTTTGTCACGTTCAACATGGCAGAGGCTTTGATGAAAGTTCTCATCAGTATGTTGAGAACTTCAAGGAACATGCCCTTGTCTCCTCTGAGGAGAGTTTCATCTTGGAGTCTTATTCTGAGGTCAAATGCAGGTCCCCCTAATCCATGAATCAAGCAGTCCAGATGGACTTCATTGAATTGGGGACCTTTGCATCCTCGTGAGGCAGGGAATCCCAGTAGTTCTGTGAACCACTGCCAGAGAGACTCCATGTCGTTCTCCCCTGACCATTTCTTGTCAGGGAAAGCTGGCCCATTCTTTAGAGCCTCAGGCTTCACTCCCTCTGGGTAGGGAGTGAGTATTCTCACTTCAGCCATTCTTATGGCCTTTTCGTACCATTTTTCCAGGTACTCCTCTTGCTCTCCTGCCTTCACAGGGTCGCTATCCAATGGAGATTTTTTCTTTGGAGGGGTTTTCGCTGGAGAGTCTTCCTTGCAGCATTTCTTTTGTTTCAGGCAAACTCACCTGAAGTTGTATGGGGATTCTCTCATTGTTTTGAGAGTGTGTGGTTGTGTTACCTCTCTGTTCAAGAGGTTCATCGAAGGTGGAGGTTTGGCCGAACCTTTGGTACGTGCCGATTCTCCTCCTGATTTCTGAACGGTGCCTTCTTTCAGCATCGTCTTCTCCTATCCTTGGGAGAAGGATCTCCTTTGCATCTCTGTTGAGTCACTGATGATACTCCAGTGTACTTTCACTGGTTGTTCTTTTCATGAATTTTTCACGAGTTCTGGTTTTATCCTGGCCCATGGCCCAGGGATATTTTTTTGTTTCCTCACTGTTTTGTGAGAAGTTTATTTCCTTCAGCAAGTCAGTTTGCTTGCTGATTTTGTCAGTCAACATGTTGATTGCGTTGGCCATTCTTTCTAGAGTTATCTCTAGATGAGCTGTGCTATTATGGCTCATTTCCTCGATCTTTTTTTGGATCAAGTTTATTGCATTTATTATGCATGATTCCTGGTTTTCCAGAAGGAAATTTGGCTGGTCAAGTAGTGACTCTCCCTAGTTAACATTGCCGCTTCTGGGGGTTCCAGAAGTGGTTACGGTACACATGATCTTCTTGATTGGTGGGGTAATAATTTTTGGGATCTGTTTTCAACATATTCCAGTCTCTGTTCTCAAAGCCATCCAGCATTCTGATGAACTTGGCTTCCTTCTCAGAGCAGTAGGATACTACATACTTGCATCTCTCTCCATCTGAGAGGCGTGCTGCATTGGCATGAAGCTCGAAGTCAAATAAGAACTTCTTGAGCTTATGGCCCTTATGTCATATCCATCCACAGCCATCGTCCTCCACTACCTCCGGTCCTTCCAGATTACCTCCACTCCTTCATCACTAACCTCAGAGCCTCCATATTCTGCAATCACCTTCAACTCCCTCAATGGTCACCACCCCCTCAATCCAATATATTACCTATGCCTCCCTAAGTATGGAGTCCTGAAGGGTTCTGGACAGCTTTGACGTCTGCTAGCGCACCCCCACCTCTGCTGGGCAATTCACTTGCTTGCCCTGCAAGTCTACCTTCAGGCTGATCCCTCCTTTCCATTTCTGGGTTATAGCCTGCCACCCTGCTAACCCCATAACCTGACTCGTCAGTAATATTCAGTTGGTTAACATGTAACTCCATTAGCTCTGCTCCACTCGGTCCTGCCATTCACAGGCCCACCCCCTATGTAACTATATATACATAACTTGTAGATAGGTTACACCCTAGTGATAAAATCGACTAGAGTTTCCCTCTTCTAGATCTCTTTGCCAGTTAGTAAGTTAGGGCATGGACATGTAACTAGGCACAGCACTCCTGGTTTAGTCACTGAGGCCAAAGCCCTCTGCCATGGGGATGTTGTAGGCAGGCACAGCCAGTACCATGCAAATGAGCCGATTATCACGATTCTACCACCCACATCAAGCACCCCACTCCTGAAACACATCTACCATTGTTCCAGATACCCCTTCCATGTTTCCCTTATTTTTTCCGATTTCTTCAAGCCATTCCTGACCACGGACAACCATCAGTTTCCAAATTGGGTAACTGTCACCTGCATATTCCGCCGCTTCCTCCATGTCTCCATCAATTCTGAACCGATCTGGACGAATTTGATATCGTTGGAAAGCCCTTGTTAACACGAGTCGAACGATGTTACGAGTGACAAAATTGGTTCAGCGGTTGAGGCAATCGCCATGGTTCTTTATTTCCTTAACAACATCAATATTGCTTTGATATTGCTTTTTCTTAAGTGTTCCTCATGGATATGTTGCCATCCTAAACCCGTCAGATCATTTGGATTTCCACACATACTTTTTCATATTTATAACTGCCTTCTTCCTGTATTTTACAAAAAAGGACTCCCCCAACAGAGAGAGGTGCTCCCGAAGTTTTAGCAGACGTTACCAGTGCCCAGAGTGGCAAATACGAAGCCAAAGAGGCTCAAGACATAGTGCAGGGACAGAGTTCCCATTAGTTTGATTATCAGTGAGATTTACGAGTTTTTCCTTTTTATCACATCACACCCGGACCATTTCCCCCCCCCTTCCTCATCATCCAAACCTCCCCTGAACATTCCCAACTCTGTGGCCCCCTCTCTTTCTCATTAGGGTGGTAGATCCCTTGCCTCCTACAACATCTCCTTCATCCCGCATCCAGTCTTTGACAGTTGGGAAGTGGATTGATCAGAGTGGATCATGACCATGTTGGTCGATGAAGGTGCTTGCAAATGTGGAGAAAGGAAATTTCCCTGGTGGTTCTATCTCACGAAAAGGAGTGCTGGTAAGCCAATGATTATGAACTATCATGAATACAATCTCACAAGATAAGGTAGGCATTTTACCCGGAAATGATCGAGGAGATCAAGCAGATGCTACTGAGCATCTGACAGGCAAGCGCTGCACTGGACATCCACCAGATCTGTGGTGTCATTATCGCACATATCCAGCATACTCACCCCGAGATATTCAGAACTGTTGTCAGCAGAGATGGGAGTACATTCACTGCAAGCGCAAAGTGGGTTCGGAAGTTCCTTGCTGAGGAAATGAATTGGACATTACGACATGCAACACATGCTGCTCAGAAGATCCCCACTGATGCCAGTTATCAGCTCCGTGCCTCACTCCTTCATCATGCCTACTCTGTCTGCCACTATTCAATCCCCAGCAATCTATGAGTCAACTCTGATCAAATGCAAGTTATTTACCAACAAAGCTCGGCTTTGACTTATGAGAGGAAAGGCTCTCGACAAGTTTCCACCATTGGTCCAGATGAGAAGCAGGCATTTACCCTAAATGTAGCAATCTCAGCTAGTGGGGTCCTTCTTCCATTCCAGGTGATCTTCAAAGGCAAGACTAAAGCTAGTCTCCCTGCCCCAGGTTCTCCCTCACACGATGAAGCCAATCAACTTGGTTTTCTATTTGAGTTCTCAGGCAGCGATAATTACTGGGCAAATGAAGTTGTCATATCCATACAATCCCAACCTCTGCTCCAGGCTCCCGGAACTCCGAAACTGACTCGGAGCCCTAATTCCCTTCCATCTCCTTCTCCTTGCCGACTCCCAAGAGGTTACCCCACCTCCGGCTCCAACACCACCTTCAGTCCGACTCTGGAACATTCCGGGTCCGACCTCAACCTCGACACCTTCCAGACAAGCACACAACACGTATGCTCCCAACTCCAGACCTCCACTCCAGAATCCCATTTGCATCTCTGTCTCTGGAACCTCCGGTCTTAGCTCTGACCTTGGACTTTGACCCCACCTCCACTTATACCCATTGTATTGGTTAGCTCATTCCATTTAATTACCTTTGCCAATATTCCGGAGTTTAACCTCTGAGTTCAGACTTTCCGGACTTACTTCGGACCTTGCAACTATTGCATTGCTCCATTCAATTCCGCTATTCTCCCTCATTCCTATTTGGGCTGCTGCTTCCTTTCTATTCAGTCAGCTAGCCATTCCCCACTCCTGTCATATCCGTACATACCCAATCCCGATCCGACTCCTGGACCCCCATCTTCACCACCTCCGGAGTCCTACCCTACTGCCATCCATTCCGATATTCACCTTCGGACCTGACACCACTCCTCCTCTTACCCCTCATGCCACCTCCACCCTTCTGTCCTTCTCCTACCTTATCCTTGCCCGCTCTGATACTCACCTCGGACCAAACACCACTCCTCTCACCACCCTCCTCCTCTTACTCCTCCTCTTACCCCTCATGACTCCTCCACCCTTCTGTCACTCTCCTACCCTTCTCCTGTCCACTCCGATACTCGCCTTCAGACCTGACACCTTTCCTCTCCACTCCTCACCCTGCTCCTCTCTTCTCTCTCTTCCCTCTGACCCTCTTCTGCTGAACCTCTGCCAAGTTACGACCTTCCACCACTGTCCCTTACCCTGTACTCGAACACCGTTCATACCTTCGCTCCGAGATTCCATCATAGTTCCAACCTCAGACTTTGACTCCACCTCAGCTTAAGTCCATTGCATTGGTGACCTCATACTACATAAACACCATTGCCAATATCCCTCGGACTTTCAACCCCACCTCCGTAACCTCCATAACCTCTGAGCTCCATGGATCATACTTGGCACTTTCGCCACTTGTAATGTATCTTTCACGTTTTCCCCTCATCCTTATTTGGACTGCTGCTTCTTCCCATTCTAGTGTCAGGGACAGCTCCAAAAGCGGCGAGGTCCCGGCATGAGGGACTCGATGGGACAGATGTTGGCTATGCATAGCAGCGGTCCTGTTGTGGGGTGAGCGTCCCCAACCACTTAGTCTGAAGTGGGAAGTTGAATTATCATTAAAGGGGAGAAGCTACAGTACTTACCTGAAGTGGGAAGTTGAGAAGAAGGCTGCTTCTTCTGTTCCCACCCCAGGCACTATTATGTACATGCGGTTGGGGTCATGTGGGAGGAGCCACATCATCTCTGCACACAGCCGCACTTCCCTGGGTATCTCCACAGGAGATCCTGGAGGTGTGCCGCTCTGTGAGCAGGAATGCGCACGGCAGGCACGGCGATCAGGGGAGCGGGGTTAGGTGTGTAGTGATATATAGAGAAGGGGAAGTCAACTGTGGAACGGAAATAGAAAGAAAGAAGGAAAGGGAAAAGAAGAAACAGGGAGTGATAGCAGGGGAGCAGAGTAGGGCGGCACGGCACGGGGTCAGGTGGGGTGTGCCCTGACATCTAGCCAGTTAGTCATCATCCCACTTCACCTCATCCTCCTGCCCCTCTGGGCTTTGCCCTCCCTATCTCCTTTTGGATGTACCACAGGTTCTGACCTATGACCTTCGGTACTGCTCTGCTTTCGTCATCCCTTTGTTCCCATTCAGACACCTTCATTCTGATTCGGACCCCCTTTGTTTCCCTTGTGCTTTCATCTCCCTATTATATACAGGCACTTGTACATACTCATTTTGGACCTTCAGTCTAAAATCGACCTGAAATGCCCCCTAGAGACTTCCTGCTCACTGCCTCTGAAATTAAGGACCAAATGGACAAACAGCAATGGCACAGCACTCTGCTTGAGTCACTGAGGCCAAGGTCCCTCCTTGCTAAGTCTCCAGTTCCCCTCCAGAATTGTCCACCCTCACCCAGTTCTAACAACTCCCATCCTCCTTCCTTCCTCCTTGGGCCTTGGCCCTTCACTCCTCCTTTGGGAAACACCATTGAGTCAAACCCTTGACCCTTGGTGTTGTTCCTCTTTCCAGCTCCCTTTGTCTGCTTTCAGAGTACCCTTGCTCCTTTTGATTCCGGACCCCTCCTTATATACAATGTACATAGTAACTTGCAACCTCAGTCCGAAATTGACTTGATTCCCCCCCAAGAGACTTCCCCTCTGCTAGATAAATTAGGGACCCCCAGGACAACCAGCAATGGCACAGCACTCCACCTGAGTTGCTGAGGCTGAGGTCCTTCCATGCTAAGTCTCTGATTCCATTCTGGAGTTGTCTGAATTGTTAGAACTAGGTGAGGGTGGACGATTCTGGAGGGGAACTGGAGACTTAGCAAGGAGGGACCTTGGCCTCAGTGACTCATGTGGAGCACTGTGCCATTGCTGTTTGTCCATTTGGTCCTCAATTTCAGAGGAGATGAGCAGGAAGTCTCTAGGGGGCATTTCAGGTCAATTTTAGACTGAAGGTCCAAAACAAGTATGTACAAGCACCTGTATATAATAGGGAGATGAAAGCACAAGGAAATCAAAGGGGGTCCAAACGGGGACAAAGGGATGGAAGTGAATCAGCACTGAAGGTCATAGGGTAGAACCTGTGGTACATCCAAAAGGGGATAGGGAGGGTGACAGGTGGACAAGTGGATGGGCAGATGATGATGGTAGCAGGTGGGATGGGCCCAGTGGCACTAGGACATGTTGACAGAAGTGGTGGATATGCTGGGTCATGACAACGCGTTTGACAATGACTTACCCTTTTGATGACAACTATGGTTTCTGTTTTCAACTTTCACTTCTGCTTTTGACTCCCAATGTATTGTCTTGTATTGCTTGGGTTGTTTCTTGTATGTATCATGTCATGTAATCATAGACTTGATTTTGTGAAAAAGTGAAGTATGTACAATCTATTAGAACACCAACTTTGTTTACATCAGGAAGTTTTGTGGCAGTTATTTGTAGCGGGTGCTTTGAGGCATTGGGGGTGTTTTGCCCTCCTTATTCAACTTAAAACTCCCTTTGTATGATGACATTGCCACTCAGGGAATGTCACGTATATAAGAAAGGATTTCTTACACTTTTCTCCCTCAGATCTCTTGTCAGAGTCTGAGGTGAGAACAATCTCTAATAATTTCCTTTATAATTCATGTATAACTCTTGTCACAGTCTAACGCGGCATAGACTAATTCTAATACAATCACATCAATTATGTGAATAACCCAATCAGCTCAATCAAATGCGTGATTGGTGTGATCTAGATCAAGGGACCTGATTGGAGTGATTGGAGTTTCGGTGACGATGGAATGATCTCAATCACCTCAATCGGCCTTGGGGTTTTCCTGATGAGTGAGCCCTCCGGTGCAGGTAAATGCGGTTTTATGTTAGTGCTGGAGTTTGTGTCCCTCTCCGCATCTGGAAACTTGCATCTTCTGTGCCCCACTCCTCAGTGTCCAGCACCCAGATACCCTCCAAGGATTCCACCTGACATAAATGTCCTGCCGGCGTGAACTTCGAAACCAATAATTTCGAGCACTTCGCCATGCTGCTGCTTCGAATCTTCATGAGGGACCCCAATGCCGTCCAATAGTCAAAGGAACTTGGCTCGAGACGTGGGCATATTCCGGCTATAAGGCGTGTGAAAGCTGAGTATTAACAGTGTTGTACGGACCTGGTCCCAAATGGTCCCAAAGACCGAGGTCCGTGAGTCTGACTTAATGGTCTCAAGTCTCTCTCACGGTCCGTGCAAGTCAGACTTTTCGACGGGAAATCCCGATATTCAAAGCCTTACGCAAATAAATGTTCTCACGCTAGACTACGATCTGTATTGACGGAGCTAGGATGGAGACGCATGTAGTTAAATCCGTCAGTCCATTTTAACTCCGTTGGCTCAGACCCCAGATGGACCGAGACCCCAGTCCGACCCCGGTCTGACCCGGGTCCCCGTGACTTCGAGTCTGACTTGGTCTTGTGCAACACTGGTTCCGAAGGACCCAAAATATCCAGCAGCATCTCAGCGTCGCATTGTCAGCAAAGAAAAACAATCGATTCATTGTCCAGGCCTGGCAAGCCTGAAGGGCGTGCTCTACAAACGCACGATTCCTGAAATCCTTATATTTCTGGCAGGCACGGGTGAGCTCTCAGTGCAGGTTACCGAGGGGGTACGCCCGCGGTCATTGTGCCGAGGCCACCTCCCTGCGCCAGTCCAACCTCTTCAGGCAGTTGTCTTTTGAGTCGAACCCTTCAGCAAATGCGCCTGAATTTGCATGGGCGGGTCGCGAAAGTGGAGGCAAGTTCGGCTGCAAATAAGGAAGACCTGTAACACATTGGAAACCTAGGGTATGGGCAATGATAGAGGACCTCGCAAAGATTGACAGGACCCGCTTCGGTGTAGCGGGAATTAACGGAACCCGGGGTTTAATATCCCGAGGATTAATGATGATCGGAACTGTATCGACGGAAGTGCCAAATGAGTCAACATTAGAGTGGAGGAATCTGGGAATTGCCGCACATACTACATGCCTTCGCTGCATATGCGGAAGTATTGCGCAATCCCGATCGGATGTTAGTCCGACTTCTTACCCTGTTACTTGCCTCCACCGCAGCCCAACGATAGCATGGCTAGCGACTCGAATTTCTCCTCTGTGCCCATACTAGATTACCCGTTGATTCGGCATGGCCGAAAGGCCGAGTTTGTTGAACTGTTACGCCATGCACTCGTAAATGTGGGGTTTCTTTACCTGTTAAATTCCCCAGTCGAAGAGGTGTGCATTTTGCGAAAGTGTCGATTTGATTCGTGTATCCGACACCTGATCCTTCACCTCAGACTCTGGTGAACCGGGTGAAGGCCCACGTCTCCAAGTTCTTCGATCTACCTATCGAACGGAAAGAGCGACTTGCGATGAGGAAGTCACCTCATTTCCTTGGCTTGGATGTGAGTTTACAAAGGGTGCTCAGGACCAGCGTGAGCAATTCGACTTTGCTGCGGAGCATACGAACCGGTGGACGGAAGGTCAGCCGGATTGGTTAAGATTATGGGGTCCGCCGCAGGTGTGATGCCAGGGAATCGGTCTGTGCGGCCAGGGAATCTTACTAGGGCATTCTTATGCGCAGTGGCCAGACGATGATGAATTACCTCGTCTTAAGCAAGACCTTGAGGCGTATCTTGAGGAACTGAAGCACTTGAGCTTTGAGTTCACTAATCTTGTAGAGGAAGCTCTTGAATTGCGACCTGGTGCTTTGGATGCTTTCTTCGATTCGCCTAAGGAGTCTATGTCGCACCGAGGGAAGGTCAGTCTTCTGTACTTTCATGGACAGGCATGGGTGATCAATTTGCATTCAATGGTCACAGCTCATCAAGTATCCCAGCGTGAGTGAGATATCCGGCGGTGCTCAAGGGGTTGGTCCACACTACGATGCTGGTTCGTATTTCTTCGTTAATCCCAGCCATATGTTACATTCATCAATTAAATAGGATTCCTGACCTTAGTGGGTGCAATAGTCCGTACGCGAATCCATTGGAGGGCTCATGATATGGGTGGGATAGCTTCTCCAATTGTCCGATCTTCCTGGACTCCAAGTCCAAAACGTGTCAGGACAGTGGATCGATGTTATCCTAAGACCCAACACACTAGTGGTGAACATCGGGAAGGGTGAGTTTTGCCTTTTTCATCATCACGGTTGTCTCGATCATCCTCACGACTTCACTCGGGCCAGCTTTAGAGCATGTTACACAAAATGTTGCAATTGCAACCTCACATCCCGTGGTTTCTCCGCCTGTAGGATCACCACCCAGGTATTCTGTTCCGTTTTTCCAGAGCATAAGTGAATCAGTACGGATTAGTGAGATAAAACTGGACAGTATGTCGTTCAGATCTCACTGGTGCAATTGCGCGATGCTAATCATCGGACGTTCAATTAGTCCCACCCCATATCCTAAGTCTTCGTGATGCTCGGCGGCCTAGTGCCGACCGGTCTCAAGGTGCGCAGGCCCTGGCCAGTGATCATTCTCACACATCATCAAATGTTATAGCCGTCAATCACGGGGAATATCTTCGAGACATCTCGGGCCTTGTTTACTTGACCGGACGAATCAAGTCAGTCATCATTGAAATTTAAGTTGGTAGCCTTACAGTGATCTGACTTCGCCACGGCAGGAGCCATCCCGATGTTGCTGAAGCGCATTATCCGCACTTGTACAGGAAGATATTTCCTAACGGTGCTCCAGAGTTTGGAAGCTGAGATGTGGAACCCAAACAAGGTCAGATCGTCGCAAGACTTTAATAGTCGCATTCTTGTCTTTGGTTAGGAATTGATCAATTGCATGCAACACTCGCTGTCCTCGTTTCGGGAGTGACTGATCCCCCATGCGTCGTAATTCAGTGTACTTCAATGATTATTGTGAAAAGTATGTGCGCTGCTCTTGCCCAGGCCCCAGGTAAAAGAAAGGGAAAAAATTCCTCTCCTGTTTCTCACCAAAAAGTGGACACATACCTTATCGGCCAGGATGGCTCGTGCACCATGTAAAAATTACCAGATCGCAAACTCAGCTTCACGTTAGTGAACTGATTAATTGACAGTGTACCTAGCTCGCGGACTATCGTACATGAGTTCTTTTATTGGTAAGGATCATAACAACCACAATATCACCTCAGCTGAACTGAGGGAGGCGTGGAACGAACGAAATGTGCGATATTAATTCATGTTCGAATGCTAAGGTTCAAGCGTGTGGGGAGCAAGACCAAAGCGAGTCATAGTCAAAGCGCGTAAGGCGCGGCGATTGAACGAAGAAGGAAGAAATATTTCCAGTCACGCCCGGGACACATTCGGGTTCAACATCGCCAGCTTCAACAGACCCTCGGATGAAATGTGGATGTGCTTCATGCGAGCACGAAATGCGGGGTTAACTGCAAGCGCCAGGGCGGCAGGAATGGAAGGCAGGAAGTGGATGTCGCCAATAAATTGTTTAATCCAGATGACCTCCTTTGCGGCGTGTGTAGGCGACATGTATTCTCCCGCTGTCAGTTGGAGTTCCATAATGCAGTCGTCGACTGCGTTGTCCAGTACAGGAGAATACAAGACGCTTACATACACCGCAAAGGAGGCTATATGAAACGATTTCTTAGCAACATCCACTTCCCACCTTCCGTTCCTACCACTGTCCTAGGCGACAACCAAGGCTCCCTAGCCGGCATTTCATGCTCGCACGAAGTACATCTGCAGCATACAGCTGGGGCCATTCATGGGGACTCGTTTAATTTTGGTTTTCCAGACGGCCTGGAAAGACCTCGTAATTGATTCAAAGTCAATGATTCACGCCCTTGTTGCATGCTTCGAGAGACTGACATGAATAACACCTATTTTACATCTTTTGAGATCCTGACATGCATACGGCACGTTTGAAATCATTCACTCACATTCTCCCTCAGCGCCTGAGCGCATATATAATGGCTGCTGAAGACGACCTAACTTCAGATGGGCTGGTGAGTTACGTGGATCATGATGACAATGGCGGAATTCACATCGCGTGTTCCTCACTGTGTGGCCGTTCTTCGCTGTCTCTCCAGTTGGCCGTCCATTCTCCATCAGCGTCCCTCAGGCGTTCATGCCACACCCGTGTGATGATCCCGGGGCCCTCAATTCAGTATGCCAGTTCCGCGTCGATAGAACACATGGATATATATGTCATCATTATTGTCATGATCAATGTGGTTGCAATGTTCGATTTGAGAATTGCAGCAGTGGCACCCGAGTGATCATGTGGGAACCAATGCACCAGATGGCCGGTTCGACGACTGGGATGATACGGTGATAAGTGCATCCCGCAATGCACAGAAATTATGGTCCTTTGCTTCCAAATTAGTCGGACTGGAAGTGCATTGTCAGAAAACATAACCTGAAAAGAATGGAGTCCACAGAAACTCCTTGAGCACATGTGCACGCGAATTATCGGTTAGAAAATTAGCGGCAAAGATGATGCCAACGATAGAGGGAATAAGGGCCAAACGTTTGGTTCCCCCACGGCAACACCATTCACTTTTGAGCAGTAATGCCCCACACCATTGACATGGAGTAGTGTGCCACCGAAAAACATCTGGAGCAGGCGAAGGTTGGGGATGTGGGTACTAATGACGGATGTTTTGCTGGGCTGCAGATCGGTCCTACCGCGGCCGTCAACCCGAGTGGCCAAGAAGCGGCGGACAAAGTCCGCACCTTCGATTGCATCTTGATGATACAGAACAGCCCTTATTTTCCATTGCTTCTGTTCGACCTTTGTTTGGCGTTGTCGATTTCGAGGGAGCGCGGGAAAGATGTCAAAGCGTTCATCCGTTATATCGGCGAACGGGAAGGTTGACAAGGGAAAAAGGCCATGGCCATTGCTGAGGCTCACTCGCCTCCCGATTCAAGAGTTATCGTTGCAGATGGCGTCCCCAAGACCGATCTCGAAGCCTCCCCTCTTCCTGAGCCAGATGAAACTCTGATGATTGACAACTTCGACTCATTCACTTGGAATCTTTACCAGTATCTATCATCACTAGGTGCAAAGGTGAAAGTGATTCGAAACGACGCGATTAGTGTGGGAGACTTTCCGAATCTTCGGATTCGAAATCTCGTCATATCCCCAGGACCAGGCCATCCTCGAACTGACAGTGGAGTGTCTCGTGATGCCATTCGCCACTTCGCTGGAAAAGTACCCATTCTAGGTGTGTGCATGGGCCTGGAGTGTTTCGTCGATCTTTTCGGAGGCGAGATCGCTTATGCCGGTGAAATCATGCACGGAAAGACGAGCAAGATTCGACATGATGGCCGAGGCCTTTTCAAAGACGTCCCTCAAGGCATCCCGTCGACACGGTATCACTCTCTATCGGCTAACGTGAAAACAATTCCCGATGAGCTTGCTATCACGGCAACCACTCAGGAAAGTGGGGTTATCATGGGTGTCCGCCATCGGAAGTTCACCATCGAGGCTGTCCAGTATCATCCTGAAAGTATCATGTCTGTGGATGGTATGACTATCCTCAAGAATTTTCTTGAACTCAAGGGAGGCACATGGGATGAGAATCCGCAGTCTGGCTTCAAACAGGGTACCGAGATCGGGGTGAAAGAATCTCCAGCTTCGAATTCTCCTACCATCCTGGAGAAGATTTACGCGCAGCGCATGAAAGATGTTGAACTTGCAAAGACTGTCCCCGGGACTACACCAGAGGATCTTGATACCTTCCTTGGCCTCCATTTAGCCCCGCCACTTATTTCATTTTATGACCGGGTGCGGTCTCGGTCACCTGCACTTATGGCCGAGATCAAACGCGCTTCCCCATCCAAAGGGTCCATTGCTCTGAAGACAAACGCCGCCCAACAGGCTACAACATATGCCCTTGGGGGGGCCTCGGTGATATCGGTTCTGACAGAACCGACCTGGTTCAAAGGATCACTCTTGGATATGCGTTTGGCTCGTCAAGCTGTTGAATCGCTTCCAAATCGGCCCGCCATCCTTCGAAAGGACTTCATCTTGGATGAATACCAAATTTCCGAGGCACGTCTTCATGGCGCTGATACTGTGCTCCTGATCGTGGCCATGTTGTCTGTTGAACGTCTGGAGTCCCTGTATGCCTTCTCCGTATCTCTTGGAATGGAGCCCCTAGTGGAAGTCAACAATGCGGCGGAGATGGAAATCGCACTGGATTTGGGTGCAAAAGTCATTGGAGTGAATAATCGTAACTTGCATGACTTTGAGGTTGACATGGGGACGACTTCGCGCTTGGCTGGTTTGACCAAGGAAAGGGATGTGGTTCTGTGTGCGTTGAGCGGTATTACGAAGCCCGAGGATGTGCGGAACTATGTTTCACAACGCATAGGAGCTGTGCTTGTAGGCGAGGCCTTGATGCGAGCATCCGACCCTTTGCTCTTCATTCAGCAACTTTTAGACCTTCCGGCCCGCGCACCTGTGTCCTATCCAACACCACTTGTCAAAATATGTGGCGTTCGTTCAGTTGAAGAGGCCGTGTACGCAGCCAAGGCTGGGGCGGATATAATTGGTCTTGTCTTTGCCGCTCATTCTAAGCGAGCTGTAGATGATACCTTGGCGTTATTGATCGTTCAAGCTATCCGGCAGTTTACCCGCCATTCGTCGGACACTGTTCCACCACATCCTCACCTTCACCCTCTTTCATGGTTTGCTGGGAACGCCCGCCAATTCTTCATCTCTTCTCGCCGGCCACATGTTGTGGGTGTCTTCCAACACCAGTCCCTGGAAGAGATTCAGCGAATCGTCTCGGCCACCCAAATTGACCTTGTTCAACTTCATGGAGACGAGCCTTTGCATTGGGCCCGACACATCCCTACACCCGTCATTAGGACTTTCCATCTTCCAGCAACTACTGAGAATGGAGGAGCGGTTGTCAACGGGGGCACAGTTGTCACCGGAATCGCGAACACAGATGCCGCGCTTCGAGAGATCACACGACCAGGACTCCACGAATTCGTGCTTTTGGATTCGGTGCGACCAGGCGCAAAGCTGTCTGGAGGCTCTGGGATGACGCTGGATTGGGATGTAGCGAAGCGAGTTGTCGAAGCGGGTGAAACGTCAGCAGCGGTATCCCCGATGCCTATCATACTTGCAGGTGGTTTGACGGTAGAGAACGTGGCGTCGGCGGTGGCTCGGGTGAAACCTTGGGCGGTAGATGTGAGCAGTGGGGTAGAGACAGATGGAAGGAAGGATTTGGGAAAGATAACGGCCTTCATTCACGCAGCTAAATTTGCGCAGATGGAAAACGGTCTTGTATAAGGATAGCCTTTTTCTCATTTGATCTCTCGAGATATTAATTGACTGTAATTGGAGTGTATCTACAGCTGTGTTGTTCAAATGATTTAATTGTAGACCGAGTGCAATTACTTAAAGGCGATCCGATTGCTCTAGCTTCCGCCTCTTCTTTCGCTCTTTTCGTATTCTCCGGTCTTCATCCTCATCAGGCCTCTCATCTCTCCCCCCGCCGTGCTTGCGTCGCTTCATCGAACCACTAGAACCATTTGGCTCCAACGCAGCACCGTTTTCTAAGTCTCGTGGAAGCTGCACGCTGGTTGAGGCACCTTCAGTACTCCTGTTTTGGGCCTCTCTGCTGGTTTCATTGTTGTCATTGCTCCGTTTCGTGCCCTTGTCCCGTTTGTCCCGTTTGTCCTTTTTCTTCTTTTCAGAACGTGTTTCAAATTCGTGAGCTCTAGGCTCAGCAACTGGTGGGGATTGACTTGGCTCAACAGAAGAAGATTGCGATGGCGATTCGGACGTGATAGCTGGGTCCATGATCGTAGAGGTTGGAGGGAGGGAACCTGATGAAGATTTGGATTTGTTGGGACTACTCATTGATGCCTGTGCGTTAACGGGCATATCTTCGGTGCTACGATCCATTATCTTCCTATGGCCGAGTCCAATGCGAGGCAGCTCATCCTCAGAACTAGATGCGCCTCCTTCAGCAGGATCGTTCACTGGCGCACGCCGTTCCCTCAGTCCAAGCTTCTCCATTTTTTGCTTGAAGTAGTCGGAGATGCTCACGGTTGAAGTGGTGGTGATGTCATTTGCGATAGGAGTGAGACTGCTTGGGGGTGGATCATTGGGAGTGGTGGCGCCTGACGATGATGGCATGCCTAGAACTTGTGCGAGTTCAGATGCTGATTTTTTCGAGATGTTCTTTGCTTCGAGCATGCGCTTGCGATGATGACTGCATGTACAAGAGCTCTCTTTGAACGAATAGGAGATTTTAGTAAGGGGGACTTACGCGAATCTCCGGGGTGCTGGAGCGATAGGTCTCGAAGTCTCAGCCTCTACGACCACTCCGGACTCATCTTTCGCGGGACCACAGGTTGGAAGTAGACTGATTCCTTCATTGGAGTCTTGCGCCTCCGAGGGCGTTCCAGAGGGATGGTTGTTCCCGCTGTCGTCAGTGGTGCCTGATGCAGAGCTATTTAGACGGGCGAGCATGGCCTCGAAATCGTTTTGCTGCTTCCATGCAATATCGTCATCGCGTCCTGCGCCAACACCGAGATTGTCACGCTTTTGTGCCACGGAAACGTGAGAAACTCGGCCATCCTTATTGGCACCAAGACCAAGGCCAGAACTCCACCCTAGTTTGGCAAGATAGGTATGACCGAACCTCAAAGCATCTGGAAGCTGCTATCAAGAGACTGGTGATGCATATGGTCAAATCCTGTACCTTGAGACCAGTTCAGATTTCGAGGGTCTTTAGGGATCCTCTGCTTCGTCTTGGGGCCCGAAAGACCCATTGCAGAAAGGAATCCTACTGTAAGTATAAAAGTTCCTAACCGAGGCCCGACATCAATACATGTAAATATGCAGTGAGCGGTTGCTTAGCTAGCCTCATTCTCTGGGTTTTATTTCAAGAGGGTACGTCACAGATGGCGAATTACATAAGTGTCCGGCATAATATTAAGCTGTGGCTTTAATCTAGCTGGATGCACTTCGCCATCGCGCTCACCGTAAACATGGAAAGTACGTTTGAGGGTCGAGATCTGTCGATTCATCGGGGAACTTTACCGGGGAATGAGAAAGGTATTCTCAGTAAGTAGCCTCCCTATCATGTCATGCGGACTTAAGGTCAAAACTCTTTCCTAGAGTTGATACAGTCTTACTCTAACCCACAAGAAGCGGCTCCAATCTCGATATTGCGTTCTACCGCGTTGCAAATCATGAAGCCCACGATGATATGGGACCTTGCCGAAGATTTAATTGAAGTGTTATCAGAGATTGAGATCCTTAGATTAGCTGCTGTCCGCAAGATCCAATCCGAATCAGAGGAGCATACCCATCTCAAAAATACGAAGAAGTCCAGACAAAAGTATCTGTCTTGCGTTTATTACATTCGCTCAATGGTGGGTCTGAGTCGTGGTTCATTCCTATTGCTGTCTTATTCTACCCTTTGAAGCATCTTCATCACTCTTGCACTGGTCGGTCACCGGACACTGGCGTGTTGTTGCGTCATTTTCCAAACTATGAGCCGGGGTCGCGACCTTTCAACAGATATTCGTCCACCCTCAGCTCGCAAGAGTGGGATCAATATGGAAAGGAGGCTGGGGCAATGCATGCTGCATTCCGTGTGGCAATGGAGGCGGCAAAAGATCATCACATTTCTGATAAAGACTATGCCAAGCTTTTAATCAGGGAGTTTGGCGATGGTCGCATCGACTGGATTGGTGTGGTGAATGGATATCTAGAGCAAGCCAAAATATCAATTGAATATGCGGGAAGACTGTAGAGTGATGATATTACATGTGAGGATGTTCTCGCCTTCACCGTACCAGGTGAAAAATACTAACTATTGTACTGGTTATTACAGCGCAATAACAATCATGTCACCCCGATTCGCAGATCCTGTGGTTCCGCGAATACGTTTAGCTTTCGCCTCTGCACGTCCTCTGATCCGTGCTTCCTTTGCAGCTCGCATGTCTTTGGGCGCTGTTGTTCTTATTTGTTTGATGCACGTCGGTAGCAATGGCGCGGACGGCGAACCATGCAGGCGTGCCTCATCGGAGAGTCCGGGTGTCTTGGGACCCTTTGTTCCTAGTCGTTCAGGACTTACAAGCCAAGGAGCGGAGAGGATGGGGAGCGGAGAACAAGCCTCTGATAATCGATCCATCCCTTGGGCATTAGACTGTAACATGTATGGTGACGGGAGCATCAATTCCGAGGCACCTGCGAACTCACGTTAAGTGACATGATTGAGATACGCCGCTGCTTTATTGCATGAGCAAGGTGGACCTCAGAGCCCTTCGGAAAAGGAATGAGTAGAACTTTGCTTTGTATATTCCAGCTTCGGAATGTCGCGTTGCAGACAGCGACGAGCATAGGAAGGTGACTGAGCAAGGAGGGTGGGTTGACGTCATATGGACAAGCAAACACGTAGATGGTCGTTGGGCGTGAGTCGGTAGGCTCCTTACGAGCAGAGAGGACGTACGCGTCCAACTGCTTTGTCACCTCATTGACGCCAAACTTTACATGAGATAGCAGTGATGGTGGTGATGGTGGTGATGGGATCGGGGAAACGTTGCTGTCTTCAATTCCGACGTTCGGAGCCGGTTCATTTGATATTTCATGTTCCATTTTCCTCAACTTTGGCTGGCGCCCCACTTCAATGTCTGGTTCCTCACGTTTGCGTTTGTTCGATGAATTAGAAACTCGAACTGGCTTGTGTTGGCGTTGCTTCTTGTATCGCCCTTTTCTATGGGCCTTGTCGCGACTAATGTGATACTCAGGTACCCCAGAATCCTGAACTAGTTCTGTTAGCGCAGCAAATATTATGTTTTGCACATTGTTGGGTACAAACGGCCTACGCGCAGCTCAGCAAGGCAAAGTGGTTTTCAAGATTAGTCGACGCTTACCAGGAGATTTGAAAAGGGTCGTCCAAGACGGATTTGAAAACAGATTTGCCATCCCGCGCATCCCTCTTATCTTGACCAGGTTTTGAAGATTTTTTCGACCGAATTCCTTGGTAAGTGTGAACTCGGGCGCCTGCCTTCGGTTGAGACATATTTGAGTGTAATTGTCGATGGTTGTTTGTGTCGGCGTCGCAGGTCCGTTTGGGACAGTTGCTTCCGGGGTTGACCAAACAAACTACATCTGAACACTGGGGTGCCTGCCTTGTTGCCGACGGTATTGTCAGCGCCTGACAAATAGAAACGCGTCTGGTGGCGATTACATTGCCGAACAGTGCGATCTCACCCATGAATGACAGTACGACATCGTCAGGCTCGACATCGCGTCTCCCAGTTGCCAGTGCGCGATCAACATCCCAATTTGAGACTGCGAAATCCGCTATCTTGGCTAGCAAGGCGTCTAAATGGTCCCCTCTGCGTATCAACAAGCGCGATAGCTCATCGGGACAGACTCCCATTACCCACAGACGATCCGCTCTTAGTCCTACCCCTGTTCGGCGTACATCATCTTCTTTCGCCCATGTTCGCAATAACAGTCTTGTTACCAACTCCATCTTCAAGCAAGCTCAACCCCCTGACAATTCGTCTAGTGTGACTCCGCGGACTGCTAGTAGGATTCCTACCGCGTATCGACGTACCAGTGCTGAGCGTCGCGCCAGTCTCGAGAAAAGGCTGAGGGGCCTCATCCAAAGCGAGAATGTTCAGCCGCAACTGACTGAACATCCCTCCATTCTCCGAAAACGCGAAAGCAGTAGCTTTCAAGGGCTTGCTAAGCGCGAAGTAGTCAGTAAAAGCCCTTTTAGGAACGATTCAAATATCACCCCTTCGACATCGAGTGAGAGTGGTGCCTCTGGGATGCTCGATGATTATGTGACGAACACATTGGAGGATCCCCCTCCACGGCCCCCTCGTGCTGAGAACCCCCTCTCGCTCCCCGCCCCTTTGCATCCCCCTCCTCCAGTTGTTGGGCATCCTGCCTCATCACCATCGCGATCAATCCTTGTGTCGAGACGTCCGTTTGGGCCGCGCTCATCGTCCGGATCCACCAAGCGTCCTAGAAGGAAGACTGTTGCTTTTCATGAGCGCTGTGATGTGGTTGAATTTGACCGGGAGTCCTACGAATTCGATGATGAAGATGTTTTCCTGCAGAGCGATCAAGACGTTGACTACGACCCAAATGGCCCCCGGCGAATGCTATCATCTGATGAAGAGGGGTATGACTCAGTTGATGATCAACAGTGTTATAGTGACCTTGAGGGAGGAGACATACGTGATGACTCTCCATCGACGGAAGAGGTGGAGGACGGTTCTCGAGATCCGGGGCCTCCTCGACCCTCAACCCCTCCATCTGGACGTCTTCCTGTGGGAATCGAAACCGAAGGTGGGATTCCGTTGGGACGCTCCCACCATATCGAGCGCATGCGAGCGGTGCACGCTGGCGCAACTCCGCCAATCACACCATTGCGACACCTAGACAATGACAATGAACCCCCTTCACCGTCACCGGCCCGAACTCACGCCATTCCCTGGTTAACTTTGCGGACAACGCATGACGAGAATGAGTCTGATCCAGATTCTGATACCATTCCAATGGACATTCAGCCACTCTCGCTAAGACCGTCAGATGAGTGGCGAACGCCATCTGGACCTACCTCTGACGTATTTGAATCCCCTTTTTCCCAGCCAGACACTCATCTCACTCATCCACCACCGAAAACAGCACTCAACAGGGTCATAGCCGGTGACTCTGGGTCTTCCCTCTCTCTTGAAAGAGGAGGAAGTCTTAGTGGGCGTTCTAGCCCTCGGATTGACCGCGAGGAGGTTCGAAGACGTTTGATGAAGTCCCGAAGGAGCCCCCCGCCGATGGGTTGCACAGTGACGACGAAACGCGTCTTTCGTCACCGTCCCCAGCAAGTGAAACGATACAAGAGGGCGGTAAGGCTAGCCCGCACACTCCGCCTCAACCATCAAGTTCAGTGGACCTGCGCAAAGCCGGAGTTGATCTCGGTGATGTTCGCTCCGCCTTGGACCGCCTTATGTTGGGCGTTGAGCGTGGCTTTGTGGATGACAGCGGGAGCTTCAGTCAGCCGAACGAGACGAGCTTTGTGGAGGAGAGCATTGACCAGTCCGCTGATGCGTCGACAACGGAAGATCGAGATCACCCACGATATTCAGTGATGACAGATTCGAGCATAGGCGAGGTCATCGGCGCCCAACGGGGCGTTTTTACCCAGGCACAGAGCACTCAGAGCAAACATCCGGAAATCATGCCACCATCACCACTTCCGCAGAGCAACTTTGTTATGCAAACGCCATCCATATCTCAATCGAACCAGACACCTTCGACGACGGGGACGGAGACGGAAGACGACGAGCCTGCCACTCCATCCACGAGAGGCATGTCCTCCCCAGTACCCCCCGCTGTTGCACTCCCCGACCAGGTTGAATCAATTGAACATTTGTCTCCTGCTCCGCGACCCGACTCCCGAGCTAAGCTTAATCTCGATGCCAAACCGCTTCCCGCTACCCCTCAACCCCGTCTTTCCCTTGACCTTTCGATTTCATCATCGTTCCACGAGTCTGAATTCAGTCACCTCGTTCCGCTCTCCACGAATGTCGGTTCTCACCCTGTCACGTCAATCCTCCCTACTTCGCCCGCCCCGTCAGGAAACAATGCTCATGAAGACGCTTCCCCCGCGGTGCGCGAGCAACGGGATCCCCTTGAACCGATCTTTTCGGAGCGACCACAACGGCGACGAAGTCGATCCACTGGCGATGCGCCTGACTCGAGAGGAGGGGAGGTACGCTTCCGTCACACCCTTAATTTTTCTGCTAGCGATTCACTTTTATCTCAGCGTGCGGTGGCAGATCGCAAGGGAGCGGGGGCCTTAGTGACCCATTCCTTGAGTCAAGTTTCAGCTGGTACTATCCCTCTAAGTGCATCCATTTCGGAGGAATTGAAGAAGATGTATGGAGGAAAGCATGTAGGTGTCCTTTAATCTTATCAGAGGCGTCAAATTGATGTTGTAGACCCAGACTCCGACCTATCAGCTGCGGGAACGTCCTGGAACAATTTACGCTTCTTCGGACTCAAAGATCTCGCACGTTGGAAATGCTGGTGATATTGATGCTGGCAGGGCATGGCGATCCATTCGCCGTCCGTCAGACATGGTTAGTGCATATGTTCTCTGAATCAAAATATGCTAACTGTGCGATCCAGAATGAGTATGCTCGTGAAATTCGCGAATATCGAGCGCAAGAGAAACTTGGCAAAGCTTATGGAAAAATATTCGTGAAAGGCAAGTGATTCTACAGGCCTTGGCGCCTTCATGGCGCACAGTGCTAACATGAATATCAAGTCCTCGGTATCACTAGGCTTAACGTTCCAATCCCCCGACTTCCAACATGGTTCACCTGCACGCTCAACAATGGGATTCATTTTGTGACAACTCCGGAGTGCCGGCTGATGGGGGAGAGCCCCATTGAGCAGGAATTTGAATTGTAAGAGTGGTATTTGTTATTCTAATTATCTTCTGACCAAATGCAAAACAGGATTGAACATAGCAAGTTGGAGTTCACCCTAACAATGAAAGTTCGCAGGGATGCTCATTTACAAGTGAAAGTCCCCCAAGTTGAGACGCCTCCGCCTCCACCGCTTCCACCAGCCCAAGTTCCATCCAAGAGCAGCATGAGTGGCATGAGGGCTTTTTTCGGCGGCAGCCCAAAGAAGAATAAAACTGCGCCTCCCAAGACACCATCGCCTCCACCTCAGCCAAAACCACTGCCTCCAAGAGTGGTTGAAGAAGGTTTGATACGCCATATACGCCCCGACGGTACACTAGGAAGGGCTTTTGTGGCGTTTAAGGATGTTGCCTCAGAGTGCGATACCCGGCTATTCGAGACTGCCTTCCCACTGGTGGGCTACACCCCAGACGACAAGGCCACCGTCGCCACGTCTAGGACCGGATCGTCGTCGAGGGTGATTGGTGAGGTCGTGTTGCAACTTTTCCGGTTACCTCCGCTGCCGGGGATTTCTCCTGAGAAACTTCCACAATCTCTGGACGAATGCATGCGTGGCTTGAGACATACTTCGTGGCACAAGATTACTTATCTCGAGAGCGTCCTTACTCAGAACGGTGGTGATTGCTCCGTGAGTTCTGTAGGATGCTTCAGCAAGCTACTCTTGGCTTACCACCTCATTGTAGTCTTGGAGGAGACGGCAGTTCCGTCTCGTAGGTGCTAAGATGATAGCATTCAACGATGTGACAAAAAAGGCAACGGCTACCATCGATCTTAGGCAAATGACAGCTGTTGAGGATGACAATGAACCCTTACCACCCGAAGCTTCCCATGCCACCGTTAGCCGGCGGAGAGCAAGAGACTCCTATGACGGGCTCCTGAAGATCGAACGATCATTCCGGCTGATCTTTCCAGAAGAGGAGATCGAGTTCTATACTGATACTGATGAAGAGAAGAGCAAATGGTGAGCTCCTTTTTCCCTTTCTCTCCACCCTCCTGACGATTTTCTAGGCTTCAGGTGTTACGGACGCTAAAAGGGAGGATTCCTCCAAATCCCTTATGGGCCGAACTTGTGTGGCAGCAGCAAGAAGATTTTCGCTCTTCACGGCATGAACCTGACAGTCTCAATCGGTCGCGGTAGCTCATCATAATGTGTCATGTCGGGGTTTCCATCCATCCCTGCTCGTTATTCACTTACTATTGTGTTTGTTGATATTTCAGACATTTATTTGCTTTTCGCTTTGTATTTTGTGCGATGTCTTCGCGATTTCATTCCCACTTCCTCTAGTAGCTTGCTCCCAACATGGACAAATTGATCTGGTGGCTATGCAGGAATGCGCGTTTTTGAATCGATTCCGTGTTGGAGGTCAAATTCACAGCTTTCAATCTGTTTGGCTCTTCTGAGTTCTTTGGTCCGAATTGTAGTCTTTATGAACTCTTATCCAATAGAGCTCATCGTCCAGTATGCCCCAGTCATGTTTGTGGCAGGATTGACCGAATCCCAGCCATCCGAAGGCGCTTCTGGAGCACCTTCGTCCCCAAAAACCTTGTCCGAAACAATAGCACTTACACCTGATTCCAAGGATCCATTTAGTGCCCTAATTGAAAGGCTTCGCTCAGTTCTAAGCGCTAAACGAAGAGCGCCTGTTTGGGATTCCGATAGAACCCCCAAATTTCAGGTAGCCCTGGTAGACCGAGTGAGTATGGAAGACGTTTTAATTCCAATGACTGAACCAGCATACCCAGGCAGTGCGCTTCCCACCCCGAAAAATAAATCCTCCTCAGCAAAGTGTTAGGAACGATGATATCCCATCCACAAGCGTCCCCCACTCTCCACTGTCTCCATTAATTCCTTCGTCCCCACTCTATCCAGACGGGTTAATAGCGCCAGTTTGGGTGCGGAAACACCTTGAACTTGTTCCCTCCGTTTTCGTTCTTTTCCTTCGTTTATGGGAACCTCCGCCCCCTTCATCTCCCTTGGACACCGGGAACAGTCAGGACAGGGAGGAGGAGCGCAAACAGGATGCGGATCTCTCGGCGGAAATTGCTGTTCGGAAACGATCGACAGGAGAACGTGGGATCAAGCTCACGGTCGTGCTGCTAGCTAGTCGGCGGATGCTTGGTGAGCGAACCCTAGACGCGCCACGAGTTCAGACGTTTATCGTCATACAGAGGATCCATCCTTGGACGCGCGACTTTCGTTTATCAGACGCCAAAGTGGATTAGATTCTCGTGCAGCACTATTCGTACTCAGCCCCCTAAATACAACAGAACTTCAAGAATTTGTCCAAAGCCTCCAAGATGCGCTGTTCGAATCAGCGACAGACTACTACACTGCACATACCAAACGTGTGCGCAGGAAGAAGAGCCGAGTCCTCCACAGCCCGCACATATACCAGCAAGTTCGGGACCGACAATTGGCCGTCCGCTTCGAAATGAAGGATGGATTGTACGATATGAGTACAAGATGGCCACATTTGCGGAATTTAGAATGGAGGATGAATTGGCTAGAAAGTCAGTCATATCTTTCTAATCACTTCCACTTGTTGCTCATTCAATATCAGACATTACGAAGATTGTTGGGAAGGATTGATTGGCATGTTTACGTCCACTACCGTCTTACCCCCGAAGACCAAGCGCTGGGCGGAGGCGAAAGTCTTGGCTGATACAGTATCACTTAAGGTCTGTCATCATTTTCCCGGTGCACCTCAAAAATATGAACTCAATTGGCGCCAGATCTGCAAGTTGTATCTATATCATTCTGAGTTTAACAGAGCCTTGATGCACTTTAATCGACACCTTATGCGGTTTTCTGAGATGATGAGCGGCTGGGGTATTGGAGAAGACTCGTTCGAGTATTGGAGCTGGGTGGCGCGACAATACAGGGCGTTCGCGGAATTACTTGATCAGGCATCTCGTTCTGGGTTGCAACCCACCAGCAACAGTGCGTCAAAGTTTCCGGGGGCGGTGCCTCAACATCTATCCACGCCCTCGGTATCTACTGTCGACCCTTCACCGGCTTTCTTTGGTCTCAATCCTTTGAACGCATTGCAACATACTGGTTACTTCTACTATGCCGCCGCGGCATGCACTCGACGTCGCTTGGAAAGATTTACTGCTATAAACAATCAAGATGTACGTACGCATTCTTTAAATTCAGGATGGAGATATTTATAACACGAGGTGCCAGAGTCCAACATACTCTCCCGCGCTGGTCAATGAACGCAAAGTAGACCATTTGGGGACATTGACGGAGGTCAGTTCATGATTCCTGAAGAACTTCACGTTAAATACTGAGCGAACATCTCTCCTGTTACAGCTTTACAGTAAAGCATACGAGTTATTTAAATTTCACGGTGGTTCAAGCAGTCGTTTGACGTACCATATGGCTTATCGGATCGCGGAAACACACTTCCTGTCCAAGAGATATGACCTTGCGGCCAAGTATGCAGAAATTCAGTCCAATCCTTTCCCACCTGAATACTGATTGATTAGGTTTTTCGAGCGTATTGAGCGAACTTATGAAGAAGAGCGTTGGGGTGACATGCCTGAACCCCTCCTCGCCATGTGGTGCGAGTGCAGCCGAAAGTTGGGCAGCAGGGGACTGACGATTCGTCTGCTCCTTACTATTTTATCGGGTATGTGCCTCGCGAATAAGAATAGTGATTCCTAATTGATGCTGATTCCCTGAGATGCCAAACGAGACGCTTTAGAACGACGGTCTGCGGGGAAGGAACTACGGGGTCTTCTTGAGGTAAGGAATATGTCCACTTACAAAAGTGTGAACACGCGGTACCAGCTTCGTCAGATGCCATCACCCCCGGAAGATCATAATTTTATCGAACTTGAAAGTCCTCTAGCGCTGTGTGAGTAAAATTTCGAGTTGTTGAGCATGTCATTCATGGTACATCACTTAGTCCACATGTCTTCTGTCTTTTGGCGAGGGACTGTGTATGTTGGGGAACCAGCTTCATTTCAGCTCACTTTGACTTCTCCCGAGACCAATATCGAGTTCCTCTTCACGGAGCTTCGCATTTATTATAGCGAGCATCTACCTCCTGTGATCGTGCAACACCCAGAAATTGGTATAGAAACCCCGTATACATTCCTGGGAGATTTCGACGTTTCATCCATTGATAACGCGTCTGCAGTCCCTATCCAGGCCGATTTACATTGGGTTCCAGGGAAAAGCAAGACATTTGCTGGCTATCTGACTTCATCAGTGACTACCGAACTTCGTGTATGCTTTTTCCCGCACTGCCTTGGTATGGTATTGTTCACGCTAAAAGCACAGATACACAAGGTGGAGCTGCTATTCGATAAAGATACATGTAAATTCATGGTACCCATCAAGTTAATTGGCGACACGGACCAACTACCGAGAACTGTTCAATGGTTCGCTCCAGCATCATCTGTGGGTCCCCAATTGTCTGTGTCGAGGTCGCGGCCTGATAGTTGCTCGTACGTGCGTAGTTGTTTGTTTTTCTGAAACTCATCGCCATGAATCAGGGTTGTGTTTCGTCCACATCTTTTCTCGATTTCTTACGGACATGAAGAGCCAGCATACTGCAACGAACTATACCCTATTAATATTGAAATCACCAACGAGCACGATCAAGATCTCGAGTTTGATTTAGACGTACTTCTACAGCCATCGGATGATGACACAGGTTGGGCATCTTACCCAGAATTTTGGATTGATATCGTCCTCAATCTTTCCAGTCAGCTATGTAATGGTTGGCGAAGAGCGGTCGCAAGCCTTGATAAAGGGTGTTTCGTTCGGCATAGTTCAAAAGGGCACCTCCGCCACTCGGATCCTGTATTTCATCGGAGGTGCTAGTGGAGAAAGGACGCTTGATATATCAATCCAATCTCGGGCCCTCTGCACGGACGGCGAGCCCGATCAAGCTATCCATATGAACGAGACTCTACGACAGTTAAAGGTCCTAGTGGTGCCTCCCATACAATGTGCATTCCGCACCGCGTATCTCCGAGATTCGCGTCCTCTCTTACCAGTGATGGATCTGTCGAAGTTTGAACCAAATGCTTTTGAACCCGTTGGACGCGCTTTAGTCTCAATAGATGTGACTTGTACTGGTCCGCAAGGTATTGTAGTCAGCTCTATTCAACTCATTCCTCGGGCAAGTTCCGGTTTTCCCTTTGAATCCGTTACTTCGCTCACCAAAGATGAAGGACGGCCCACGCGCGAGAGTGTTGTATACTTCACTGGACTTTGGGGAAAGGGACTTTCCTTCAGTGTGGCAATCGAATGATGCATTCTCAATAATGTGCGAAGTTGAATTAGGCGAAGATGATGCTGAAGAATTCCCCAACGATGAAGTCCCCTTTCCTGGAAGCTTCGAAGTTACATGGCAGAAGTAAGCAGGTCTTGCATATTACAATTAACCTCAGCAAATCCTCACGCGTAATGGGCAGGATAAGCTCGACTGCGTCAAACTTAACAGCTAAGACTAATATCTCCCCGCCGAGTCTGAAGCCTCCAGAAGACAGCATCGTCGCGTTGATTACCTGTCCTCCTTCCGCAAACCTGCATCAGCCTTTCATACTAACCTTGTCGGTGCAAAACCGTCAGCGTTTCCGAACTGCTGACCTATACCTCGATGTGGATTCCTCAGAGGCATTTGTCCTCGCAGGTCCTCGACACACTCGTCTTCCTACGCTGTTACCCGGGATGTCGGAAGAAGTTTTTTTCAATCTTATACCTCTGTCCACCGGCGAAGTACGGCTTCCAACGTTCAAAGTTCACGATAGGCGAAAACCACCAGGCCTGCTACCGCCAGAAAATGAAGACGAGCAGACCGATGCTCCTTATAACCATGCTTCATTGTCGAGGGTACCAGTACTGCTCGCCTCACAGGATGCCAGGTTCGAGGAGCCGGAACAGGCGGAAGGCGCCCGTGTAGACCCAGACGCGCTTCCAATGATTGTGTATCCTTAATATTTCCTCGATATTCGCTCGAAGTGGGGTTGACCCGTCGATTGTCAGCTGGGCACATACACTAAAGCACCGGGTTGGGTTGGATCTTATATTGATATTTGCGCGATGCCGGAATACACATGAACAGTCCAGTAATTCGTATTGAATGTCGTGAAGTGATTGATGTTGCTTCAAATAAAGATTGAAGGGGGAATGATAGGAAATGTACTCCTCGGCGTGCAGGTCAAGTGGTCCAAGAGAATTTGATCCGCGAAAAACATCCCATTTCCCTCAGACTCAGTCGGAAGCCAGTGATCTATCCCCATATCCGTGTTTTGGATTGGTGTAATGTCTTGAACGGCTGGCCAAGCCCGAAAGCGGAAATTTTGGTATTCATTCTGTTTCTCAATTTCATTTCTCGAGATGATCTTCAAGACTCAGGCGGTATGTTTACCTCCAGATCTGAAAGGAGTCGAAAGATAGATGCCCCGACGTAGGATAAGGGGCAGACAAATGTAGAAACCCTGGGACCCAGTGATGCACCTCACCGCCGACGAATGCATGATGTCGAGCGTGCTTCCCTGAACTCGCTTGATACAAACAACCAAGTGCCAATGTCCCTTCCAGACGATCGATGCATAAGCCGAATTTCCTTTCCGCACTCGAAGCCTTGCTATCCAGAATGTGATGGGTTAGTCTTGACAATACCGGTCCTGACAATGAGCGATCCTACTAGGTATTTCACCCGGTAAACACAACGACTGTCGTCAAGTGCAGGGACCCATCTCATACACTCCCCAGTAAATGGCCAAGGGCTTGAGCGTGCTGCCATGCTTAGCAAGATAACCGGTGGTGTCGGCGAGGTAAATATAAAAATCATCGGCTGCCGGAGAGGGTGGAAACTTGGTAAGCAAGGGTCGCGCGCAAGAACAGTCTTGGAAAGATCTTGGCGCCCTTTAGAGAAGCCTAGAGACAAAATTCCAACATCTGGCGAGAATTGGCGACGAATGCCATCACGTAGCATGCAAAGATGACACGAGCAGATCCTGATGTAGTTGTTGAGATCGACGTGGTGGCTAGGCAAGCTTCTGAAGGGCTTTACAGACTAATTAGAGCCGAAGGTGCAGATATCGGTTTGTCAGCGGGGTGGGATTGGCCCGGTTCATTCATCTCCTAAGGGGCAACTCATTGGGTGGTTAGGCATCACGGGTAATAGGCAATGGGGTGGATGAACGTCAGTCATCGCGTTTCCATTTGCCACTCCAAGAACGAACGATTTGGTGGGGGGTTAAGGGAATTGGGTTTGTCGACGATGGACGGCGCTCAGAAAGGTTAAGTGGCATGTTGCACTTCAGGTGATTCAAGGTGGTAAATGTGCTGTCCCATCTACAACTATTATTGGCGCATATGCCTGACATCGCACAAGGACCCGTAGTGGACTGAGAGGAATTGAATCAGGAGTTTTTGGACGATGTCAGAAACTTGACCTTTCGACTTGCTCGGAACGTTCAGTGCATGGAGATGTGGGGCGAAGCACAGAAGTGTTTCACATGCCGAAGTATTTAATAATAAGGGTATCGTACACAAACAACACGATGGGGAAGGTGTAGGCCACAAATGAAACTTCGAGAGCAGTGGAAACAAGTTGCCGCAAAGTGATCAGGTGGCACTTAATCGTGGCCTCCCTTTTCAACCCCTCAGAGTGAGAGGAACGACGTCGAATACTCTCACTATGATGAGGGAAGAGAGGCCAAAGCCAAATGTTAGTTTAGTTCGGGAACCAAAAAAAAACAGCCTTATATAGTATTTGTCAGGTGACCCCTGGGGTAAATGCCGGAGGCAGCCTTCTGACTGCCGACACTTCGAACATTCCAGACTTACGTAGAATCCCTACTGTAGTCTAGTTAGCCTTCTTGAGTCTCAGTGGAACCGCTCTATCTTAAGGCGGCGAAAAAACTTAGCAACTATCCTACGTCTTTGCGCTCCGCCTCATCGCATATATTCACCGCCTAAAGTATTGCTAAAGTTAATACAATCCTTATTTCCGTACGTTGTTGTACATTAACGGAAGATGCACCTTCCGATCGACAATGGTCTGGAGAATCCTTGCCGCGCGAGTGTCCCAACCATGCGGCCGTCGTGGAACTTCTTGCTGGGTGGCCGTTGCGATGTGACGTCAACTCTCTATGAGTCTCTTCTTGCTCGTTTTCGCTCCTTTCTCTCCACCATAATGCTCTGGAAAAACAAGCTCATCCTTTGGCTCACATTATTTTCTGCGCACACGACCAACATTAGCACCCATGATGCGGTGGCTGCTGGGTCTTCGTACCTCCTGGGAGTCGGCATTGGGGATGTTACAGGCCCCATTGTCGAGACAAATTGTCAGTCTCTCCTATCCTTCCATTTCGAGGCTTGAAGCGTGAAAAAAGCGGAACCTAACCACATGCGGAGTTACTAGTGATGGGATTTGCGAATCCTTCCCAAATTGATACTGGCCTACATATGAGGCAGCGAAGTCGTGCGTTCATCATCGCGGATACAGTAAATCCTTCGAATCGTGTGGTGTTCATTAACTCGGATATTTGCATGGGAGACACTGCTGCCCGTACTGAGATTGTCCTGCAATTGTATGTTTGTGTCTTTTTCCCTGCCTAATGCCCTTGAAATTTAGGACTTTAATCTATGTCTATTGCGTACCTGAAACCGCTTTCCACTGCAGAGAAAAGCTTTATCCTGGGGTCTATGACAACTCCAACATTGCACTTGTGGGAACTCATCAGCATTCTGGGGTTGCGGGATACCATAATTATCTGCTCCCCCAAATCACATCAAAGGGGTTTATACGGAAATCTTACGAAGCTATCGTAAATGGTTGGTTCTCTTCAGTGAACTAGGGACAATGGTAACTGAACATTTGACTTAGGCTCCGTGAAAGCCGTGATCCAAGCTCATAATAGCCTCAAGCTGGGAACCCTTAGCCTTGGCAACACGACACTTCTTGACAGCAATGTTAACCGCTCTCCCTACGCGTACTTAGCGTCAGTAGCCCTTTCCCCTCCCTTAGAATGCACTGACTGATTCGTCTTGCATGACAGGAATCCTGTATCTGAACGTGCCAGATATCGATACGACCAAGACAAAGACTTCACATTGCTCAAGTTCACGGATTCAGCGACTGGCTCCTCGCGCGGATTTCTCTCGTTCTTTGCGGTCCATGGAACAAGCATATATCCGAATAATACTTTTGTCAGTACGGATAATAAGGGTAAGGCGTTTCTTCACTGACGTGGTGCTGCGCCGCTAAACCACTGCGTTATCTGAGGCATGGCTGCTTATCTTTATGAATGTAAGCTGAGACGCTCATGCCTCACGAACCATGGCCTCATAGATTCGTCTCAGCATATGTAAACCCGAATGCCTTTCCGGGGCTGAACAACAGCTTCGTGGCTGGTTTCGCCCAATGTGAGTTCTTCGGCTCTAGCTCCAGTCTTATTAATGTAACCACTTTGTAATTCAATAAGCTAACGTAGGAGACACAAGGTAAATGACCACTTTCCATCCCGTTGGTATCATCCTGACGTATCTAATATTACAGCCCAAACACGTGAGTGCCTATATCTCCAGGTCCTCTAATATGCCGGATTTGACGCGATTTTTCGACGAGAAGCCTTGGAGTCTACTGTGAGAGTCCAGGCCAACCCTGGGATGGTCAGCCCTGCGAGTTCACAAAGTCTACGTGTGGCAATAGTACCCAAGATTGTCACGGTCGCGGTCCAGGGTTCCGAATCTCCGACTTTGAATCTAACAAGATAATTGGGACAAACCAATTTAAGGCTGCGAAAACTCTTATGGGAGGTTCAACGCTTGCACCTGTTTCGGGTGCTGTGAAGGCGCTACATACATACGTCCGAATAAGCAATTATTCGTTCACGCTTGCCAATGGTACGAAAGTGCATACCTGCCCTGCTGCTATGGGATATTCGTTTGCGGCTGGAACGACGGATGGGCCTGGAGCGTTTGATTTCACTCAAGGGAATAATGCTACGCAGAAACAGAATCCGTTTTGGGAGCTTGTTAAAGGTGCGTGCGCTTGAACGTCCTGGGGTGTGCTCATGTGAAAGGGAACGGCGCTGTCAGGTGCTGTTACACCGGCTCCAAATCCGGAGCAGATTGAGTGCCAGCATCCGAAGCCCATTCTGCTGAATACAGTATGTTTAAATAAGTCGTGTATAAGGGACACACTAAATTCCATTCATTAGGGTTACGCACACACTCCATATGAGTGGTATGCTACATGTTCACAGTTCATAACCATTGTGCCTCATGCTGTTTTAGGACTCCCTCCATCATCGATATTCAGCTCTTCCAAGTCGGACAATTGGTCATGCTTATTGTACCCAGTGAATTCACCACAATGGCTGGCCGGCGAATCCGCGAGGCAGTACGCGCGAAGCTCATCTCATCTGGAACCCTCGATAATTCCGCATACGTTGTTATTGCCGGCCCTAGTAACGTGTATTCTCATTATGTCACCACACTGGAGGAGTACGGCATTCAACGATATGAAGGTGCCTCGACGATATATGGACAATGTGCGTGTACCCATGATCATTTGTATACCCTTGCTTATTAGGCTTGTCCCTTGGTAGTCACATTGGAAGCCTACATAGATATTTACACTCATCTCGTTCAGTACCTTAAACCAGGGAGCACCGCAACACCCAGCTCTGGACCTACTCCTCCTGATCAAATCAACGAGTCCATTTCTCTTCAGGGAAGCTTCGTCCAACGTCATCGTGCTCTGCAAGGCTGGCTAACGCTGTCGGTCATTAGCCAGATGTTATTTATGATACACCTGGTATCAGGCGTTTCGGGGACGTATTAACTGATGTCAGTACTTCAATATCGTACACGGCTGGTCAGACGGTCTTTGCGGTGTTTCAAGGTGCAAACCCTAGGGTCAGTTCAATAATCCAACTCACAGCGTGCTTAACTAAGGCACTTTTATCCGCTTCGTAGAACAACTTGAGGCTGGAAGAAACGTTTCTTACTGTTGACATGCTAGTCGGATCAACGTGGGTACCAGTCCGAACGGACTCTCATCCTTCCACAACTTTGAGTTGGAAGCGTACCAGTACGATTGTGAGTCAACTTTCAATGCTTATTTCGTAATCCTGATAGCTAACACGGCAATGATTCCATGAAGTTGGCAACATCCACTACCAACATCACCTGGTGCGTTTTCTCCTCGCGTTCGTCCCCCACAGTTGATCTTGCTAACTACTTCCCGCAGGACCATCGAGAATGGGACACCTGGTATGCATTGCTCTTGTGATTCGCAGCACTGTCCTCCACTTCTTAACGCAATTTATAGCGGGAACCTACCGTTTGACTTACTACGGAGATTCTAAGTCTGTTGTGGGAATAAAGGCATTCGTTGGCTATTCGTCCTCCTTCACCATCTCAGCTTAAGCCACACGAACTCATAGGCGTATTACATTAGCATTAGTACTTTGTATTTTACTTGGATAAATCCGACATCCTCTCATTGATTTATGCTTGTGATCGGTGCATGTTCTTGATGACCTGATCCTTTGCCCACTTCCCTGCTTCGCTGTCCTGATTGATTGAACTCCAAATGAGCAAGCGACAGGTGAAATCGCGCCAGATGCGTGCATGTCGCCGCTCGTCAGCGTTAGAAACCATGAGCGATTGCCAGATAATCTCGATGGAACGACCCCATATCCATAAATCTGGGGTGGATGGACGGAGAGCGTGCCCCTCCCGTTCCGTCTTTGACATGGAGATTCCACACATAACAATTTCTTCCAATCGGAAGTCGGACGTCGAGATGGTTGGTTCTAGTCGCTCGAGCACCCTACGCAGCGAATCCAAAAGCGCTTGCGTGGTGGGAATGTGCATATTTATAGGCGAGATGTGCTTAATCACGATACTGATCTGGAGCAATTGTCTTAGGGTTATACCTGGTGTACGAGGTGAGGTCAGCTGGAGCAGAAATTTAATAGATATAACTACTCACTTGGATCCCCAAGAATAAGCCCAAGACACTCTGCAACAGACGAACCCCAAGCGCCCGGGATCCTGGGTGCATCTCTGGTCGACTCCAGCACGCGAGAGATATTCCCGAGAATCTCAAGCCAGATTTCTACCTCTTCTGCGACTGTCTTATGGAGTTGGGTTTGTATCCAGGAAAGTAAACCGAAACGCCTCACGAGTGACGAAGTTGCCGTGGCATCCAAGCTCAATCGGACGAGTACCTAGTTCGCGCGTCATAAAGGGAGTATCCCGAGAGGAACAGAACTCACATTCAGGATACCACGCCGTGTGGCTTGATCCGTTTCGGGAGTTTGGAAAATACCGGCCAGGCGGTCCCACTGATGACGGTGGGAGAAAACCGTCCAGTCCTGCGTCGATATCATACCATCGGCAATGAAGCGGATGATCCAACCTCGCTCTAATTTCCAACTCGCTTGTTTTCCAGAACTGTCATTTGTGCTGTACAGCATCCTGAACAGGAGGGGAACGCTTGTATCATCTAGCGTCGGCTGCTGGAGGAGAAAGCGCATAACCATTGGATATATGAAGTGAGACGGGTTATATATCGATCTTAAGGCATGGGCCACGATCAGTGTGACATAGGTTGTAACTCGTGGAGGGGATGCGTTAGGACTGGCCGGCGGTATGATATTCCTAAGGAGGTTGAGAACATAGATCGTTTCGTCCCTTTCTCTGAAATCCGCAGACTGCGGGAGAATGAGTATCATCCATTTAGGGCGATCTGGATCTTACCTCGACATAGTATAGCAAAGTGGCTAGACATAGGGAAGCGGACGCTCGAATACTCTCGTCGTCTGAGGAAAGAGCTCGGACAGCGATACAGGGTGCATTCGTCTGGAACACTTGAGCCCATTGACTACCAGTCAACCCACCCTCAAGTGATGCCGCATTCAGCAACGAAATGATGAACTGGGGTTCATAGACAGCTCCCTCGTCCCGTCCAGCATTGCTGTGCATTGAGGGTTCTCCGAAAACAAACGGCGTGAGACATGTTCTCATCACCACCTCAGGATCCAGATTAGTTATCGCATCAACAACCGAAGTGTGAGAAACGGGACCCGAGCTTCCGTTCCAATTCTTGACGATCGCCATAACTGATAGACGTCGTTCACGCTCAAACAATCTCAAGATTGAGATGATTTTCCGATCTGAAGTGGACAATGTCCCTCCGTATACCCCGATCAAAGGGGCCACATGCGTTGGCTGACACGAATTTTCTGGGTGCATAAAAAATAGGGCATGAAGCAGAGAGGTGATCGGGGACCGGGTGTCATTCTCAGAAGGAAGACGTTTGCGCGCAGTAGTCAGTACCGGGAAGTCTGGGTGGTGTAACACACTCTGTAAGAGGCGATTAGAGGCGACGGGCTGCCGGGGCGACATCAGTGAACAAATAGTCCCACAACAACTGAATATGTTACCTTGAGTTTGGTACGCGTCGCTAACTTGGCCATGAATTGCAAAGCTTGATATACCCAAAGTCTGTTCTTTACACCTGCGGTGAGAACGGGGTCCGCTAACGGTGCTTGAACATCTGGTGCGATTTCGAGGAGGTATCCTACAAGACAGCGTCAGCCATCGTACACTTCGACTTGGGTTGAGGAGTTACCAAACATGTCAAGCAAGCTTAACGTCTCTGGAGAGTCTTCGTCATCTTCCGAGAAACGACGCACAACCCATTCCAAGCCGCGGTTAATGACAGAATTTAGAAGTAACTGGGCCTTTTCGCCGGTATTCGTCTGAAGTAATCGATACAAGAAAAGGAGGAAGTGGACTGAGATGCTGATCTGTTGGGGTGGTGCTTGAACTTCATCCAAAATAAAGCCAATGAGGGTCTCGTTTTGTGATGGGTGGAGGCGAAAAATGGACAAAAGGCATTCAACAATCACCCCAGCATTTTTGAGCGAAAGCGATTCCGAACGCAGTCTTCGTAACAGGGGGAGTATCATGCCATTTAAGTGGGGATATTCAGGTTTGGACGTTTTCGTATTCGTAGCAATCGAGCATGAATCCAAGATGGCATGGAACGTCTTCAAGTGGCGTTCAATGACCTCATCACTCGGCTTGTTTCTCACCCATTCCACGAAACGAAAAGTCAGGTTTGAACTGAGATGCAAGGCGTTTGCGCCAATTTGGTCTGTCCCAACAAGAGTTGAGTCGATATCCGTAGCATCTGGAAGTTGTAGATCAATTGATGGAGTTCGAGTCCAGCGCTCATTAGCATCGTTTATGACTTCGCTAAGGACAATACGACGCAAGCCTTCCAGATCCTCTATTCCTGGAGGAAGATGGCATCTTAGGATATCTGATACTAGGGCACCAATCCTGGGCGAAGCTGATAATGGAAGCGAAACTAATGCGGGTAGACGTTCCCGGAGAGCCTTGCGTGCAAATTCACTTCGTCTCTGTAACAACCCCGTCGTTAACGAAGCAAGGAAATCATCTAAGACCACACTCCCGCTGTTGAGGGGGGAAGAATCAATAAGCGAATCAAAGACTTCAATGAGTTGTGAATCGTCGAGAAACGGCAGCCAAGGCAGCCCAGTAGAGAACTGCTCGGAAAGTCAGAACCCCGAAGAGCAAAGAGCCCCAAATTTAAAGCAAAACCTACTTGAAATGACGCACGTTGCGCGCCTCTCATTTTCTCCAACCAGCGAAGGGATATTGGCGCAACGTGATTTACGATCATGGATGGGTCTGCAACTTCGCGGATTAAAGGCCCAAGATCTAATGAAAGCAAGTCTAAGCAAGCCAGGTGTTTTGTAACAAACAGGATGGCAACTTCTTGACGATTCCAAAATTCCAACGATGTGACTCCGTAAGCCAATGCGATCCGAAAAAAGCACTTCGACAAGGGTGGAGGCATCATAGATGCTGCAAGCTTTGGCTTCCTGTACGATGTTAAGCAGGATGATTAACACTGCGTCCACGATGTTGGGGTTGGATCCCAGCTTATGTAAAAGCAATCGAGAGGCGTAAGTCAAACGAGCAGGGGATTTCTCTGAAATGACTAGATACGGTAGCCATTGCTGCAAGTCTGATCTTTGGAAATCCGCCAACGCGACCGCGCAGAAGATACCAGGTCTACGAACCAAATCGAATTACTGTAAGATCCCGATGAGAGAAAGCAAGAGTACCTGAAGCTCTCCATGAAGTCTGGAGTCGGATCGGGAATGAATGCAGTAAGTGACGCTGACTGTGGATCTACAAAAGAACAAAATTCTTGAATAGCAGCCGAATGATTGTCCCAGTTTTTCATAATCTTGGCCATGCGGTTCACTCGCTGCCAGTCTAGGGGCGGATCTACAAGACGAACCCAATCAACTAGCATCATGGAGTCCAATGCAATATCTAATGGTTCTACACAAAAAAACCACGTCAGTCGAATGACGTGCTGAACATGATAAGTTTTCATTACCTGAAAGGCTCTCCACAGAGGTCAAAAAGTCGTCCACAGCCACAAACGAATCACCAATAGTTCGATCACGGGTAGGGGCCACGCCCAAGAGGCCGGCAGTCAAAAAACGGATCTCTCGTTCTAGGCCGTTGCGTAGGCTGCCATATGCAGCTTTGGCTGAGATTCGTCTAAGCGCACGGACAGCCTCTTGAACAAGAACGGAAGTCTGTCGCGAGTCTGAGTACTTGCAAGTAAAATTTTGAGTCAATTTCCGGACAAAAGTTGCTATGGCAAGAACATCTGATGATGTCAGACCTGGAGGGTCCTGTTCGGCTTTAGAAATGAACCCTTCCAGAATGACTGAGAATAAAGGACTAGGGATCTCCCGACGGTGTACTGGAACAGAAGGATCATCGTGGTCGGCTGTTTGAATGCCTTTGAGCATCGCGAGACTTTTCTCAAAGTAGGGATATGGCGTCTGCATACACCGTCGAATACTGTCGTCAAGGAAGGTCAGCACACTAGCGCGTTCATCGGTCAGCGGGAATCCCTCGGGGGATTTAGCAGAGGGTGAACGCCCGAGGCGGGGCAAACTGTCCAGCCACAGCTCAACCTCATCCGGATCGTGGTCAAAAAGAGGAGTTCTACTGAGGACGGCTTTAAGGAGCTTTTCCGCCGTCTGGCGAAGAATTCCCGCGGATGTCTCCAGATATAATACGAAGATGGGGTACAAATAAGTGTGTTGAAGACCTGCTCGAACAAACTCAATCCTGAATTTAAAAAGACATACGGACAGCCAACATACCAGAGTTTTGCCACGCAAATTTGTCGCTCTCCTGCAGAAGACGAAGCACGTGGAGCGATCCCAACAACGAAATCCCCTTGGTGTTGGCGATTTCCGGGGATGGAGAGAGCTCCTTGCGAGTGTCTGTTAATAGCCTCACTAACTGTCCGGAATTGAAACGAGTCCCACTCATTAGGGCCGGAAGTGAACGGTGATATTGCCACATCAACCGCAATGCAGCTTCACTCAGTAATGCGTCACGGAAAGGATTTGGAGATTGGGAAGAGGCTGGTGTCTTGGAGGCGGTTTCCGATTCCTTCTTCTCATCAGGCCCCGTGGAAACAGCATCGTGAGCCGATTTAGGGGGGAGAAATTGGATAATCATCTGGACGTCGGGCAATCGTCTTTTCATCTCCTTTTCGAACTCGATTCGTCTGCGCGTCCAGAAACCAAATTCTTCATCTTCTTCCAAGATTCGCTCTATTCGCAAGAAGCATAGACGGATTTCCTCAAATTTATCCAGGCATTTGGCAAGCATCAGAGCGGTAGAATGTTTAATCAATGGCTCTGTGCTAGAATGCAGCGCCTTAGACAGACATTCTCTGGTCAAAATCGACGGCAGAGTATTCTCCACCAATGAAGATAGAGGTGGGGGGGTTGGGTTAAATGTAGCCCCCGTTGAGGGACCGCGACTTGAAATGGGGTCAACAGTGCGAAAGCATGCAGCGGGAATAGGCATGGATATAACAATGCCTACGAAAGACACACTAGATATCCAGAGCGAGGAAAGTGTAGCCTCCCTTTTCAGCCGTGACCGAGGCCAGAACCTGATTAGCAGGTCAGCACACAGGGTCATGGAATAATACAAGTTAGAACTTACACTCTCACAAGCTCAGGACACGTCCGGAGTATTTTCAGAGCCAAATCCCGTTGACGCTGGTCATCGACGACATTTAGACTCCCAAGAAATCCAGCCAGACGCCAATTAAGGACACTCTTATCCCCACTCGAGCCTTCTGACTCCTGATGCTCAGCGCTGTCAACTGCGTCAGGCCCATCGTCACCGGAGCCCCCATAATACCAGCCTTTATCGCGTACGCAGATACCCACATTGGGTGTCGTGCACACTGCAACAAGAAAACTGTGCGCGGTATCAGCTGGCACATCGGTGGGATCGGGCCCCTCTTGATCTGATCTTTTGTAGAGTTTGATGATCTGCAAGAATCAAAATCAGAAGGGGTATTCGCACTGATTTTGTGTCTGGGTTTATGACCTGAAGCAGAACCTCGCGCCCGAAAGCCTGGAGTTTAAAATGTTTGGAAAGCTCGACATCACGCCAGATGCCTTCCCAAGCCACCTCTAGGACTTTCTGAACTACTTCGTAGGGATCTTCATGCAAACCTTCAAATATTTGCGCGAAGATCTCTTGATGTCGTAGAAGAAAGACTCCTTTAGTCGATGTCCGAGTCTCAGGCGTCAAGAACGTAAGCATAAATAAGATAAATGACGTCCTGGGATCAGGGTCCTCAATAAGGTTCCATTCCGATGATGGAGTTGAACGCATTTCGAGCAAGGCACGTAGCGACTGAGGGCATTCAATCGACATTGAGCACGTTGCGAAAACAATCATACTCACCCCAGCCCCCCAATTAAATGCTTCCATTACGTCCCGCTTCTTTACTCCACTGTCGAATTCCGCCATTGCGCGCAGCAGTTTGAAAGCAAGCGTGACCAGACGTTGGTTGTGGCCGGAAGCCAGGTGGCCCAAGGATTCCACTCGCGGGGCGTCCAATAGCTTTAAAAGTATCTTCTCTCCATGTGCGATGTGTAAAATATTGTGGCTGGTGAAATTGAGTATGGAAGCCAGGACCGAAATGATATCGGAGACGTTAGCATCCAACTTCAGGATTGGGTGTCACGCGAATTGGGAGTTGGTCCGTAAGCATAGAGCAGAGCGCCGTGTATGTTGATGATCTCTTACGCCAGTATTTGCGACCTCATCCCAAAAGTCAAACAATTCTGGGACCCCAGGTGAATGGGTCACCCACTCCTCAATCAAACGTACCCGCCCATCGGTGGCTGGTAGAGGAAGAACATCGGGATGAACGTCCAATTGTTTCTTTAACTCTTTCAGGACTCAACCATCTGTTGTTAGCAGGTGGATTCAGGTCAAGAGACGAAGAAATTCGCTTACAAGGATCCCGTTCATAGACATCTAACAGCATCTTTCGCACTTGGCCGCCAGTCGGGAAGTGAGTGTTTCCGGTCTCTCCTTCATCTTTTGAGATGTTGGGAGCACTTTTTTTCCCTTTGCGCTTTTTTTTCGGGTTCTCCATTACCAAGGAGTTGTGGCCCTAAGCGCCAGAGAGGTTCAATTCAGTTCCGATTCAATGTGGTTCACTCAATATCACTGGCACGTCATACAGTAACTGGTGTGCGGGTATGACTTTAATTCGGGTAAGAATGTAGGGAGTACAGAGTGGGACACCAAAGGTCAAAGTTCGTCATGTGTAGAATTTACGATTTTCATTCAGCCCGAACAGATCATTCCGAATCTCAGGAAGCATCTGGTACGCGTCCCCAGTTAGCAGAATGCTATGCCTGGCAATCATACGACTTACTCTATCTTCCAATAGACCAAGTCTTTCGTCTAATGAGTTGTCTAGAGTGATGCGCTGGTCCGCGCTCACGAGCTTCACACCACCAGCGCTGAGATGTAATGGAGCGATTAGTTGAACTAGATCAATGATGAGAAACTTACATGTCATCGGATAAGACAGCTTCGACCGAAATCTTTACATCTCTCCCACTAATCTCATTATACTGTTCCGCGGCATTTGATACCACAGAATGTAGAATCCCAGAATCCTTCTTTCTTCCAAATACGATAACTTCAGGCTCTAGTATGCGGAGTAGACCCTGCTTGGACGTGCGTCATGGTCAACCAACGGTTAACGCATCAATATCAGACGAACCTCCACAACGATGCCCTCCAACAATTGTGAATATTTCCCCTCATCTGCCGAGAGGCTCGCGATCCTAGATCGAGCCTCGGTGAAGAGGTCCTGAAGCAATTCTTCGCGAGCTTGCAGAACGCGGAGCCGTGATTTGTTGGTGGAGGTAGATTGAGCACTGAGAAAAAAGGGCGCCCGGTATTAATGTGATAGCTGTTACTGAGATGCAGGGGAAGCCAACATCTTTAGACTCGTTTCGGCTTGTTTGTGCTTCTTCTCGAAGTTTGAATCAATCGCCAACGACTCCTGGCGAACGATCTTGGCCTGCAAGGGCAATGTAACTATCATGTTGTAAGATAAGCATGTTGATCTCGCATTTTGCGTACCTTCTCAATGGCGAATTCTTCGTCCGCCTTCACTCTCAGCTCTCTGGCCTTCTCATTAGCCTCCTGTTTAATGAATGCCACCTAGACCCAAGTACTACTCAGTCGATATAACAAGCCGACTCGGAATAAGCGCAGACCATCTTTTTCATCTCCTCTACGACTTCTTGATCATTGAGAGGTCTTGAGGCCATTAGTGATTGTGATTGTGAAGTTAGTACCAGTCTGGCTCCTAGTCTCGTGATCCCGGGCCCAGCTGCGCGTGACATCTCTTGAACCCTCAATTTCTTTTTCACTCTTTTTCCAAGCAAATACCATTTCGATATTAAATGCAAAAAATCCTCCCGACACCGTTGACCTGTGTTTAGGGTAGTATATCAGACCAAACGGGGCTACAATCCCCAGTTCCGGGTCCGCTGCACAGTCTCAGTCCCTCCAGCTGGGCCATCATCCTAAGGGGCTGGTCACCTGCCTACCATCATCCCACACCTTTCCTATGTTTCTAATGCTCTCCCGGCGCACGAGCACCCCCAAGGTGGTAATCCATATTTAGATGGGTCAAAGTCCTCCATTGAAGTTAAGGTTTCTGTCGGTTCCACAAACTCTTCCTCCCGTGGCAAAGCGAGCAAATTTGGATCTAGGCATGCATTGTGTTTTTAAAAACACAGGGGAGGGGGATTAAGGTTCGGATCGTACCTGGTATCCAAATGGCTCGCATTTTCGCATTCCTTGCCGCCTCAATGCCACTCAAGGCGTCTTCAAATACAAGACAATGTTCGGGTGAATGGTGGCCGAGCTTCCTGTGGGCCTCGAGAAAGATATCAGGTGCAGGCTTTCCTTTTTCAACCCCTGCGTCATCCCCGCATGTTATGGAATCGAATAGCCCAATAATTCTGAGTGCGCTCGAGTCTTGATCACGAACTTCGAACGGGGCGAGGATGTTGCTACCGCCATGGGGATGTTGTGCTCATGCAGGTGGCGTATCAAGCGCTGGTTGTTATTACTTTTATCCTAGGGCACATCCCGTAGGCCCGGCTGATCTCACTCACCTCCACCCCCGGCAACACCTTTGTAGTGGCGAAGAGTTCAGTCTGTATTACCATGTTCTCGTTCATGAAATCATCAATGGGCATCTGTATGCCGGTTGAGTCCATGAATATCCGTGCGGACTAAATAAGTATTGACATGAGTGGCCAGATCGGCACAAAATCAATCGCCCGGCGTGCCTCTTGTGTTCCCCTTCCCATCAGCTTACTCTTGAGCTCCCATGTAAAGGTCGTGCCTGGGGCATGTCTATCAAGAAATACTTGAGTGGCTTCGGTGTAGATCCTCTCTGTATCGAGGAGTAGCCCATCCTGCAGCGCACTAGATTCGCTTAACGGATCGGACCACAAAGAAAGGGCAGCGGCACCATGTCAAATATGCAACACAAAACCTGAGTCATGCTGGAAAGCACTGCCAATTATTCTAAGTGGAACAGCAGCAACGAGAAATGCGATCGAACTCTAGAACCAGCAATCCGGATTGTATCCGGACCAAATTTGACTGTGGCGGTGCTCCTCCACACAAGTGGCAAGCCACTCCCAGATAGCGGTGCGAGACGTCCCGTGGGGCCCGACAGCACATGTCTGTTGGTGCGACCTCCTCCGTGCAGATGGGAACCCTTAACTAAGGGGCACCTTGAAGAGACCTCGGCGATCGTGTTGAGGCCTGCTCGTCTTTCCGTCCCCTGCATAACCGACACGAAACGTGCACGACTCATGCAAACACCGAGGTCCGAAGGATTCCAGAAGATTTCAGGGACGACGACAACAGTCGCATCGGTGCGACCTTTGCACCTAGTGAGGTGATGACAGCCGCCGACTGGACGAGCTAAAATTATCAATCATCGGAGTCTCTCCTGGCCCTGGAAGAGAATAGGGTCTTGGCAGTGACCACACCTGGATTAAACACCCACGATTCACTGGACGCTGAACTCACTTCAGCTCACTTCTCGTTGGCCTTTCGCTTTCCCGCGCCCTCTCTTCCTCCCATTACATAATTCGCACTAATTCGCACTTGTTCCACCGTCCAGAAAACTGCTCTGCAACGGTCGAGAAAAGAAGAATGTTCATCTCCCAAGTGGCTGTTCGATAAGATGGATGCTATCCACCACTTGATCTGTATTTACATGTGTTTACATCGATAATATTTCCATCGGAACACGTGCCTGCCCGCTCTTTTAATTAATTACATAATTGCCAATGTCATCGTCCCAAAACGGTCGAGAACGTTGACTAGTACGCGGCGCAGATGCGCAGCAACCCACATCTATTCGGACACTGCCTCTCCACCACGTCCGTGTCACCTGCCTAATGTCATAGCCAGCAACTTCCCCACGGATTTCACTCTGGAACTCGGATTTGAACCAATGCTGTGTCTGCTTGTCTCCTCATTGCGGTTTCCGTAAGTACCTTCCGTAAGCTTTTTACGGGATCGTGCCCAATTCAAGAAGTCCCGGGGTCTACCGAGCCTGTTCACGCGCCACCACGCTACCAGGAGGCTTCACAGCCTGCGCACAACAAGGTTAGACGAAGAACATGCTGCTAACCAACGATAACTGGGGACTTGGGCATCATCATCTCATCTCAATCACTATGTTGGTGACCTCTAGGGCAATTAGCCTCATTGTAACTGGTCTCCTCTTCTCCTTCGCTTCGGTCTTGGCTCGTCCCACCACCAGCTTCGACCTGAAGCCAGCGAGTCCCCCTCTTCTCCATGACGGTCATGCACCTCACTTCCCTTCCCCGTCCATTTCTTCTTGGGATAAACGTTTGTTAGTCTCGCCTGGGGCCGCCAAACGGTGTGTCAATGACGAAGACTTTCCGATCCCATGGGCTGGTGCAGAATTGGAGTCCAAAAATAAGGTGAGATTTCTCCCATGAGTTATCAATTGCACAAGAGCTGAGATATCTTTTATTCAATGGATAACTTTTTCACTTCGTGTAGACGAGTTATATAACGGCCACTTCCACCTTTACAATCCCCCAACTTCAATCTACTAGTCAGAATACGACTCAGCACGTTGCCACACTAGTTGGCCTTTACTGCGAGGGTGTCGCCCTGACGCGTATCAATTTTGCAGTTCATCCTGATAATACCGTTATCATTACTGGTGCGTCCGCAGTCGAACGTAGAATAGATGACCAGAATATCATCATTGAATGTCTCTGTTACCATGACACACAGGGGGAACCACGGGAGATTCAGACTCCCCTCAAAATATCTCTTTCGGCATAGGAGATATAGCAAGGATATCAATATTCGCATTCAACAGTACGGTATCTGTTGCATCCCTCGAGAACCTAAGCAAGCAGGATCGCTCAGACGGCTTGGTCATCCACAATCATAAACCACTGTGCAACTCGCTCAGTGCCGCATGGGGAGTTGGAGCTTTCAACGAGGGGAATTCTCAATCCTCTTATGCAAATTTCGGTACCGTCACTTACCATAATGCTGCGGCTTATAGCACGGTCTCTGGTTCGATTGTTGGTCCAGATGGAGCGGGCACTCGTGAAATTTGCGGAGCTCGTGGAACGCATGTTACTTCTACGTCCATCGCTTCTGCCAATGTGACCATTTCCTATCTGGGGCCATGACTTCACATTTATCGCTTTTTACTGTAATCCCATTTGATTGTGTTGTACTTTTCTTTTCTTTTCTTTTGGGTGGAACCTCTCTTGGCTTTCGCAACGTATCTGTACTACATTGGGGCTCGTACTCCTCCAGGAATTGTGTTGTATCTGTATTAGGTGTACGTGGCAAATATCATATATGGATCCACAATGGCAAATTAATATATTCTAAAAACAAATTCAACGTTTTTTTTTTTGTTCCCAAATCCTCAGTAGGCACTACCAAACTGTGGGGCTCCATTGGGGAATATCTGTCTGAACAATTGTGGATAATGCGCTTCAGCCACGTCGGGATGACTCCTACGTTTATGGAGGTCTCAGTCAATGGGAACAATTTAACACTTCAACGATAACGTACTTGATTCGTCCTATCAAGGCCACGATTCCTGAGGTTTCGTAAAGATATTCCGCATAATTAACGGCTATGATGTGTGTGAGAATGATGGATCAACGGCCAGTGAATGCTGACGCACCTTGAGAAGGATCGCCGCCAGACTGCCGAGCATCGCGTAGCCTTAGAATATGAGATGGGACTAGGTGAATTCCAAGTCAGAATATTGCGTGCAGTGGAATCCCCCCCCCCCCGAGTTAACACATACTATCCAACTTGATTTCCCCAACCCGTACTGACCGACTGATGCTCTGGAAAAATGGAACAGAGTACCTCGCTGGAGACCCTACCGGTGGAGAGATTACGCGATGCGATGTAGCAATGGCAACGTTTTGCGTGACATGTTCCAAAGCTAATTCGAGTGAATAACCATGGATGTGTGTGAAAATTTATGGGCGAATGAGACATGCAACGATGAGAATGCGGAAGACGGGGAATTCACCTTTCCCGATGTTCACCACAAGTGTATTAGGCTTAGGAAGAACATCAATCCACTGTCCCGATACGTTTTGAACTTGAAGTCCAGGGAGATCAGACACTTGAAGAAGCTGTTCCCACCCAATATCAATAACCATTTCAATGGCTCGAGTATGCCCCGAGAATTATTGCACTCACGAAGGTCAGAAAACCTAGGTTGACACGTGAATACAACGATGCAGCCAAGAAGATGAAGCAGGAAATACGAACCAGAATCATAGTGCGGACCAACCCCCTGAGAACTGGATACCTCGTTCACGTTGGGATACTTGACGAGCTACGATAAAGACATGATCTATTCCTGTTCGTCGCAGTGTAGAAGGGGGCAATCGGGCTAACCTTTCCTCGATGCTGCATCAATTCCTTCGGTCCATCGAAGAAGGGATCCAAAGCTCCAGGTTGCAATTCGAGTGCTTCTTCCATGAGATTAGTGAACTCGAAGCTCAAGTGCTTTAGTTGCTCGAAATATGCTTCAAGATCTTGTCTGAAGCCAGGTAATTCGTCATCATCTGGCCACTGTGAAAGCAATCCCTGAGTCAGTCCCCCTCTTAAGTCGGTTCCCCAATATCATACCTGTGGCGAACCCCACAGCCTTAACCAATCCGGCTGGCCTTCCGTCCACTGATTCGCGTGCTCGGTACCGAAATCAAATTGTTCGCGCTGATCCTGAACACTCTTTGTAAACTCGCGTCCAAGGCGACTGTAACCAAAGAAATGTGGTGAATTGCGCATCGCGAGGCGCTCCTTCCGTTCGGTAGGTAGGTCGAAGAATTTGGGAGTGTAGGCCTTCACCCGGTCCACCAAGGCCTGAAGTGAAGCAGTAAGGTGTCGGAAGCAGGTATCGAGTCGAAGGCCTCAGTAAGATGTACATACCTCTTCAACTGGGGGATTCGACAGGTAGAGAAAGCCCACATATACGAGAGCGTGGCGCAACTGTTCAATGAACTCAACCTTTCGACCGCGTTGGATCAACGAATAATCCAGTACGGGTACAGAGGAGAAATTCGAGTCACTAGCCATGGGGGATGTTGCAGTTGCGTGGGGGGCAAAAGGTAAAAAAAAATTTGGACTGCATCGTAATGTGGTGTGGCCCGACTTTTTAAACTCCAGGTGCCAGGGATATTGCGCAATTCTGAATACCATTGGATGGCGCAATACTTACTCGAATTTGAATTAGAGAGATCGAAAATGGTGCTATGCGCGGCAACTTCCAAATTCAGCACGGGAATTCGGAACTCGAAAATGTCGATGTCACATCATCTTGTTGGCCAATTGTCAAGTATGTCGCCACCCTCATCTAATGGCTCCAGTCCCTGGCCATCGCCCGGAACATTAATTCCTGGCTTTTATTGTTTCCATGTTCCTGAACCCGTGAATGGATATTGCAAAACAGATGCGGACCGTTGTATAACGCTCGGCAGGCCAGCCTCTACTCAAGTAAGTAGTGTATAGCGCCTGCGCTCGATGATTTGTCGCACTACCAAAATGCGTCACCACACGGCTACGAGAGGGTCAAAAACAGCTGAGCATTCTCATTTTAGCGATGAGAGGCCTGAATTGTCAGGGACCCGAAGCTACTGGCCCCAAGAATCATGAACGAGCAGCCCCATGACACGAGGGTGTCTCTTTATTTACAAATGTTTTCATGGACCATTGCGTGAGAAAGCGCCAGGTGGTGAATCGGCGACGAATAAAGCCTCAAGCCCCGATCGTTATCCCGGCTATGACCTTGCGCTTCGAAGGCATCAATATTTCTTTGTATTTTAAGCACCCATTTTTTGGAGAACAAGACACCCAAGAGCAGGCGATTCGTTGGGGTTCTGCGGATGAAAATCCTTGACCCCATCAGTGCCAGAGACTCCTCATCGATTACGCAATTCCTTTCGTGGTATCATGCTCGGAAGGACCCTTTACTGTAAGGAGAAGCGGGCACTGTCCACTGTGGCAAGAAGGGAAGCATAAAAACCCAGCAGCGGCCCAACGGTCGTCAACCGATCTCCGCTGATCTCGGCTCCTTCCGTGCAACTTGAAGTGACTAATTTGATTAGTCTCGTGAGAATATCAAACATCAAACAATTCAGTAATCGGTCGCCTGTGCCTGTTGGCATCTAGCTCTATATCCTCTATTGGCACACGATTCCTTAGCTAGTACGTATTGGGGCATTCCCTATGATCAGGCTCTCAGCCATGCATGCACAATATTGGTTTAGTAGCGGCTGGGATCCTACCCAGGATATTAGTTGATTGTTGGGCGTCCAGCCTCACTCTCGCCCTCTCTCGTTATTCTGGCTGTACATGACTCGAGCATTCGATGGGAATATGTTTGTGTAAGAATGCGAGAAAAGAGACCTACTTCTTTTGGAACAACTACGCTTTTGGCAGCTGGAATTCGGATGTTATCTAACCTGGGCCCGTTTAGTCAACGCTCTCGCGTCACCTGAGCTCGGGCTTCGTTGTGGCGTTCGCATACTAGTATCCGGCCCAGCAATCTGGCAGCAGGCGCTCCCGTACTAATGACTTTTTTCCTTCACGGCTTCGACTTGTCGCCCTATGCACCCTTTTTGGGGGTGCTGTCGAGTTCCTCGATGGTGCCATCTGTAGACGCGCTGAGACATCGCAGGGTCTGCAGTCGGGCTTGCCTTACACAAGCGTGCACTCAATTCATCAACATTCACGATTGCCTATGATTTTTCGATGAACAACATGGGAAAGCTAGTTGAGTTACAGAAAGGATTAAAGTTGGGTTTTTGGAGGGAGCGACGTCCCCTTCCTCATCAGTTCCTCTCTCTTGTGCCCATCGTCCATTGTTTGTTTCTAACCCGCTGCTTCATCCTTTGACTATCGACTTGTATTCGTGCACTCATTGCTTGCGACGTGGATGCCACAGTCATATGTGCAACGACTGCCATCACATGTTTTTGGTCTTGTCACACTTCACTTTGTTAGCGGGGCGTTGTTGTTTGTCGAGCGTTTTTTTCTCTGGCACAAGTCGCTGGCGCTTAGTCGTTGCTTGTCGACGAGGTTCTGTGAACATTGAGCTTCCGCCGAGCACGGAAAGCATGGCCCCTATAAAGCTGATCGCCCACCGATTGACATTAACCGCTTGGTGAGCCTTCTTATCAACTAGCCCACAACCCATCCGCCCTCGCGATGATATTGTCCATCCTTTTCTCGTGAATGCTATCGAACTCTTCGTCACATGTGCTCCTTGATGATTGGCATTCTTTCTCGCTCGCTGAACTGCGGGTGCAGGCCTATAGCTAGGTCTCAAAGTCTGCAATTACTTGTACATGCTGCAATGCACAATGCGTTGTCGACCTGGGAGACATCATTCAAGGTGACGTATGGACAGTGTGACGTCACCCGTCCTGGAAACGAAAGGGATATGTTGATGTTCGCTAGCTCTAACAGCCATCAAACCATTCATAATCAACGAACCGGATCCATCCCGATATCGACTTGCTTGGAGAAACAGATCTCTAACGTTATTTGTGATCCATGTCCCAAACCACCTCCTGCCAGTGCATGCCATTTCGTGACTATTCAAATTGTTGCCAGGGAATTTTTCCCGCATTGTAACTCTGAACTTAAGGTTGAGAGCATTGGCGGTCCCCCACCCCTTATGGTCGTATGCAGTACTGTTGCGTTACACGACTTTAGGCCCCTCTGGCGGACCCATTCCGTGGATTCATATCATTTCGCCCAATCTGATCCTGTTGGAACATCGGCAGAATCTCGCCATCGATGATGGTATGAGGGGGAAAAATCATTTCTCCTGGTAACCTGACCCCCAAGAGCTAGGGGGTTCAGTCGGGACTACAATCTGCTCTCTTTTATGACCCGATATTTGATAGCACCTGGAGCTACATATTTTCACCTCTGCTGATAATTAACATTAACATCCAACGTCGATCTTCCCGATCTGTCAAAGTGCCAGGATCATAGATGCCTATACCACGCAGTAACCTGGGCCCCTGCAATTATAGACATAAATTACAATAACGGGCCCCTTCGGGTTAGCTTAGCTTGGGAGATCTTCGGGTTGTGACGGGTAGGGTGTTGCGCGTGGAAGCCGCGCGATGCCGGAAAGACGTACGGATTACACGATACCGGTGCCCGTAGAGGTAGGCAGGAATTATTTTTCCGGAGATTCGGAAGATACATGTTCATGGGCTAAGGACAATTCTTCGGTATGTACACGGGGCGAAATTTTTCGACCCGGAACCGAAGACATGGCGCCGCGAGGCCCGGCCAAATCTCCTTCTGAGGCGGGAAGAACTTTGTGGTCGATGGTTCCTTTGAATAATGAGGTATCGAGGTGGTTCCTTATGTAAGGAATACGCTTGTGCATGGGCCCTTGGTGGCGAATCCTGAGATTCGCGCGAGTGCGATTGGCCGTCCATACCGAGGGGGGGGGGGCATTTATTATCGCATCTTCGATCCGTTCCTCAGATTTTGATTAGGCCGAAATCAACCCCTAGCTGCAGCTCGGGGCCATATCATTCAGGATATCAAAGACATTGCATGTGCATGCGGATAAATCAGTTAGAGGCGAATTTACATACGATCTGAACCTATTTTTTTTTTCTGCCGATGAGCGAGAAATTTTGTTGAGTCATTTGTGCTCTCTACCAGCTTTGCGATGAGTTGATTATTTTAATAGCTCGTCTTCATTCTAGACCAAAAATATACATTACGTGAGGACACAATAATTCCCTCCCACCATACACACGCAGTGATAATGTGTCCAAAAACAAAAGAAAAAACAAAAGGCAATGATTAGGCGGCGATATCAAAAATTGCCGATGAATTTGACTGGCGAGGCCAAACGAAGAAGTTGAACTGCAAAACCGCGCCACACACACACGCCGGGGCAAGAGCGCGTCTTTCTACCCCTTCCCCTCCTTTCTTCCCTTGTTTTTTGGTTTTACAAAGATCGGCTCAACTCAAGCAAGACGCTAACCAACGTCGAAATGCTCAACACATGCGCACCAGAACGATTGAAATCATCGTTCAAAACGTAGCACACCCAGAAAAGGATGTGTTTCAAGAAAACGTGCAAGAAGAGTCCATCGATGAGAGTGGAAGGTCCGACGGTTTTGGCGATGCCATGGGTAGCAAAGACGAGAGCGGCGGCGGTTCCGAAAGCGGGGAAGGTTTCGAGGATGGAATGGTGAGCTGACATGAGACGATGGGCGAATCCGCTGATTTCGTGTCTACCGAGACGGGGCACTGTGTGTAATGAATCGATGAAAGAATGAATTGTTGATTAATAAATGTCCGTTCTCAAATGAAAGGGCCGGAAGTTGAATAAAGAAGAAAAGGCGGGTAGAAGCTAACCGCCAATTCGATTCGGCGACAGTGTTCGTACATAGCATGCCCCCCCAATGCAGAGAAAGGGAAAAAAAAAGGAAGAACCATAAGTACTCAACTGTTATTTTGGTATCCCCTCGGATGCGTACTCTGTCCGTAGACACTTCCCACGGCGGTGAATACGTAAGCATTAAAAGTGGCGTACGCCACAAGTTTGATGATCGAAACGGCGTTTCGGGGTCCGAGCACTTTATCGAGCAAGAGAGTGAACCATCCGTTTGGCCGGGTGAGTAAGCGAGCGACCGGGATGAGGGAAACGTAGAAAGGGAAAAAGCCTAGAGTGCTGGTGAGGTGTGGTGCGATGGGAGGCGTCAGTCAAAATAGTTGGTATGTGTATATATATAAAGAAGAAAAGAAATGGGCGCGCGTCAAACGTGATTGTGGGAGGGCGATCTCTTCCCTTACGTCGGAAGGCGCTATATAATAATATCAAGGGGAGAGAGAACTTACAACTTGTGCAAATGCGGAGGCATGTCGAGCGTCCATCCTGTGAGGTCACCACTGAGGAAAGACTTGCGAAGTGGGGGATCAAAGGTAGGACGCTGTTGTTTGCGATCGTTGGCGTTAGACATTGTGTTGTAGTGGTTCAAGTCGCGAATAACAGGAAAAAGCACGTAAGGATAGCGAGGAGACCTCGAAAGTAGAAAAGGAGGGGGGGGGATGACCGAAAGACCAGAAGTTCACACCCACCTTATATAATAGCCATCCCTCCTACGTATGCCCGTTTTCCTCTGCAGTTGAAGGGACAACATTTGGGCTCTATTCAACGCGGATCACGGGGGAACTTGGTGAGGCTGTACACGTGACTTCGGATCATGAATTGAATGGAGGGGGGGGCACAAATTCAGTTTCTCAAACTGCAGCCCCTCCAATAACATGTTCTGGCTGCTGGAGGCCGGTGCGCGTGCCTTCCGAGGTGTTCGTGCGTTTTCCTCTTCATCGGCAAACCTGTGCCCAAAGCTCAAGACGCGTACGTACGGCTTCTTCTCCTCGTCATTTTTTTTTTCATTCATTTATTCATTCGTTCGGTTGGGGTTTAGACTCGGGAACTAAGAAAAGATGGACGGCGCTCCCTAACGGCATGTTCAAGCGGGTACAGATAGCATTTCCTTTGTCTTAGAGGGCTCCATTAACATAATGACTCGCGGTTTCACCAGGGGAAGACTATGAAAACACATCTGAACACAGGAATGTCTTCGTCGCGACTCAACCGATTAGGTCGGATCAACCGTTTTCTTACTTGCTTTCACTGCCCCCGTTCCAACTACAAATTATTATCCATCCATTTACGTAAACTACGTACCACTCGTTTCTCTTTTCCTATTTCTTACCGTTGACCGTGACTGTAACCGCTGATGCACCGCCCCCCCACTTCCTTTTGATCCATTAGGACAACCGGCATATGCCAACAAATCACAGGCGAGGACTTTGCGAAGATTGATGCCATATGGATAGACCCCTCCCCTTTTTTGTATATCTGGACTGTAACTGTTTGCACATGCTACTTTGGTTGTGTGCCAAATAACTCTCACCAATACTGTATGTTTCTTATCAGCAATATCCCCGTCATATTTGCGGCTACGAAAGGCCGAAGATCTCTCGGGGGTAGTCGTCAGCAGTTTAACACCGCTTTTTAGTTTTGCGAGGGTTACATACGAGGCTAAACAGTGCTTCTGCTGCGTCCTAGCTCATGGCTTCTCCCTGTTCCCTGTTGAGCTAAATTCCTTTGGCGCGGAGCTTGTATCGTGTTAAAGCTCTCGATACCATAAGCGGCCCGGCAACGGGATCTATCAAGATCTCTATCCTTATGCTGTTCGGATCAGGAGGCGGTTCCAGGGAACAGTTGACCTTGATCCAGAACAACAAATCCGGATCCGGGCTCCACGGCCATTCCTCGACCTCTAAATGCAAATTCGGTGCCTGTTGATCCCTCGCCGTTGCCCTGCCAGTACTAGTGCTTGTCACTCTCCCCACCGGCTCATCCAAGCAGTTTGCGCTTGTCCATCATAACCCATCTCGGCTTGTCACGCGTCATGGCTATAAGGGAATGATTCGAGAGGGCTCATTTGGCTTCTAGTATAGTTCCTCATCACCACCATTCCGGCCACCCCCCGGGTTGGGGGCTACTTGGCAAACGCTTTCTAGATGACCTTAAACGGGTAACCGCGGTGCTTCTTCATTTCGTAAAGCTATTATGAAGCACGAACGCTGTTGACGAGTAGAGTGACGTATGGGAACAAGTAGCACTCACTTTGAGGACCATCGACTTGTGAAACGGAACATCCGCCCATCGACGCGTTAAAGCCCTCTTTTTTCCCTGGTAAATCACAAAACTTAAACAACGGCATTCATATCAGGCCCAATGCTATATGTACAACGCCGCCGCTCATCCTTAATCCGCGTGAATGGATTCCTTCGGGGCTTTCTTTTGCCGTTTAGCCGGTGGATGATCTGCAATATGACCCGGGGTTTGTGGGGAGGCGAAATTATTTCACGAAACCGTTCATTTTCCCTCTACCTGTCGATCAGGTATTAATCCTATGTTGACGTGTATGCATGGTATGTGACAATATTTTCTCAGGTCCTCCTTTTGCTCGACATGATTCTATTCTCTGCGGGAAGCACTTGCTATGTGATCGTGGCCTGAGTTGACACCTTCCCCAACCACTTTCGGGACCCACCAAGCCTTATTGTGCAAGACATGCACGACGTCAACGCAAATCCCAGTTGAAAAGTGTGCGCCCGCCCTGGGGGGGAATATGTCAAGTTGACACTTAGCTTCCGAAGCTCACCCATTCTGCTACGAAGCTAGCTATATTTTCCCGTAAACGCTGTCCCTGTAAGCACTTTGAATCGTCCGTCTCCAAGGATAAATTACTTGTTTCCAAAATCGTATCGGCGGCTTCGCTTGAGTGTTTTTATCCGCTTCGGTTCACTTTGTGGCTGCGCACAACCGGTTCTCAAGCGCATGGAGAACACGTTACTAATAACATTTACCACTTTTGGTCTCGAATTTCCGTGCTTGCCCCCCCCCCACCTTTCGATTGACCTCCCTTCTGAAATTTTTGGTCGATTTCGCCCTAAAAGTACTTTGTGTGGTTGACCTGGTCTGAAACTCCTGATTTCGCTCGTTACGCCCGCCATGGGGTGGAGGTCGCCACAACCGGGAGCCGGGGGTTGCCCGATCCCTAACAAGCTGTCATTATTCAATCACACTCAACCAGATGATTACGCATTACTTTGAGGGATTCTAAGTACACAGAGAATTTGACTGTGTTGATGTACTATAATGAAATGTCTAACGAAGTTACTTATACTACGTAAGTACTGCGATAAAAGGGGAGCACATGCATCGAGTTAATGTTCTTCGTGCTTGTGGGAGAAGTACGGTGATCAGAGCCAAAGCATGAATAAGACGGAGCGGTGCTGGTTTAGAGTTGACCGGTGGCATAGTTTGTGTCCAGGTGCAACAAGGCATGATACGCGGCCTGATCTCGAGCGACGCCCTTCTTGCTTGCTTGACCCGTCCCTCTTAGAACATCGCCAACTGAGAAATAGTCTCATTATGTAGATCAAAGGATAAGGAGCATCACGCACTGTAAACATTCGAGTACCATACAATCTTTCCACCCATTTCTCGGAACGACTGGTCCTCCTGTGGAGACAATAGCATGGAGAACTCCATGATGTTGTATGTAATTTGGCTCACCCATCGAAGCTCGAAATTCAACTTTCGCTGTAGTTCGTCGAGCGTTATGGCATTATGGCCCAGTCGTTGGTATACCGGCGTGGGGAGAAATGCATAACGAGTGGTGGAGGGAAGCCTGGGAATGGAGGCTCCAACTTGGGGGACATCCTTCGCATCTCTTTCACTATGGAGCTCGTGATCCATGTCAACGAAGGCACCTGAACCCGTCGATTGCTCGGGCCTGACGAGCTGCTGCGCATCTGGAGCCCAAATCTTTGGGGTTGGGTCGCCTGACGCGAAGAATCCGCTACGGAGGACACGGCCCCCCTGGCGACCTACACACGTCACAGCATGAGCGAAGATAGGAATCTGCAGCTCAACACCATACCTCCGGTGGACGTCTCAGACATTTCGGCCCTAGTTTCTTCTGCTAAGCATGATCTGAGGGGAGTTAGTGATATTATCCAATTATCTGACAACTCACTCGAGAGTATCGCACACCCTATTCATGCTTATTCGGTGGTGTGGAGGATGCGCAAAGCACCCAGCAATAGAGCCTTCGAATTCCTCAAGACCTTCCCACTCATAGGGCCGCACGGAATATGCGACAGCAAAAGGGATCTGATTGTCAGTGAAGTTGGAGTAGGGGGGTTCGCCAATGAGAATCTGCGGGAAGGCGTTAATGTCTTTTCCTGGCAATAAGAATAGGATCAAAATTACTTGTACGCTGACACAACCAAAAGCCCAGACATCGCTTCCTCGATCCGGAGTGCGTCTGACAATATCGTGCAATTCTGGGGATTTAAAACGGGGACTGAGATGATGATCGGTGGGAAGTAATTTGTCCAAACGATCATACGAAAATCGGAAACCACGTAAACAGGGATTGCCTCCATCCCCTATTACGACGTTTTCCTAATCAGTAGAATGACAACGTTAAAGGGCTCGCCAATATCTGGTGTAGCTGGCGTACCGGTTTGATGTCTGCATGAACGACTCCTTCCGAATGGAGATAGCAAAGACCCAGCGCTATATGGTACACCTTTGCGACAGAGTCAGTCGCGTATTGCCCTATTTCTCACAAATAGATTGACACTTCACCATCTTGCGACGATTTGTAGCTGGGTGTTGGCGTAAATAACCCATGACATCGCGGTGAGCATTCCAAGTGGAAATCAAACTAAGACTGATTGATGTTTCAGTTTCTGAAGACAAAACCCATCCGTAGAGCCGCTCTATGTTGGAATGCGTTAACCGACGTCGTATACGTATTTCCCTCTTCAGAGTCTTTAAAGATCATTTCCGTCAGATTAAGGACGACTGACTCCGAAGAACAGAACATACGCGCATGAAGTCATCAAAGAGCGGAATCGGGAGATTGATATGCTGGATACATACCGGCCCCTGTTGAGATGGTAGTGACCTGTCAGCAGAGCTACAACTAGCCGCATTATATGCGTGTACAAACACCGTTGTAAGTCCCCGAGTACAGAAATGCAGGATAACCTTCGGGTACACGCAGTTGGTCGAGCTGTATTGTTTTCACGAGGTTCCGCTCATCTTCTTGCATTAATTCGCGTTCTACGCGGATGCGGAGAGAAGATTCCCTGGGCACTTGAGGCCCTGAGAAGAGCTGTGACGTCGCTGCATGGACTCGTAAATGGATAACCCCAAGTTCTTAAGCTAAAAAGCATTCGGAGGTCCGATGACTTACTGACAGGGTTGGACGTGCCTAATGTACGAGCATCGTGGGGCGCAATGACGCTCTTCGGAGCGCCCGTGGTGCCTCGGGGAGGCAGGAAGGATCCAACAAATGCAGCAGTTTGCAGGACCTCCCGAATAGAGGGGCGGTTCTTGGTCACTACAGAGCAGCAGTCGGACAGAGTGCGTTGCAGCGGGTCCTTGAGATCCCAATTCCAAGGGCCTTCTTTCGGGATCCGTGCAACTACTTGGATGTCATTCAGACCAGAGAATGGTTGTTTTCCGAATAATATCTGGCCAGGTTGGGTCATGAAATTCAGGACTGGATCAGCAAGAGAGATATCTAACTCACCGGAATACATGTGCATGCAAATGAATAAACATCACTTTCAGTGCTCTTTCTCTCCTCGTTACATATTACCTCTGGGGGCGTGAACCTGATCGTGAAAGCAACGGCTGAGGATGTTTGACCCGTGGTGAGTTCACTGCTAAAACGAGACAACCCAAAATCGCATAATATTGCTTTGTGATCATCGCCAACGAGAACATTTGCCTTTGAGATAGGAGTGAGCGAAATGGAAGCAACTAATAGAGGGAGCTTGGCTGACAGGCTTGAGATCTCCATGAATAACTGCTGGCATCAAATGATGTAGATAGTCAAGCCCTTTCGCGATGCCCCTTGCCTAATTAATCGCGGTATATTCATTGTGCTGCAAAAGCGAATGCGAGATCAAAGGGTCCGCACCAAACCAATCCTTTCTGCATGCGGGTTCTTCTCTAGATACTCGAGTACACTCCCATTTGGGCACCAAGGAGAAACCAGTACACCCTTTACATCGCATCCGTCCCCTTCGACGGCAAAGCCAAGAAACTTGAGGATATTAGGGTGATCCAATTCGCTCCAAACTCCCATCTCACGGGTAAGGTACTGGACGCCCATTATAAGGACCATTTCTTGTTTGCAGGAATATGGGAGACTCGCCTTGACAGTTTTCCTTGTCCTCTCCACAGCTTCGCGCATGTTGCTTACAGGTGGACGAAGCTCCTTGTAACAAACCTGGCACGAGGCACGAGAATGATAAATTGGCGGTTATTCTGGCAAAGAGAACGTGACAACCTTCATTGGTCCTTCACATTCAGGAGGCCTCCAAGTTGCAATACAGACAGTAGAGTAGCCGCCTGACCCAACAAGGTATCGGGGAGAGGGATCAAATTGCCCACTGAGATCTTTCACCTTGGCCGCTGCTCGCAAGCCCTCTATCAGGGCAGAAGATGATGCGTCCATTGTGAAGCTGTTCGCAGAAGGTAAGCTGATTACGGCGTATCAGCTTTCATTCAACCCAAACGGGTCCTAGAGCTCTCAATTCATTCATGACGAAAAGGGAAGGTGTTGCAAACAGAGCAAGTTTATGCCCACTATCCCCTCGCGCTGATGCCTTCCCTTTGAGCGCAGCGAGGTAGAGGTGGCGATGAATGGTTTTAAGTCGCGTAGAATTCAGACTTGTGTCAAAGATCTGAAGATGGGTGTCTACTGGAGTATACCTATGAGTCGCGCAGCACTCCAATGATGAATGTTAAGAATCAGACGAAGCAACAATAAGTACGTTCACCCTCGTTCACGATCTCAAAGTCTCTCGGCCTTCGCCGATTCAAGGTCACTAATACATTACCGCATTCGGTCTCAAATTTCCGTGCTTGCGCCCCCACGCCCACCTTTCGATTGACCGGTCAACCCAACACGACAACTCAAAAGTGGAGCAGCATTTGGGCAACGCCTTATCAGAGTGATTAAGGACACCCGAATCGGACTTATTTCTTTATTTTCTCACCTTATTTTTGTGTATTTATCTCGACCCCTGCCCTTGGCGCTCTCACGAGCAGCCTACAGTTTGCAGGTTAAATATCCAGAATAAACAACAACAACAACAACCTTTCGATTGACACCTCCCTTCTGAAAACATTTGCCAGGATGACGGTGGGGTTCGTGTGGCCTTGCTGCGCTTGCAACCGTCTTCTTGATCATGGATGTGAAGCTGGATATGTTTTACACCGTGCCTGAGCCTTGACCACCCTGCCTGGAGTCATATCATTTTTTCCCTCCTTGGTGCTCCACATTTTTATCCACACGCTGTATAGGATATTCCGGGTGCACACCGAGGTCATGACGTTATCCGAAAATCTGTTTCAATTGCATTATGGCTACAGTCGCGCTGTCACATCTGAACAAAAAAACTGTGATCGAAGGACAGGTGGTACGTGGTGCGCATGATGTTGGCTACAAGGTCGATTGGCCTATATCGTGGTCCCTCCCAGCCCAAAAATCGAGCAGGGAAAGATGTTCAGACGTGATACCTCGGGTACATCAAACTTGAACCCCAAAGGCAATGCAAGCTTTCCTACTGGCATCGTTTTCCGTCGCGGAAAGGAAGTCCAACATGTCCCTGATTATCTACTGCAAGACCATCAGAGTACATATCGCGCCTAAGAGGGGACATTTTACCATGTGTACGTCCACCATGGAGGCGAAACCAGGCCAAAGGGGCAACTAAATTTCCATTGGATAGAAAGACGATTTTGCTTAGTAAAATTGTTGATGGCGTTTGTGAAACCTTGAAAGTCAATACCTTCATGTGTCTGATAAGAACGTGTGACGACACCGCATCACTGTATACACATTGCTAAGTACTGACCTCCAACGGGAGTTCTCCCATTTCCAGTAGCCGTTTGTGACTAGGGGGCACTCTGGCTGATGGCTCGATCCAGGTGGTCCGGGTCCGGGAGGGGTGTCAAAGCCTCTGCCGCCGTTCGCATACGCTGCACCCTTTGTGCTACCTCGTGTAGGGAACGAAGGATAGTAGGATGGAATGGGCGGCGTCTACCTGAGTGATGTGTAGGAAACCGGATAGAATCACGCTCGTTCGACGGGGTGTTTCGTTCAACTAGATCGATAATGGTTGAAGATACGTGGCTGGCAGCCGCGTCCATAAGACTGATTGGCGATAAGCCGAAACCAGACGCATGTTGTTGCGCAGCAGATACGAAATTCCTGAGCGCTGCATGGACACGTTCCCGGAGGTACCAACTCGGAATGGTCTCGCTACTAATATCACGGGGAGATGACAGCTCAAATGCTCTCACGTCGTCGGTGATGGCATCCACTGCAACCTCAACAGCCTTCATCGACGTAAGGACATCACTAGGATTGCCAGATCTAATGGCCACATTAGACCCTAGATGGAAAAACCAAAGTGGATCAACCGTTTACCTGGCGACGCTCAGCAGCGTATCGATTGCGCCTTGGAATGCTGTGACATGAATGGCAGCAATGACACCGTTTTCAGGGATTGGGATCCTTCTTGCGTCAACATTGGGCACTTGAAGCGTTGAGAAGAGCTGCGGCATTACTACATGGATTCGTAAGTGAATAGCCTCCAGTTCTTACATAAACTAAAAAAAAAGCATTCAGAGGCCCGATGACTCACCGACGTTGGACATGTTTAGTTCGTGGGCAACTTCGGGAGGCAGGGAGGATCCAACAAATGCAGCAGTTTGCAGGACCTTCCGAATAGAGGGGCGATTCTCGGTTACCACGGAACAGCAGTCGGACAAAGTGCATTGCAGCGGGTCCTTGAGATCCCAGTTCCAAGGGACTTCTTTCGGGATCCGCGCAACTATTTGGATGTCATTCAGACCAGAGAATGGTTGTTTTCCGAATAATATCTGGCCAGGTTGGGTCATGAAATTCAGGACCGGATCAGCAAGAGAGATATCTAACTCACCGGAATACATGTGCATGCAAATGAATAGACATCGCTTTCTGTGCTCTTCCTCTCTTCATCTAATATTACCTCCGGGGGCGTGAACCTGATCGTGAAAGCAGCAGCTGAGGATGTTTGACCCGTAGTGAGTTCACTGCTAAAGCGGGACAGCCCGAAATCGCATAATATTGCATTGTGATCATCGCTAACGAGAACATTTGCCTTTCAGATAGGAGTGAGCGAAATGGAAGCAACCAATAGAGAGTTTGGCTGACAGGCTTGAGATCTCCGTGAATAACTGCTGGCGTCAAATGGTGCAAATAGTCAAGTCCTTTCGCGATACCCCTTGCCTAATAAATTCATTGTGCTACGAAAGCGAATGTGAAATTAAAGAGTCCGCACCAAATCAATCCTTTCTGCATGTGGGTTCTTCTCTAGATACTCGAGTACACTCCCATTTGGACACCAAGGAGAAACCAGTATACCCTTTACATCGCATCCATCCCCTTCGACGGCAAATCCAAGGAACTTGAGGATATGAGGGTGATCCAATCTGCTCCAAACTCCCATCTCACGGGTAAGGTACTGGATGCCCATTATATTTCTTGTTTGCAGGAATATGGGAGACTCACCTTGACCGTTTTCCTTGTCCTCTCCACAGCTTCACGCATGTTACTCACAGGTGGACGAAGCTCCTTGTAGCAAACCTGGCACGAGGCACAAGAATGATAAATTGGCGGTTATTCCAAAGGAAGGGTGACAACCTTCACTGGTTCTTCACATTCAGGAGACCTCCAAGTTGCAATATAGACAGTGGAGTAGCCGCCTGACCCAACAAGAGATCGGGGAGAGGGATCGAATTGCCCACTGAGATCTTTCACCTTGGCCTCGACAGCTGCCCGCAAGCCTTCTATCAGTGCAGAAGATGATGCGTCCATCGTGAAGCCGTTAATAGGCTCTTCACTGAGAAATGACTGTTAACAATCTGACCAACACGAGGAGGTAAGCTGATTGTATCAGCTTTCACTCGACCCAAACGGGTCCTAGAGCTCTCAATTCATTCATGACAAAAAGGGAAGTTGATGCCCACTATCCCCTTGCTTCCCTTTGAGCGCAGCGAGGTAGAGACACCAAAAGGTGGCGATGAATGGTTCTAAGTCACATAGAATTCAGACTCATGTCAAAGATCTGAAGATGAGTTTCTGCTGCAGTATGCCTATATAGTCGTTTTCGCGCGCGCGACACTGTAGACATGTGACTAAGTAGCTTTTGTTTCAATATAAAGTCACGTTCTGCTATCGACGTAAAAGTCACATGCTACGGGGATAAACAAGTCCAACCACCTGAATTTCTAACAACTTCCGTCCCCAAGGATAGATTTCTTCTTTCCAAAATCGGCGGCTGAGCTTGAGTCGATTCGTTTCACTTTGTGGCTGCGCACAACCTTTTCACAACGCATTGGAGAACACGTTACTAATATACCGCATTTGGTCTTAAATTTCCGTGCTCCAACCCACCTTTCGATTGACATCTGTCTTCTGAAAACATTCGCCAGGATGACGGTGGGATCTTGGTTTGTAGCCTTTCTGCTCTGGTTGCAACCGTCTCCTGATGTGGAGCTGGAGGACATTTGATATGTTTTCTATTCATACACCGTGCATGAGCCTTGATATTCCGGGCGCGCACCGAGGCCGTTCCTAAAAACGTCCCCCCTCTCCTCACACTGCCCCCAGTAGCGAAGCTTCGTTCGCATCTGTGCTAATTTCTCCTTTCTGGGGCATCCTCGTGCGGAATGGGGTTTTGGTCGATTTCGCCCTATATAAAAATGGTTGGCCTTTCTGATTTCGCTCGTTACACCTGCCATGGGGTGGGGGGATTCCCGATCCCTAACAAGCTGTCGCTATTATTCATTGGGTCGGTGTATGTTTGGAGCGAAAACGCAATCTTGAGGTAGCGTGACGTAAGCCATGCGTTCGTGTTGCTGCGGTCTCGGGCTCGGGGAACTATCTGCTGGTCTATGTATGCCGGACGACGGGTAATCGCCGTGAAAGCCCAAGTTAGGAACAAACCTGGAATATTGACCCCGGCCTATAATCGTCTCCAATATCGAAAAAGCCTCGAACAATGGAATAAAACCCACCCTACCCTCGAAGGGCGCAACGCATCCCAAATGATCATGGGAGGGATGACCGCATTTCACTCGTACGCCAGAGATTTGGACACGCATGACAAGTGCCATTCAAGAACCGCAACCGCCACACCAGATTCTATCTCGGAATTTACTGCGAAAAACGAAGGGAAAAGTGCAACAAGCGAAAAACCCTTGATGCGCTCAAGCTGGAATGTCGGAAATCCGGAATCGCCGTTCAAACGCGTTACAACGCATTTAACTTTGGCTTCTTCGTTGTAACGTTTCCCAAGTGTTATGACATTTTAGAAACGTTTCTTCAACATGCTATTCCATGATGATGGTGGCAAAATGTAATGCTAAAGAAGTACCTTTAGATGCCATCGTAATGCTCGTACAGTGGCACACCTATCCATTGGATGACTCCGGTGATAGTGCAATTGAATTCCAAACAATGACGTCCTTCCCACTCACTGACATCCCCTCGCAGTTGCGACATGACGTGTATGCTTGAAGCGATTGATGGCGCAATATCTTCTGTATCCTATCCGGTTATGTCGCCCACTTAAGCGCTGAGCATCAAAATCATTGACCTCGACGCTGTTTGCACTGCCCTTGGTAGGTTCAAATATGGTGCCATCCGACAATGTTGGACCATCATTAATCGGAGTACGGACCAGGCAAGACCAGTATTCGGCGATATATTATGTTAATGTTATCCTAACGTGAACACTTCTATATTCCACAAAAACCGTGGTTACCCCTGTCAAAGACCATTGTGCAGAATCCGAGCGCGACAACCCAGGCTTTTTCCACGGAGCAATATGCCATAGGTAAAATACAGCGACTTAGTAAGATACTTGGGCTGCACTGTGTTATTTGCCGCGATTTACTTCCCACTGTGCCCACTCGTCGAGTCCATCTAGAACGATCACAGAGCAATCCCCTCCGAAGGGATGTATCCCTGAGTTTAGGCATCAGGTTCACCTATTTCGATTCAAGTACGTGTCCTGTCAAGTCATTGTGTCTAACATTACTTAAAACACCATGATCATCAACTCGGAATACATAGTCACGTTGAGCTCCACAAGGACTTGAAACCCAAGTTCATTAACAGCTTTCGTGGATTGTTCCTAGTCGGACCATCCCCAACCAACAAACATCGGACCTCAGAAAGTCGACTCTAACATACAGTGTCCAGTGAGGTGCGGCAACAGAGGGCTAATGATAATAATGAGGGTACGCTTCGAAAAATTGGTACGCTGCTGCATCTCTGGCATACCCTTTCCTGGGGCCCTGGCCAGAGAATACCGAGCCAATGACTACAACGCGTTCCAACCGGGGTCAGTTGCATATTTTCGGGAGAAAGAGATCAGACCCACTGTGAAGCCGTGACTCATAGATAAGTGCGTGATTCGTGTTTTTACGTACAGTATCATTCTACGTGAGTGCGTGAAGAGTTATGTATGGGTACACAAGATTCACGGAAGGCTCACCCATGTGTAACGAATCTGAAAACGTTGCGCGACAGAGTTGAGGAGGATGACGGGCCGAACTGGGCCGAATTCAATGTTGTTTTGAATGAGGCGATGGGTCCTAAACCCCTGCTCTGGGTTCGGGAGGAGTGTAGAAGCGTCTCTTTCACTATGGAGCTCGAGGTCCACGTCAACGAAGGCACCTGAACCCGTCGTTTGCTCAGGCCTGACGAGCTGCTGCGCATCTGGAGTCCGAATCTTTAAGGTTGAGTCGTTTTTCTCCCCTGACGCGGAGAATCCGCTGCGGTGGACATAACCCCCTTGGCGACCTGCACATGTCACAGCATGAGCGGAGATAGGAATCTGCAGCCCAACAACATACTTCTGATGGACATCTCAGACGTTTCGGCCCTAGTTTCTTCTGCTAAGCATAATCTGATGGGAGTTAGTGATACTATCCAATTATCTGGCAACTCACTCAAAAGTATCGCACACACTATCGATGCTTATTCGGCGGTATGGAGGATAAGCAAAGCACATAACAATACACTTTTCGAATTCCTCAAGACCTCTCCACTCATAGGGCTTCATATTTGCGGCAGCGATAGGGATCTGATCGTCAGTAAGGTTGGAGTAGGGAGGTTCATCGATGAGAATCTGCGGGAAGGGGTTAACGTCTTTTCCTGGCAATAAGAATAAGATCAAAATTACTTGTACACTGACGCAGCCAAAAGCCCAGATATCGCTTCCTCGATCCGGAACTTTTGTGAGGCCATTGTGCAATTCTGGGGATCCGAAACGGGGACTGAGATGATAATCGGAGGGAAATAATTTGTCCAAACGATCATACGAGAATTGGAAACCACGTAAACAGGGACTGCCTCCATCCCCGATTACAATATTGTCCTAAATAGTAGAATGGCAACGTTAAATATGTTAAAGGGCTTGCCAATATCTGGTGTAGCTAGCATACCGGTTTGATGTCTGCATGAATGACTCCTTCCGAATGGAGATAGAAAAGACCCATCGCTATATGGTACACCTTTACGACAGAGTCAGTCGCTTATTGCCCTATTTCTCACAGATATACAGATTTTCACCATCTTGCGACGATTTGTAGCTGGGTGTTGGCGTAAATAACCCATGACATCGCGGTGAGCATACCAGGTGGAAATCAAACTAAGACTGATCGATGATTCGGTTTCCGAAGACAAAACCCATCCATAGAGCCACTCTATGTTGGGATGCTTTAGCCGACGCCATATACGTATTTGCCTCTTCAAAGCCTTTAAAGACCATTTTTGTCAGATTCAGGACGACTGGCTTCAAAAAACAGAACACACTCGCATGAGATCATGGGGGGGTGGAATCGGGATATTGATCTGCTGGATACATACTGGTCCCTGTTGAGATGATAGTGACCCGTCAGCAGAGCTACGACTAGCCACATTATATGCGTGTACAAACACCCTTGTAAGTCCCCTGGTACGAAGATGCAGGATAACTTTCAGGTATATGCAGTTGGTCGGGTTGTATTGTTTTCGCGAGGTTCCGCTCATTTCCTAGCATTAATTCGCGTTCCAGGCGGGTGCGGAGAGAAAGTCCACTGGGCACTTGAGGCCCTGAGAAGAGCTGCGACGTCACTACATGGATTTGTAAATGAATAACCCCCAGTTCTTAAACTGAAAAGCATCGGAGGCCTGATGACTCACCGACAGGGTTGGACGTGTTCAATACACGAGCATCGTGGGGCGCTACGATGCTCTTCGGAGCGCCCGTGGTGCCTCGGGGAGGCAGGGAGGATCCAACAAATGCAGCAGTTTGCAGGACCTTCCGAATAGAGGGGCGATTCTCGGTCACCACGGAACAGCAGTCGGACAAAGTGCATTGCAGCGGGTCCTTGAGATCCCAGTTCCAAGGGCCTTCTTTCGGGATCCGTGCAACTATTTGGATGTCATTTAGACCAGAGAATGGTTGTTTTCCGAATAATATCTGGCCAGGTTGGGTCATGAAATTCAAAACCGCATCAGCAAGAGAGATATCTAACTCGCCGGAATACATGTACATGCAAATGAATAAACGTCGCTTTCAGTGCTCTTCCTTTCCTCATCTAATATTACCTCCGGGGGCGTGAACCTGATCGTGAAAGCAGCAGTTGAGGATGTTTGGCCCGTGCTGAGTTCACTGCTAAAGCGGGACAGCCCGAAATCGCATAATATTGCGTTGTGATTATCGCTAACGAGAACATTTGCCTTTGAAATAGGAGTGAGCGAAATGGAAGCAACTAATAGAGGGAGCTTGGCTGACAGGCTTGAGATCTCCATGAATAACTGCTGGCGTCAAATGATGTAAATAGTCAAGCCCTTTCGCAATATCCCTTGCCTAATGAATTATGGTATATTCATTGTGCTGCGAAAGCGAATGCGAGATGGAAGAGTCCGCACCAAGTCAATCCTTTCTGCATGTGGGTTCTTCTCTAGATACTCGAGTACACTCCCATTTGGGCACCAAGGAGAAACCAGTACACCCTTTACATCGCATCCATCCCCTTCGACGGCAAATCCAAGAAACTTGAGGATATGAGGGTGATCCAATTTGCTCCAAACTCCCATCTCACGGGTAAGGTACTGGATGGCCATTATATTTCTTGTTTGCAGGAATATGGGAGACTCACCTTGACCGTTTTCCTTGTCCTCTCCACAGCTTCACGCATGTTGCTTACAGGTGGACGAAGCTCCTTGTAGCAAACCTGGCACGAGGCACAAGAATGATAAATTGGCAGTTATTCCAAAGAGAACGTGATAACCTTCACTGGTCCTTCACATTCAGGAGACCTCCAAGTTGCAATATAGACAGTGGAGTAGCCACCTGACCCAACAAGGTATCGGGGAGTGGGATCGAATTGCCCACTGAGATCTTTCACCTGGGCCTCGACAGCTGCCCGCAAGCCTTCTATCAGTGCAGAAGATGATGCGTCCATCGTGAAGCCGTTCGCAGAACGAATAGGCGCTTCACTGAGAAATGACTGTTAACAATCTGTGGAGGTAAGCTGATCGTATCAGCTTTCATTCAACCCAAACGGGTCCTAGAGCTCTCAATTCATTTATGACAAAAAGGGAAGGTGTTGCAAGTTGATGTCCACTATCCCCTTGCGCCGATGCCTTCCCTTTGAGCGCAGCGAGGTAGAGATACCAAAAGGTGGCGATGAATGGTTTTAAGTCGGGTAGAACTCAGACTTGTGTCAAAGATCTGAAGATGAGTTCCTACTGGAGTATACCTATGAGTCGCAATGATAAATCAGACGAAGCAACAATAAGTACGTTCACTCTCACCTCAAACTCATATTAGAGATCTAAAGGGAGAGGTGGTCACTTGGATTCGCTCTCTTCATACACAGCGCTCAGTGGTGAGATCGTCACACAAAGGAGTGAGGAGATGAAGGTGAGCTAGCACCACTCATCCTATTCTAGATCCCCGCAGCCACTCGTTTGGCGGAAATAGACGTCGAAGATCTAAATAGTCTTAGATACCACAACATGATTTACATAATTACCATGGCAACCCGCGTAAGAAGAGGTGGAATAGACCGACAAATATTAACGGTGAAGGTGAGACTCCAGATGTACGCGTTTTCCCTACATTTCTGCAGCAGTGAGGGGGTTTCGATTCGCGTTGGGATGGTTTTGAGTATAGCGGGAGCGGCAATTGAGCGACTTTGTAGTGAGTGTTTCGTTTCGTTACTCTGAATTTTGGTGAAGTAACCAGACATATCAGGCCCAACGTTATACACGCCACCGCTCATGGTCATATTTGTTTGTGAGCCTATTAGTCCTCCTTGTTGTAAGAACCAGGGGGTAGCGGGCGGGCGATGATCACGATCGGACGAGGTGGTCAACCGTCAACTAGCATGCATCGGGACAAACAAATGTAATATGTGTCCATGTTTCGAGGTCGGCCAACACCCTCCGACATGAACCAAGTTCTTCAGGCTTTCTTTCGCCGTTCAGCCGATGCATAAGGTGTGATGTGCTCTCTCTCAAGTCTCCTTCATCGAAGTGCCTAGCGTTGACAGGCATCGGGTTGCCCCACCGGCGTTTCGGATCAATCACGCCTTGTATTATCGGCAAGCAATGACGTCAGCGCGGCTTTTCTATCATACGTAAGTACTTGAGCATCAGAGTATACCCCTTAAGCTTACCAACTCCGTTTCAGCCTCGAAGCGACGCTCCAATGGAACCCCCCTACAGGGCTCTTTCTCAACCTTTACTTCGGATCACCATTCTTCAGGACGATTCCCATGCCCATGGCCGTATTTCGTTAAAAAAAAAAAAGGTGGCTCGCTTGAGTTTTTTTTCTGCCTTGTTACTCTTTCATAACCGCACAACCTTCTCTCAGCGCATTGGGGGAACATCACTATATCACGGTATCGATCTCCCATTTCGGTGTTTGCGCTCCACCTTTCGATTGACCTTTCTTCTGAAGACATTCCCGAAGATGCATTTGTAGCTCCCTGCTCTGCTTGCATTCGTCCCCTAAGTTAACTACTGAGGTGAAGTTAGAGGATATTTAATGGGCATCCTATTCACACACTGGGCCTTGACCCCCTAGAGGTGTATGTTTTATTCTTCCTTCCTGATGCTCCGCAACTTATCCATACGCTGGCAAGATATTCCGGGTGGGCACCGGGGCCGCCCCGAACGGCCCTTTCGCAACAAGAAAACTCCGTGTCCGCGCTAATTTCGCCTTTCTCACATCTTCATGCGCAATAGGATTCATTGATTTCGCTCTTGAGAACTTCAGCCTGATCACTTGGTTCGAAACATCTGATTTTTCCTCACACGCGCTCATGAGCGGGTTCCCCACCTCGGAGCTACTCGATCCCGAATAGACTATTGTTCATTGGGCCAGTTGAGGGTGTGTTTGCGCGAGAACGCAATATCGAGGCAACGTACGCCGTCCGTTCGCATTGCTTGAGTCTGGAAGGACTTTCTGCCTACTCGGATAGGCATTAACCACCACAAAGAGCTCCATTGTTGCATGAATCTTCGAACGTGCAGCCCTATCCTTAAGCATACCCATCATGGAAGATGCTTCGAGGGGCTCCTTGGGTCTCCTTCGGCTAAAACAATATCTTACTGGTCGGTGACGTCACGTTGTGGATCGGACAACGTCGTTCACGACACCAGGAAATATAGTGGATGGATGGACAGACATGCAGATGTCAACTCCATGATTATATTTTAGTTCCGAACGCTCGACTAACTTTCAGGGATGAACCAGTCATGACTGAGTTTTGGAGAATCACATTTGCATGAGCTTCCGCGTGTGCATGCAATCTCCGGCCTGTGGGACAATGCCGTGCTGCGGGCGTCACCGCGCACACCCTATATTTGCTCGACACGCCACTTGGGAGATCAAGTTCCATTGGCTCGGCTCTATACAATTGTGATCGTACCAGGGGATTTGGGGCATCGGTGGTGATGTTCACGTTGCACGTCGGTTAATGGCTTGGTTTTAGGCCCTAAAGATCTCTGAGCGGTCAGCCTTGAGGGTGGGAAATTTTAACTACTTGCAGCCATGGCTCCTCGTACTCTTTAATACCATTCGTGAGGCGGTTTCGCATGCCGTCCCATTGGGACGGTTAAGGAACGAGTTTAGAGGAATAGGCCATGGATAAATGCTGAGATTATTCTTTCCCTCAACCTGCGTTCTCTCTCACTTGCCAGGGAGGGTTCTATCTTGGAATCGGCCCCCACCAAACTGATTCAAAAATCACGGTAATTGATCAGACAGGTGGAGATTAATTGTTCATGTTCTCCTGCGAATCACCTCTCCCAAAAAAATGCGTAATCCCCCACTTTAGATTCGGCAGACGCGGAATGATGTGGCCACTAGGCCATCTTAGATACCTTTGGCGAGGCCCCATGGTCGAATTGATGTTGTAGGGTCTACAGACTTTCTGGCACGTTCGTTCTCGATGGGTGCTCCGCACTCTCAAAATTGACGTTGCGACAGACATAACTTTCATGCTGAGTTCCGGTCCCCGGGAATTAAGATGGAGGGCACTCCTTGTGGTGTTACATGATTTTGATTCCTGCCATGCGGTGGTATTATGCCGCGGGTCTATCCCGCCCTGGTTGTTGGGACGTCAGAAACGCGGCGCAAGGAAGATGCTCTGAATCCTGATCGTCTTCACAACCTTGCCCCAAGTAGAACGTTATTCTACCCACTGGCGAAGCAAGCTCGTAGATACCTTCGCGGGTTAAATATCTCAAGAATCGTGTTACATTTTGAGAGGATCGGCTCTTCGAGTTATGGTTGGTGTTGGTAAGAAAGCTTGAAGAAGGCACGCAGGGTCCCCAACTCCAAACCTGTATCCTTTCTGAATGCGCTTGAGAGAGCTTCTGCAACCGCTCCACCGTAGGACCATTCAGGAATGCATCGACGGACAGTGATTCACTGCCCTCTTCTGTTGTTTTGTTTGCGCAAGTGATCCTCTGAGGCAAAGTAGGATGCCCCAACCGCGAGTTGGGATACAGTAGCCGTGAAATAGCGGTGGATCGGGCTCGCTGGGTCTACGATCTCATCTTATTCGTTTCTAGTAGGACGAGTTGCATGTTCACAGGGGCAGTCGTGTATACCAGATGTTGCGAATGTCGAGTTTAACGATCGAGAGTTAAATCATATATATAATCAATGAGTCGCGGGAATGCTTCGGCCAATTTTGCGCGTTGGCGTGATATTAGACATGGTCTGAGGTGCCGATCCGGTTGTAATTTTGACACAGCAGGCATACCCAACATTTCAGTTCCTTTTTGATGCGCCTTCTCCATCGTGCACCCTCCCCATGCATGCCCAGCATCAAGCCCACCCCGCTTACATAATTGCCAATGTGAGGGCACATTGTCACAAGCAAGGTGTCACGGCGGTTGGTCTTGGCATTTTCACCCAACATACTTTGACCCAGCATAATATTCGGGGTTTTTGAAATGGTTGTTTTTGATGTGTTGTTGCGCTCCACCGTTTTTTTAACTACCGGACATGACTTGCGCATACATTGACTGTGCCAAGATCGGTGCTGCCACTGCTACAATAGGTGCCCATCTTCAAGGGTTTCCACTTGTCTTAATGCCTTTTAAACCAAGCCAAGCCATTTGACTTAGCATCTTGTGTTTGGATCGCTGCTGTACAACTACCGCGGGGTGCGCCTCGCGCTTTACTCGCCGTCTCCAGTGAAGTATATATTCAGCTCTTAACTAATCTGTATTCTTGCCAATACAGGGACGAAAAAATCAGTATCGCTGGCATGCATCAAGACACACAGTGACCAAAAACCCCCCACCCCCCGCAAACTTTGCTGTGAACTTCTACGGCAACGAGGGCGCTCTACCGGCTTTCTGGGGCTTCTGATACCCAACACGATACAAATCGGAGCACCACAGTGTCACGAGAGAAGACGGTCACCGAACAAGTGCCCTGGCCCGGGCCTGGGAATGCCGCTCTGGAATCGCGGTTCTCACGTATCAGGAACGATGTTCCGCGCTGTTGGCCTATCGGGTGTTATTTATCAGAAACAGATGCAAAGCGCCATGGACTGGGCCGGACGAGTGGTTCACGATAGATTGACATACGCGCAATCACAGGATGGTTATTTGCTCTTCCCCTTCCTACCCCTAACTTCATTTTCATCGTGTCTAGGTAGACAACCTCACATACCTGAAGAGCTGATACTAGATCGCCCCAGTAATCCGCCGCCCGCAGGAGAAACCAAGCGCACCACGGCGCATCCCCTACGACTTAGAGAACGGCGGAACCTACTTCCAGCGCCGGAGCGGCGCAACTACCCCCGGGCGAGGCGTTCTTCAAGATCAACAGTGTATCGTGTGGGTATCGATGACAAAAGAGTTTTACTGTAATAGTATATAACATGTTTCGATGACACGGAGAAAGATCGCCTAGGAGACAGAGCTACCACAGCAAGCGGCGTTCAGAGGTTGCGCAACTTGGTATGCATCTACTTCATTGCGTTATCTGATTTTTAATTTCGGTGCTCAAAAGAGATCATAGGGCGAACCATTACAGCTCAATATCTCTCGTGCACATATTTGCTAACACGTTTCGCAAAGGTATGGGTTGGAGTTTGCAAATACATGACCGCACTGTCAGATCGCTATGACATTTGGACGCCGTAAGAAGAGCACATGCACATAGGCCGGGAGCGCGGAAGCCAATAATTGTCTGCGGAATATCAGTCTTATGCTCCGATGAACGCTGCACGGATGCACTTCATCAATGCGAAACAAGCCCTATGTTTTGTGCAGCCATCTCCCGACTCCAAATGCGGAGAATGTTCTTTTGAACTTTACCGCTCCCAGTCTTAGGGAGTATATCATAACCTGATTCTTTCGCTGCACCTTCACCCACGAACCATACCCAGGATGGAGCATTCTACTTCCCCGCATAATCTAAGCAGACACAATCTCTGAATCACGCAAGGGCACATACCTGAGGGTTCATTGCTTGTTTCACGATCGATATAACATCCTTGTTGGTAAGCTCAGGTGTTGCAGGGTGAATGGATCTCTGTTCTCGAACGATCCATACCCCGACAACTTCTCCATACTTCTGATCGGGGACGGAGACGGCCGCTGCTTCCTTAATCGCAGGATGCGCAGTCAACACGTTCTCAATTTGGACGGGAAACAGATTCTGTGATAGTGGAGTAATCATGTAGGCAGGAGAGGGGGATATCGGTCCTGGCTGGTGCATACCTCTCCTCCTCGAATGATGATATCTTTCATTCTGCCAACGACTGTCGGGTGCGAAACATGATCCAGATTAGCGGGAGTCAATATTCAATTGAGCGGCGCGGCGACCATGCCGTGGGACGCACTTCTAAGATAACCATCCTCGTCGAGAACGCCTATGTCACCTATGGCGATGGAGCAGCGGTGAGCGATACAACAGCTAAGTCTGTTAGCCATCCTTGTGTTATCAATTACCTGTTTTCAGCCACACCAAATCGCCCTCGCCTGGGTCATCGGGGGCTGGTGCTCGTGCCAATATGGCAGCGCTCTGTTCAGGGTCATCCCAGTACCTAGAAAAAGCAGGTGCGAGAGCTGAGCAAGCACGGTCAGGGAGTCCCCGAAACCACCGCAAACACTGAATGCTGGGCCACTGTCATTACTTACCCTTTATGGACGTTATAGCCAGACACCCAGAGCTCGCCTGGCGTGCCTAGGCATTTCCGTTCATGGAATAAAAGGCACTACGTTAGCCAGAAGACATACTTAGCATCGTGAATGGTAGACCCCACATACCGACGGGGACTATATTGTTATTGGAGTCCACAATCTTGGCCGCGACATGCGGCTGAACACGTCCAACCGTCTCTGTCCGCTTTTTCAAAGGATCCAATGGGACTGTTTGGAAAGACACAGGACTAAGGGTTCAACTTCACAATTAGTATGGGAAGTATCACACGCTTAACCGATCGGCAAGCTGTTGGAACTTTCGATATCGCGTGAAGTGACTCACCTCGTTTCCGCTAGGTCACTCGGGATTCAGCTTCGAGTTGACTGACCACCGCCACACCAGGAGAAGCACATATCACTCACTCATGCCATAGGCAATTGTCAGTTCAGTTAGATTCAGTTTTTGAATCAATTGCCTCATCATATCCAATGGTATGGTTGTGCCCGCGGCAATCCCGGTTCTAGGTTTGGCGCCCAAGCATGCGTTTGCGCGCAGGTGCAAGCCAGGAAGCGATTTGAACACACCTTAACGTGGAAAGGTTCCATTGCTCTCCACAGGGTTTCCCTGCCTCAAGCGTTTCTAGCAAGCCCAGGAAGTGCGTGGGCACGCCGTGAACTCCTGTACATCTTTCTGCTTCCATCGCATCAAGGGCAGCTCTCGGATCGAAACTTTCTGCGCTGTAAACAATAGCGGACGCATGAACCCAGGACGCGAGATTTCCTAAGACCAGCCCAAAGCAGTGGAAAAGCGGAGGTATGTTGCCTAGACGTGTCAAAAGCAGCATGTGAGTTCTTGGGAAAGGGGAAATGAAATATGGCTATCTATATCATGCAATACGAACATATCTTGTCCGCGGGTGTAAGATCCATGCATCTTCCTATAGAATGAGCATTATTCAACAGGTTGGCGTGCGATAACTGGAGTATTCAAAATTCTGCGTTAGCGGATATGGAAATCCTTGCACACCTGAGTGCACTCACCGAAACTGCTTTTGGTAATCCTGTTGTACCACTTTGCGCAGTATGTTAAATATGGAGTTGCTAGGTGTTCATGAGAATGAGCCTCGTGGGCAGCCCTACCTTGTGAATTGCAGGTTTATCACCTCGTCACGATGCAGTGACTTCTCAATCGATTTGACTTCATTGACAGATTCGCCATCTTCTCTCCATATCAGCAGGTCGCGAAAACCAACCGCTATAGGGATTCTTGACAGTTCTGCGTGGAAGTCGCCTCCTTCCCTTGATATGTTATCGGTGATGATTATATTTTGAAGGGGAAGATCCGCGTCGCCCTGGCCATCAGATGATGCGAGATGCGGCATTTCTTGAAGAAGAAGGTCGATATATCGAGAAGAACGCAATTTTGGAGTGATAAACAAAGATGACACCCCGGCAAGCTTCATGACGCCTATCTGTATTAGGGAAGATGGTTGGAGACATCAGAAATGAAAAAAATAACCAACACATGCCAGCTCGCGAATCCGATACGCAGGATTAATGGTAACCAATACAGCGCCAATACTAGCTGCCGCCCATTGTAAACAGGCATAGGTGCTTCGAATAGTAAGGAGATCAAGCTATTTGTTCACGGTAAATGAAATGAACGTGTTCTTACCTGCAATTGCCCATGACAACGCCCACTCGGTCCCCCTTTTTCACCCCTAAATGGACCAGACCTCTGGAAAGAGCAGCCACATGGTGGTGCATATCCTCAAATGTCCATCTCAAATACTTGGGTGATTCAGACAGCAGTCCACCTGGGGCACCATGAGCATTCGGAGCTTCCTGCGTGCTAACTAGGGCTATATTGGACGAAAACTTTGGGAGAAGTCTCTCGCTGTAAAATTCGGGAAAGGTTTGAGTTAGCAATGCGGGCTCTGTCGGCCCCCGAACGAATGAAGTGGATAGGGATCGCATATTTGCATGCAAGCTGTGATACAAGCGCGATATTTTGCCTCTGTATCTGACTAAGTCCACCATGATCTAGGAGCTGCCTGGTTAGAAGAGCAAGCTCTCAGGGTTCGATGCGAGGCAAATCATTTCCCTATTATGGGTTCGGACCCGGTATAAATACGTGCAAATGCAAACTAAGCGCCTTATGGCTCGTCTTCTTGGCGAGATGAACGCCCGTATCATTTCTTTGATTTGTCCTTGATGTTTGGGTGCCTTCCCACGTGGAGATATACTCCAAGTCATATTGTGCTCTTGTTCAGCTCTTACAGGGTGGTTGGAGTGTGAAGTACAATTACATTTCCCGATAAGTCATAGGAAACGTTCACAATGTGGGGGGCTAGGAAGGCAGTGTTCCGGTGACGCAGCGGGGAACGAGCACCGAACCCGAAAGCTTGCGATGATGAACGGTCCAGTGGTAGTGATTGGAACCGTTCAACAGGTGCACGGACTGGGAAACGTCAACCCCAAGTTGATAATGTTTCGAATATTTAGATTTAAGCAGACAATAAACGGTTGCCGTTGGGCTGTTCGCATGATGAAGAGCACAGCATGGAGGCGTTGTGATCAACACATGTCAACCGTTGCTGACGATTAGGAATAGCCTCATCGAATACGCTCGGTTTGCACTGCCAGGCGCCTTCTTATCTGCACGTTGGAAGCTCGCACACTCCTTTTCATAGGAGCTTCGCCAGGGCAATAGAACATTCGAATCTCTGAAAGAAACCGACTCACAATTGAAAATCTAGCAACGTTCTTCTTTTCTTCTCTTCCCTTTATACCCCAACCAGAAACCACTCCCTACCCCCCAACACATCTCCGTCTTTCAGTTTTTCACCTATAACCCTATACACCATGGGGCCACCACGGCACACCGTGCAGGCCGTCGGCCAAGCATTTATCATCGATGCGGAATATGAGTACATCAAAGATCTCGGCCAAGGCGCTTACGGATGCGTATTGGCAGCAAAGCACAGGAGATCTGGCGACGGGTGTGCCATAAAGAAGATCACCAACATTAACACCAAGGTTAGGCGCTCGATCATGCCATCTGTGTAAGCGCTCATTGGATGTTGATACGCGTCAAATTTGCCCTTTCCCCAGAAAATCTTGACCAAACGATGCCTGCGCGAAATCAAGTGCGTCCTGAATGAGCGATAAACGCGGCCTGATAGCTGATCCACACACACTTCCAGACTCTTGCACCACTTCCGTGGCCATAAGAATGTGCGCCCCTATCAGAATTCCGCATTGTTTTTACTCGTTGACCCACGTCCTGCCTTCAGATAACATGTTTGTACGACATGGACATCATCTTCGATGCACAGGGGAATTTTCACGAAGTTTACTGTTATGTACGCCACTATTCTTCCTTACGTCTTTCGGTTTAGTTCATGCGCGCCGCTAACAGGAAGAATTGATGGAGGCCGATCTTCATGCAATTGTAATGCCCTGCCTCACAGGTGCCGTTGCCATCAGAGATCTAACTCATATTCAACATGTATAGATCCGATCAGGGCAACCTTTGTCCGACGCCCACTTCCAGGTGCTTGTTGTCACTTTATTCCGCTTCGAATGCTCCTCACTATCAAAACCTTGCTTAGAGTTTCATTTACCAAACACTGTGTGGACTTAAATACATTCATTCGGCTAACGTTCTCCACCGCGATCTTAAACCGGGGAATTTGCTTGTAAATGCTGATTGCGAGCTCAAAATCTGCGATTTTGGTCTTGCACGAGGTCTCAAAGCCCCGCCCCAAGGCGATCCTCACAAGGGAGGGTTCATGACTGAATACGTGGCTACTCGATGGTATCGTGCCCCTGAGATCATGTTGAGCTTCGCCAATTATGTGAGTGCGGCCAGCTACCAACTGTGGCCGTCTGGGCGTGGATTCTAAGCTTCTTGTCCCGAAGTCATCCTCAATCGACACATGGTCTATTGGATGCATTCTTGCTGAACTCCTTGGTGGTAAACCAATCTTCAAAGGACGCGAGTGAGTACCTACTTGCGGAAATGGAGGCACAAATGGAGTGTTGGACTTAATACGCTTTCCTCCAGTTATGTGGATCAGCTTAATCAGATCCTTCACTATCTCGGGACCCCAAGCGAAGACACTCTTCGTCGTGTTGGGTCTCCCAGAGTAAGTAGTATAATTTTCATACGGGAAATAAGACCTTCCCCCTGTGCGGCTTGCTCTTTATCTTATCCCTTGTGCTTTGTTTTTTAAGGCTCAAGACTATATTCGCTCACTGCCGATCCGGCCGCGCATCCCGTTCTCCAATCTCTATCCGCATGCTAACCCCCAAGCCATTGATCTATTAACACGTATGTTGTGCTTCGATCCTGCAAAGCGGATTACTTGTGAAGAGGCACTTTCCCACCCATATCTTGCTGTCTGGCACGATCCCAACGACGAACCCCTCTGCCATTCTGTGAGTGCAATGGTCCTGAGGACTTGTTTTCATTGCTTAGACTATCCTCTGGAGGTTTTCGACTTTGGCTTCGAGGAAGAGGACACGATCGATGGCATGAAACGCCTCATAGTGGACGAAGTCAATACATTCCGCACCCTAGTGCGCAATCAGGCACGTCAGGCCCAGCCAAGACGCCAAGACACGTACGTTCTGCTGTTTCTCATGCACTCTGCCCACCAAGCCTAGAACGTGGATCTTGATGTCTTCACTGTTCTTCTCATAGCCTCCCTATTCCTACGAGGGAAGAAATTATTAACTCTCCCATCGTTGGGAACGATGGCGCCACATCTTCGTTCACCTTTGGACCAGACGCTCAGAAAGGCCAGGAGGGACACTTTATCGTGGATGAACCCAGCGCGGACTTTGAGCGCGAACTTCAACAAACTCATCATCATGATGTGGTGACTAATGTAGGGAAATGATTCCGTTGCCTTTCCCTCATCCGCTTTATTCTTTGAGAACCCAATCTCTACCCATCATGCTTCGAACTAAAGACTCTTATCTCACGGGCTACCCATTCTTTCGTGTGTCTCTATGCCAAAGTCCAATCTCATCTGTGTGTACACCCTCATTTCCCTTCTTGTCCTACCTGCGAGTCATTGTTCTCAACCCCGAAAAGTGTTTCTATATGCAGTAAAGCTCGCATGAAATTCAGTTTTTCTATTTGTTCAACCCAACGTCATTATCAGAACGATCGGCAAGGAGATTGGAATCCAACAGATTTCACTCGATATCTGCCAAATAAACCTTCTTAACTTGGACCCAATCTCCAAATTCTGCTGAGTCCCTCCGCTTTCTCCTTTTCTCTTTAATTTCAAACGTATGACTCATTCGGCAATAATATTCTGACAATTTTCTTTCAACTTTATTCTCACCAACAGGCCCCGTCTTCTCAACACCTCCATCCGGGCCATCAAAATGCAACTTCATCCTCGTGGCACTCATCGGAACACGGCCGGTCAAAATCATCCGACGCTTCTTCAAGTGTTAACCGGTCCCACCGTCCACTGCCTAATCCACCTCCCCCCCTGGCAAAGCACAGTGATTCACTCTCTCCATGCGGAAATGCTTATTCTAGGGCGTCTTCGTTCTCAGATTATGGTCACCAGCCGCAACGCTCCAGAGGTCTGTCAGGCGCTTCTGGGGATGTTCACAGTGAAAACCCGCCGAGCGCAGCATCGGATTCGCATTTGAATCAACGCTCCAAGGGAAGACGGTCGTACGCGAATGCTCGCGGTGCAAAAGGGGCTTCGTTCTCCAATGCAAGGAAACAAGATGATTACATAACTTTTGGCTCTCGGGCTGCGGGCAAGGGGGCCTCGCGCTCCGCGCCTACCTACGATTTTGACGGCCAAGAACCGCCACGGCGGGGGATCGTATCTTCCATATTCAGGGGATGCTTCTGAATACGCGGAGTATGATACCTTCATTGTGGCGGAGGCGGCGTAATTGCAACGCTCGAGGCGTTTGGGCGCCTTTAAGCTTTTGGGGATCAATTGGCGCGACAAACTCTGAAGTTTTCCCAGCTCAGTTTGCAACCGGATCTACAGGATACCAAAAGGAGAGTTCACTCTTGGATTTCTTCATGTTCCATTCTTCGGGCATTTGTCATCGCTTCTATTGTGCATTGCATGCACACTTGTTTGTATAATTAATCCACGGAAGCACTCTACCTACCCAGTCTAGACCTGCACGCCCACGCACGCTAGTGCCAGGGGTTCAAGACGTGTCTGACGCCGGTATCGATCTTAATGACTATCGAGCTTTCGAACGAATGTAAACTAAAAGCGGCAGAACTTCGATCAGTAAATTCTAGAGACGGGTGGGTCCAAGATATGGGCAGGACATTCCTCTTTAGTACAGGTGCCGCAGCTTCCGAACGGAGAAGGATTTCATTCCTTGAGAAAATCAAATTGGCATGATGATTGCATATCCAAACCGAATAAGACACTATCCGTTCCTGAACAGTATATACGCAGTGATTTGAGTTCGTCGTTGATCAGGTGGATTATTTTGCTGCCAGTTCAAGCGATGTTCTTGACAAGAAGCGCTGAGTTGTAGTGGGGCGGAGTGCAGATTGGCACGTTTAAACCACTTGTCTCCTGCTCTCGCGGATTGAGTTGTTCTCATTGGTCGTCTCAGAGCTTAGGTCGCCTTTCTCGTCCCCCTCATTAGGCAGCTGTCGAACATTTGCGTGAGCTCGCTGGGCGAGAGCATCAGCGGCACTGGGATCGTCAAAGAGCAAAGCGGTCTCCTCAAGCGAACGTCCCTTGGTCTCGACGGCATAGAACCAGATAAATACCGTCTCGGCGGCGTCCCAAATGGTATAGACGACATAATATTTCCAGTTGAGGGCGTCGAAGGCGATTGGATTGACGTACTGATTGAATACAATAGAGGCAGTGACAGACAAGCTATGAAAGAGAAGTCAGGGTTCGTTTCTCCGCGTGAATCAGCGCCTAAAACGGACCCCATTACAGCCAGCCCCTTCGCACGAATTTTGTAAGGTAGAATTTCAACGGTATATGAGACTAGGACTGTGGCCGGGAGTTAAAACGAAAAGAGCCTGAGGATGAGGGCGAGTTTGATGGACTTACGCGGTGTATATGCAATGGCGTAGAAGAAGCTGAAGAAGAATACCACCGCAATGTAGGTATGGGCAGCGTTTTCATTGCCCTTCTCGGCTTTCCCGGTCGCAGGATCCGTGGAAGTAGTCCCATCAGGGTTGATGTGGACAGAGTGACGATAGACGGCACTACAAATTGTAATTGCCATGTAGGACACCGTCATGCCAGCTGTTGAGGCAATAAATAAAACACGGCGACCGACACGCTCCGTAAGGACGGAAGCAGTGATTGCAGTGGCAAGATTGAAGATTTGCAGGATGCCGTTGATGAGAGTTTGATCAAAGGCGGAGGTGATACCAATACCATTTAGAATGAGGTTGAAATAGTATGAAATGAGACCATTTCCAGACCACTGGGAGAAGAAGGAAATAGCTGCAGAGGCCTTAGATCACTGCACAGTGTCCAGCGACCAGTTTGACTTACCAATGATGATTCTCATGCGACGCAGATTACCTGTGCCGCTAAAGAGCTCCAGGAGGCTGGAACTTTTAGCGTTCGCTTCGTCTATGGAAATGGCCTCTTTAATTTCGTTGTATTCATATTCGATGAGAGGATCATTGCGGTTTCCATTAGCGTGGTATTTAGCGAGGATATTGAGAGCCTTCTCATCCCGGCCTTGGCGGATCAAGTAACGAGGCGACTCGGGAATAAGCCATAGAAGAAGCAGCTGAATAACAGAGGGAATGGCTTGAAGAGCGGATGGAATACGCCATGACCAGTTATTATCGATTCGGAAGGTTCCTTTTGGATGCATGAGGGTAAGTTGAAAGAAACAGCGGCGTATTTGTGATAAAAAATTGTTTCACCGAAAGTCCCCCAGGCCGCAACGATAGAGCCACTAAACCACATGGTATTGAACAGCGCGGAAACTGAGGGCCGGTGTGAAGGATAGGCCAGCTCGGAAATGAGAAGAGGGGAGGCTACCATTAAGAAAGATGCCCCGAAGCCAATCATGGCGCGGGCACCAACTTAAAGGGAATGACTTAGGAAGCCTCAGACATTGATACAACTGCACACTGACTGAACATGCCAAAATTCTGAGAGGCTGTCTGCAATGCAGCCCCACCAGCAATAATAAGTGCACCTCTGCAGAATGGACCAGACGTCAGTGTTGCTCGTGTGGCTGAGAGCGGATGCTGGAATTACAATAGCATAGCAGACTTCCTCCCAAAGGTATCCGCGACATATGGTGCAAAGGGAACGCCGCAAATAGAACCTATCTGAACACACAAATCATTAACTTATCTAGGATCGCCCGTACTCTGCATACGTTTTGAATAGCGTTGAACAGACCCACTGCGGAAATAAATAGTGAACGTCAGCATTTCCGTAATGGAGTGAAAGCAGCGGAAACGATACACACAAGTTCCACCACGAGGATGATGGAAAAACTCTTGCCACCAAGTGACACTTTGCAACCCATTCATCATGCTGCCAGGAAGAATTTTCATCAGGCAACTGAAGTGTTCTCGGCGTTCCATCACCCTGTACCGACCTTCCGTCAAATCCATTGGAATATGAGGAGATGAGAGGAAGGCAGAGAAGAATGTTCAACGTCAGCAAGCCTGTACGAAAGGGCCATCAATAGATTGATTGGGATACCAGACCCAAGACTTCACCTGTGTTACAGTACCACTTTCCCGTGTAGAGTAAGTGGTCAAAGTTTGTCGTTGCGTGCCTCATTGATGTGCCGACGCTTGGACCCATTGCAGGGGTCCAAAACTTGAAGAGACACCCATTTTAAACAAGTGGGCGGCCAGGGAAACGATCTGGAAGATAGTTATCCTGATAGCCGCTATGTAACCCTTACATGAAGGAAGCCCCATTGACACCACCTGCTTGGAATGGGGCCTGGATCCCTGACCTTCCAGGGATGCTGATGACAGGACCTTTACACCCAAATCATGGCCAAATAACAACACCTTCGCTAACCATGCGCCAGTTCACGGTGCAGACTCACTCCCTCCGGTGGCGGGGATTTTCGTTGCTGCAGTATCGTACATATTGCAAAAGCTCGCCGATGGGAAATTCCGGAGTCCCTGCTGAGTTATCGGTTGGGGACGCCGCATCGGAGGGGTTTTCCACGTGCAAAGACTGCATGGACTTAGTAACACAAGTCGCTACAACATAATGGCCTGGAGTATAGACGCTTAATTCTCGGGGCATTTGCACAATGATTACATGACCATGGGCCAAGAGTTGTCCTGGACCAAGGACGGACTGGGTGCCTATAGTTCTGAGAGCCAGTGATTCCACAGTTCCGTAAATATGCAGTATAATGTATGCCGGAGTTGCCCCTCAATGAGACTGTTGGACTGTTTACAGTGGCGGTCGCTTCAGTAGCATTAGCGTTGGGCTGTGCATATCCAAGCCGGTAGCTCCAATGTTTTGCTTTATCTTTGCACACTCTACGCAAAGAGGTAAGGCCAGAAAGGCCCAGCTAAGGCCGGGCGTTGCCGGAAGGAGTGAATTGAGTCGACAGACTCAAATAAGTATCACACATGCTGGCGGGCCGTGCATTGCAGTACTACATAACATGTACGCTCATTTGTAATGATAACAAAGTGAATGTGAATCAAAAGCTCCCCGTGCTTCGATCATTGAAATTCTACAGATGGCCAGATCTGGTTACAAGTTCATTACAGTCAGTGCGGCAGAACAGCCCCTTGAGTGCGACGCCTAACCAGGGGAAATGAAACTGACACGAATACCATGTCCAAACTGAACATGTCTAGGAATCTAAGAAGGACCGCTGGTATGGTGCCTGTTATTCTGAATCAGTCTCCGTTGATCGAGCCAAAGGATTGTAGGTCGCTTGACACTGATTAGTATTCAGTTCATTCCAAGCGACTTCCTGACATGCATCCAAGAAGTGCTGAGTAGGAGTACCGTGGATCGATGCACTCAGAAGGCGCGCCCAATGCTCTCATCCGAAATGGAAAATTCGTCAGCATCCCGTAAGTCGAAACCGCCCCCCTCATCCTTCCCGCTGGAGAAATGGACGTGTTTATGAGCACACTGAGCGACGATATCGGTGACACTGAGGTCCTCCAGGAGCACAGCGGTTTCCTCGAGCGATCGTCCCTTAGTTTCGACAGCATAAAGCCAGATGAACACTGTCTCAACAGCATCCCAAATGGTGTAAATGATGTAGTATTTCCAGTTGAGGGCGTCGAAGGCGATTGGGTTGACGTACTTATTGAACACGAGAGAGATCGTGATACACAAACTATGAAATAAAGTCAGCGTAAGTTATGACCCAGCGGGTGAAACGAGCCTCATTACAGCAAGCCCTTTGGCACGAATCTTGTAAGGCAGGATTTCGATGGTGTATGAGACCAAGACTACAGTTGACAGTTAAAATAAAAGGGCGAGGTCGAGTTCGAGAAACTTACGCGGCGTAAATGCAATGGTATAGAAGAAGTTGAAGAGGAATACCACTGTGATGTACATGAAAGCAGCTTTCTCGTTGCCCTTCACAGGTTTCCCCGTTGCAGGATCGATATCAATAGTCCCGTCATGGTTAAATGGGACGGAGTTACGATAGACAGCACTGCAAATTGTGATCGACATGTAGAACAGCGTCATGCCAGCTGTCGAGATGATGAACAGGACACGGCGACCAACACACTCCGTAAGGAAGGAAGCAATAATAGCAGTGACAAAATTGAAGATTTGCAAGATGCCACTCATGAGAGTTTGGTCAAAGGGGGTGGTAATGCCGATGTCATTGAGGATAAGGTTGAAATAGTATGAAATGAGGCCATTTCCAGACCACTGGGAGAAGAAGGCGATGGCTGCCGAGGGTTCAATCGATTATGCGATATCTAGCGACCAGCTTGACTTACCAATGATAATTCTCATGCGACGTAAATTGCCTGTACTACTGAAGAGATCTAAGAAACTGGTGCCTTTAGCATTCGCTTTGTCAATGGCGATAGCCTTTTTGATTTCGTTGTACTCGTATTCAACGAGGGGATCATGGTGATCTCCATTAGCGTGGTATTTAATGAGGGTGTAGAGAGCCTTCTCGTCCTGGCCTTGGCAGATTAAGTAACGAGGGGACTCCGGAACAAACCATAAGAGAAATAGCTGAATAACAGAAGAGACGGCTTGAAGGGCGGATGGAATGCGCCATGACCAGTTGCTTCCGATTCGAAAGGACCCTTCGGAGCGCATATAAGTAACTTAAGAAATTGTTGGTCTGTAATAATGTTTTGCCTCACCAAAGGTCCCCCAGGCCGCAACGATAGAGCCACTGAACCACATAGTATTGAAAAGGGCAGAAAGTGCAGGTCGATGTGATGGATAAGCCAGCTCAGTAATGAGAAGAGGTGCAGCCAGCTGCACGAAACATGTCCCGAACCCAATCATGGCACGGGCACCGACTGCAATTGAATGTTATAGGACACCTGAGAGACTGATCCGACCGAGACACTTACTGAACATGCCCGCATTCTGCGAAGCTGTCTGCAATCCAGCGCCGCCAACGACAATAAGTGCGCCACTGCGGATAGGATCGGGCGTCAGTTCTGCTTGTCCAGCTTGACACAGGTGCACCGATTTACAATAACATAGCAGTTTTTCTTCCAAAAGTATCTGCAACGTACGGCGCGAAAGGGATTCCCCAAATAGAACCGATCTGAATACAGAAAGTTGTCGTCAAGTCACCAAGGATTTGTGATTTTTTTGAAGGACATACGTTTTGAATGGCGTTAAATAGTCCCACTGTAGGGATAAGGACCACAATACGGCGAAGAGCGGTGGAAGGGGGACGTACAAGTGCTACCGTGAGGATGATGAAAAAAATCTTCCCACAAAGCCACACTTTGCAGCCCGTTCATCAGGCTATTGCCAAGAATCTGTGCTGGGCATGCGATCTCGACACCTAACAACTCCAGACTGACCTTCCGTCAAACCCGTTGACATAGGTGGAAATGAGTGGAAGGAAGAGAAGGAAGTTCAAAACCAGCAACCCTGTAGAAAAGGGCTGTCAATAGTCGGATTGGTACCCCAGGGATCTCCAGACGATACCTTTGTTGTGATACCATTTGCCCTTGTAAAGCAAATGGTCAAAGCTGGTCTGAGCATGCTTCATCAATATGCCAATACTGTGAGTGATTTTGGAGGGTTAAACCTGAAGGAGCGCCGGCTTTAAAAAAGCAAGAGGTATGGAAACTGTTTAAGGGAAGATACTCAACGCGGCCACGCATCAACTCTTCACGAAGTGATGACATTGAAAAACGCCCATCACTCACTACTACCAAGGCGACACTACCTTCATGACCTCCGGTCTCCAAGGGAGGCCGACTGAACCTTTCCTTCCATTTTACAACCACGCCAACAATGCGGCTGATTGTCGCTTCTGTTATTCGATCTACAGAATAAACAATAGCAGCTGGTCTGCAGTGAGGATTCTGGTGTTGACGACGACAACCAATATTGTGAAGCATCATCCACGTTGTTGTGGCCGTAGGTTTTGCTGAGTCAATATTGGTGAGGTGTTATGCTGCATCGTCGGAACAAAGAGCTGCATGGACCGCTCCAGAATTATTTGCGCTAATATATTCATTACTGGAGACGCTAAATGACTGCGGACAACGAGTTGTCCAATCATTCCCAGGTGTGGCCCTGAAGCATGGGGAGTCGAAGGGTTCCGCAGTTTCCGAATGTATAGCACAATTCTTAGAGTCTACGCAAAGACGAGAAGCCAGAGGGGAAGCCATGATGCCCGCGTTCAATTGAAATTGAACGAAGCCATGGATCGCAGCGGACCAAGCACTGGCACTTCAGTGATCCTGCTTTTTTCCGAAATTCCTTGAGTGGAATTTATGGGGATAATGGTTCTAGAGCTGCAAGAAGATGATTGCAGTAGATATTTGCACAGGCAGCTATATTCTGGATATGTCGAATCCCGCCACAGATGCAACTGTAGAATTTCTAGTACTGTGACAATGGTGAATCTATCTCGCGGGCTCGTGATGACGTGGCAGTGCGGCTGTAGGTCTATACATAGCGTACATGAGGGACATGATGTATGGGCGAAATAGAAAATAAACTATGATGTTCATCTCGTCCCGCGTTGAACTTCTAGTGTAGGGGATCATCGTGGCTAATGACGTCATGCTTATTCTCAATCAGCTGTGCTGATGCCAGTAGCTTTATTTCTTATTTGACTGGTATGCCGATTTATCGATCGCCATAATATAAGTACAAGCGATATTAGCGCCCGGTCAATTGATGTAGTACATACCTGTCTTTCGAATTTGTACTTGATTGATAGTACGTGCAGGTAAAGAGTTACAATGACGGTAACATTTCTCACCGAGTCCTACGAGGTTGGGGTACAGTAGATATTCTGACAGGATATCAGCCATCTGTGACACCTAACATAATAGCCTTCAAAGAGAAACGAAATGCAAAGAATGCTATGCAGAGGCCGAAACGGTCCGTGGGGGCCACGTTCACCCCAAGGGCTGGAGTCCTGCTTAACCCCAAGGTGCCAATGGGTGTGTAGTTATCGGAATATCAATGTCCATGCGTACCAATATTCTTTTTACTGACGCGATATCGATCAAGGATATCGTATATACCTTTTGTCTTGATGCTTACTTCATTGCCGGTTATAGCAGGCAGTCGCTATAAGCGATATTGGCGCTAGGTGTATAAAACACACTGTGCGCGGAATTTCTCACACTCCCTCAGATCTCTTACTTATTCGAGACTGAGGTGATACCCTTTTTATTCCTCCTTCTTGTATGCGAGTTCTGATTGTATTTACAGTCCGTGCATCTAGCTTATTTACTTTAGCAGTAGGGTAGGTAGAATTGCGCCCATCAGCGCCATGCAACAGGTACTTACGTTGCTTCGGTTTTTTCCGGGTAATACAGTATTCGGCTGACAGCTCCTTCTTGGTATCGAAGCCATTCAAACATCTCGCCAAGCTGTTGTCGAGAAAATTGGGGTCCATAAATAATAAGGCAAGAGGTCCTACGGTATAGAAAGATAATATTGGCAAGCAGGAGTCCTGAGGGGAGTCGGAACCAACTGAGTCACGCGACAGGAATAGGCAGCTGGAACTTTGCTTCCGTCATATCGTAGCCGCGTAAACCCCTGAGTCTACTAGCTTTCAAGACATGCTCCCAATATTCCTTGCGTTGCCAGTGCTAGTGGCTGCCATCCCGGCGTCAACCATTCCACGTGCGGAACGTGAGAATAACGACCCAATCAGTCACTGGGCTCCTCTTCATGATGTTGAACCGCTCCACGCTATCCCGAACAGCTATATCGTCACCTTCAAGGAGGAAACATCCTTAGAGGCTATCGATGCTCACACTTCGTTTATTCACTCTGCATCGCTTCAATCAGGCTCGCAGCATGAGGGCGTAAAGCACATATATATGCCGATAATCAAGGGCTACTCTGGTCACTTCGATGAGCAGACACTGAATTTGATTAGGAGCAGCCCAGAGGTTGAGTATGTTGAGCGCGATCAGACCGTCTGGGCTAGCAGCATTCAGAAAGGCGCACCTTGGGGCTTAGCGAGGATCAGCCATCGCAAACGTCTCACGCTCAGCACATTCCAGAAGTATGAATATGCAGGGCATGGTGGTCTGGGCGTTGATGTCTATGTAATCGATACGTGAGTTCCCGAGTCTTAATTAGTATCCTATCACCAAAAATCTGATTGTTCCCAGTGGTATTAATATCCATCACAAGAGCTTTGAAGGGCGAGCTAAATGGGGCTACACTGTCCCCAAAAATGATGTTGATGAGGATGGTAATGGTCACGGAACTCATTGTTCGTTCATTCACATTTTATCTTCACTATCACACACAACCTCTGACATTGTGCCCTCCAAGGTGCTGGAACTATTGGTTCGAAGGATTATGGTGTCGCCAAAGGCGCTCATGTTATTGCCGTAAAAGTTCTTGGCTCCAATGGATCTGGCAGCATGAGTGATGTGATTGAAGGTGTCCGGTGGGCCGCAACGTGAGTCATTCTTCTAAGTCGGGCTAGCCGCCATCATTCATCAGGATCCAAAGTTCCGCTGTTAACAAGGCCAAGGCTGAGCGCGCCAATGAACTCAGGACTGGAAGGAAGTCTGCCTTCAAGGGTAGTGTTGCTAACCTGTCTCTTGGTGGTGGGAAGTCTCCCAGTCTTGACCGTGCCATCAACACCGCTGTCAGCCGGGGTCTCCATGTCGCCGTTGCTGCTGGAAACGATAACAAGGATGCTTGCAATTACTCCCCTGCCGGCGCTGAGCTTGCTGTTACTGTTGGTGCTAGCACACTGCAAGATGGTCGTGCCTACTTTTCCAACTGGGGCAAGTGTGTTGACGTCTTTGCTCCTGGCCTGAACATCAAAAGCACTTGGAACACTGGCCCTACCGCTGTCAACACAATCAGTGGAACTTCTATGGCATCCCCTCGTGAGTATTCTTACTATGTGCACCCGAACGTTTTGGACTAAGTCCGGCTGTAGATGTTGCTGGTCTCATTGCGTACCTGCTCTCAATTTACCCACATGAGACGTTCGATCCTTCTTTCCTTGCCCCCACCTTCATCCCTAAATTTTCCTTCTCCGAACCCCCCGCTAATCCAACCTGGAACACCATACTTTCCGTTGTTCGCTTCTTCGTCCCATCCTACTTCCAACACTCTGTCCCTGCAGTTGAAGAGGATCCCTTCGCCCCAATTCCTTCGAAGATTACCCCTGCCCAGTTGAAGGAGGCTATTATTAAACTGGCCACCCGCGGCATTCTTTCGGATCCTGGCGAGGGCTCGCCTAATTTGCTCGTCTTCAACAATTTCACCGACCCTTCGCTACTCTTCCAATAATTTGTTGGATCTTGGGGGTGTGGTAAAAGGCATGGAATTAATGAGATGACGAGATCGACGTTATCTCATGAGTAGATCATATGTTTAACTCAACCCCCTAACTCCATTCGCTTCGAATAGTCTATGGAAACACGTGCATTCTTTCCGAGTGACCGAATAGTTTGATTCCTCCTGTCGTAGTATATCAAGTCTAACACGAGATTGTCATATCTTACTGCGTGACAGAATCGAAAATAACCACCTATGTGAGTAAGCAACATTCAATAAATGAACTATCAAACACAGAAAGTATCAAAATCGTTTGGCATCCCATGGAACCTTGCCCGAGCCGTATTTCTTGACATAAGCTATATATCCGACGTAAGCAACGGCCAGAATAATCCCGAGAAAAACAAGTTTTAGTAGAAAACGGAAAAAGCCGCCAAACAACGATGAAGATGAGCGATGCTTCTGCCTAATGGGGGTCTCGGGGCCACGCAGTTTATCTGCGTTTATTATGAGGCCAGAAGCCGTAATCGAGATGACGCTGGATAGTTGGTGGTTGAGCAAATGTCGCGTGGGAACGAAGGAAGAAACGCACTCATGGGCTTCTGAAACCTCGCCAGTCAGAGCCGTTACACCGAGGAAAGGTGCCGGAGGGAGCTTAGGCTTTTCAATTGTGAAGCAAGGGGTCCATTCGTCCCCTATCAACCGAATAGTATCAATCTTTGGAATTTCGACTCGATGATGGCAACTCACACCCTCTGTAGTGGACTTCGACCTAAGTGAAATATGAGCAACGACACTTTGGGAGACGTGAAACATTCTGGACTCACGTTGACGAAGTGATTTTTGAGAACGGTTATCCGGAGCTTGGTGGCAATATCTTGCTGTCTCACTTGCGCCTGGGAAGGGCGGTGATATCAAGGCAAAGGGAATCGCAAACTTATCGGCCTGAATGACTCACTGTGCATGCACCGGCAGCCTGCTCATGGCCATCCTTTCCATTGTCATAGTGCGTGTTTCCATCCCCAATCATTCCCAGTATCCGCGGGAATCCATACGAATGGCGTTCATTTGCGAACCTATCATCCTCCTATTCAGCTTTCAGACCTCATGGCTGGATGATAGTACAAACGTATCGATGAATATTCCTAGCCCTTCAAACTTATCTAAGCATTGAACAGATGAGGCACTTTCTCAGTGAATATTGAAGACGCAAAATGCTTACCTTCAAACCCAAATACTGGTCCTGATTCAGCTCTTCTTGTGGTCAGCCATATAGCCATTCCATCCCCAAACAGATGGCCGGATGAACTCGTGATCTGGATATCGCTTATTGAGACGCTCGGACAAAGAGAAAAACAATGGACGATGCGATACCTTAAACTCCACCTCAATTTGAAAGTTTGGGACCTTCAATGAGGTGGAAAAGAAGTGTGAATAGGTAGTCGCTCATTGCATATCCTGCTTACTGTTATTGGTAGTCTCGACCATAACCAACCAGTCTGTGATGGTCGGTCTTGTGTTAACTGAGCAGAACTATCAGCGGCGCTAATGTCATTGCATCCTCACACAAACCCTAATGTGTTTGTTGGTGTTCTGTACCCAAATATCACTATGGAATAACTGCAACGTGTCCTTTGCACTCACAATGTAGGCATCTGCTCCGAATGAAAACCACCTATTCAACATCATTAGCATCAACACCCCACGTAGAGCAATTCGCTCACCTATTTTGGAGATCCTGGTCCACATATGGCGCAAATATAGAATGCGTATGAAGGTTAAGTGTCTGTACGCCCTGTCAAGGATTGGCCATCTAAAGAACCCGTCCGCACTTACCGACTCTGTCACTGATTCAACGTTCTCCAGAGTTATCTCTGAGAGGCATCTTCGTGCACATACAGCCAGCACAGTGGCGAGTGCTGTCAAACGCCGAAACATTTCCCTTCGAATACAGTCAAAAACTGAATGGTGGCAGTGCAAAGTCACACCCGTGTTACCCGCCGGACCCGGTTAACTTCGTTTCTCTGCCTTGGAAGCCATGGTTGTGCGATTGCTACTCCTCCCGGGGATCTCTCAAAATAGCTCAATTTTTAGAAAGAAAGTATGTAGGAGGCCTGGGGCCTATCGTCGCCACTACCATTGTACATACTACTTTGTTCTGAACTCCTGTTTTGGTGGCGCTCCAAGTTAGAGCCCGTGCTTCAATGTTTTGGGACGGACGTACATTATGGTGAGTAACAACCATGAATTTACTGGCGTGTTATAACCCGGCTTGCATAGAAATCCTAGATCCGCCACACAAGTACACACCGGAGGCCGCAAAACAGCTGGGTCCCTGGTTTGATTCAAGCGCCAACTTTGATGCCCCGGAACTTCACCCTCGCTATTGGTGGAGGCCGACCGAAGATAAACCGCCGTTGTATCGAGATGCTGAAGCGAGTGTAATTTATCTCCGCGATTTCTTGGCACGCCGGGACCAACCGTTTGATGTAAGGATTCGGTTTTCGCTCAAGGACATACTATAACTTCGGTGGCAGGGTGTCCTTGGGTTCAGTCAAGGTGGAGCTTTGGGGGCCCTCCTAATATCCATGGTCTGTTTTATGTTGCCCCTTATATTTCTTCTCCCACTAAACTGCGGAAAGCTGGAGCAGCCGGAGCTCAGTCCCGAGTTCCTGGTTGATGGAAAACCCCCTCACCCCCCGTTGTGCGTTTATTCTGTGTGTATTGGAGCACTTTCTTATGCATTCCACTTTGAAGGCGCTTCGGCATAGTGATTGCAGGATTTGTAAGCACATCCCTCTACCTGATCCTAAGTAATTGCCAAGCTTCGTATAGACTATGCGCGACCCGAAATACTTGAAGGCATTCGTCCCCCCACCCCTTAAAACGCCATTGCTTTTTGTCGTTGGGAAGAGGGATCGGGGTTACGCGCGCGATCTCGATCTACTACCTAAATTCCAACATTGCCGCCTTGAAAGGCACGAAGGAGGTAAGGCTGAGTGCACAGACAACGCCATTACCACAATATCACATATTCCATCCATCAGGTCACCTAGTTCCTACCCGAGGAGATTGGCCGCGTTTCTTCAGTGATTATATTCGCGCTTATGACCAGTCAAGTGTCATTTCCCCATCAGAAGTTCCTTCCCCTCTTTTCACCCCCGCTTTCTCTCTCGACATAACAATCCATGACAGATCTAAATTATGAATTGCAACGACATGCGCCGCACTGTTGGACGAAATCCATATGTTTCTTAAGGTGTTCCTTGTTTCCTGAACTTAGTGATGGCATGTCAGCTAGATGGAAGGCCAGGTGGCGGCAGAGTTACCGGAGCAGAGCCAACGGTAATGGTTAGAGAATAAGTGCTGTTATTAGCTTGGGATACACCCTAAATCTGACTATCCGACGGAGTTTTTGGTATAATATTGTGCTCCCAGATACATAATAGCTATTGGCATAGCAATCCTACATCACGAGCGCCGTCGGTCGGCTAGCCAGCAGGACTTGGGTACGTCGGGGGACCTTAGCGCACAAAGCTTTAAAGCCCATGTTTCATGTCCCATTTATTCCTTTCGCGTTTTGTACGATGTCAGGTTACGCTTCATTGTTCTCAGCAGCGCATGGGGCGCGTTCCTGACAACTTTACCAGGAGCGTGATATCCATCGAGTTTGGTGTCGTGCTCAGACTGCCCGCGTAAGATTGTAACTATAAGCACATCTGATATTCGCGAGGTCTAGCATCAAGCTCGATGACATGGAGGCCGCTTTCGGCCATTCGCCAGTTCTCCCACATGTGACCCGAAAGTCAGAAGGTGGGAGGTTGGAACCAATGAACCCACGAAATTGACCCCTCCTAGTTGTGCGCATGTCAGGACGTATGCGGTCTCGAACTGTGCATCTCTGTAGCAAGAGGTCGTAAGCTTGACCCCTCACTACGCCCAGGCTCAACGGCCAATTGAATGGCACCCACACGTCTCTCAAAGGACGGCGACACTGGGCACTGGATAGCAGCCCGCCGAACTAAAAAGGTCTGGCGCTAGTGAAACCTTTTCTGTGATCGTATGAGGGAAAAAAAAGCAACGGTGTTCCTAGACATGGATTGGCTTTCGGGGGTAATGGTGCGCGTGCAAGGCACTTTTCCAGTGGAATTGCATGAATGCGCCGTCGCAACCCTCCGAGGATTCGAGTTACATCGTGGATTACCTTCTGCACCCAGTAAATGGGCAAGGCAGTATAGTATTGACCAACAAGAAGTTGGACTCTGGATTTCCTGTAGACGAGCGTGGTGAGAAGAAGTGACGGGCAGGCTCTGTCGGCTAGTGTCTGCAGTGTACAGTTGATACTCTGGGATATCAGGTGCCATGATACATATCTGCTCCCTTGCCAAACCCTCGTATTCTTGTTGAGCAGTTGAATGCTGGCCGGAAAGGCACCCGGACATCCGGTGGGGATGTTTGGGAGTAGGAAGGGTATTGCTAACGGTGGAGTCGTTTTTTGTCTTCCAACGCACCGGAAAGCTGGATTCACGAGTCCCCGTTTGGATAAGAGGGCTGACCAAGATCCGTAGTAAAGTAAATCAGAACCTAGCGACATTCGCCGAGCTAGCACTCCCTCACTTCAGCAAGTACAGGGGCACTATACGGTAACTAGTATACGTAGTATGATGCTTGCACATCCGGCGCCATATTCGGGTACAGGAGCAAAGAGATGGGCGCAGAGAAGTGGTCAGGCGTACACTTGAAACATTGTGTCCTCTGTATCAAGGGCTGATAGTAGGCAGGTGACCAGCCTTTAGGCTGATAAGGCAGTGGTTCGGCTTTGCCTCAGGGATTCGCTTAGGCTGAGTCACATGTGCGTTTGAATTCCCACTGGTTATCTGATAACGGCCAAGATAATTCGACTCGCTTTTTCAGCCGTCTCTTTCCACATCACCGCCATGTCATCGTCAACGCTCTATGCGCAGAGTAGGTTTGGAATCTGTAGGGAAGGTCGCTGAGGCTTATTCAGCACCTCTATAGCTACAAAAGAATGGATCGTCCCCCCACGGCCGAAACCAGGACGGAAGCCCAAAACAAAAGGCGAAGCAGGTGTCGCTAACGGTGATGAAGAAGAGTCAAAAAGAAATCAAAACAGGTGTGTGAACATATAGCCCTCAGCGTTCCACGGTCTCTCAAAGGCCTCTTTCGAAAGAGCATCTCAGCGAGCTTTCCGCGAGAGAAAACAGAGCCAACTAGCTGATCTTCAAGCCCTCGTGGAGAAGTATGAGCGTGGAGAAATTGAGCGTAATGTCGCACTCCAGACAGTCGCGAAACAACTTAAGGAAGAGAATGAACTTCTCAAAGCCGAGAATGCATTATTGAAATCTGAGAATAGCTGTCTGAAGGCTCAACTAGCCGCGAAAGCAAACAACCTCTTCCAAAATGGCGGGGAAACGTCCCAACAAGGCCAAGGCCTGGCTGCCCCTTCGATTCCATCCGAAAGTTCATTCAGCGCCTCGACAAAGAGACGGAAGCGACGTGCCAATGATGAGATTAGTGCGGATGGGATTCCCATATCGGAGACTCGGAAACGGTCAAAGTCCACGAATCGTACGTCACCTTTTGATACAAACCGAATATTTCCATAAAGACACGAACAATAATGGATCCCTATCTAGGCACAACATCAGTAGGACCCTCCGAAAGCGAAGCCACTTCGCAAACAATTCAATTACCTCATGTTTCTGCGGTCCCACTCCGTTCTCGCCGTTCTTGCCGTTCCCCAGCTTTCTCTCAGAAATACTGGCAATGGCACGTAGAGACCATCTCCGTCCCGCCTTCGGACCCCTTCGAATCAGTGGTCGACGAGAACTGCACGGGAGATCCCTCTAATTGCCCGGCCTGTGCCGACATTCCTTCAAATCAAGCATTCTGTGCTGCTCTGGGGGATGTATTTGGTGGCGTGCAAGCAGATGCCGAGATTCGGCGCGCAAGTCCTTGTCCATCAGGACCTCCTGATTCAGCCTCTGCCGTCGATGATGTGACACATGAATCTCCGCACAAGGCAGTAGCCCGACGTCCTACGCCTCCCATCTCCATACCTATCTCATCGCTGTGCTGTGGCGATCCCAAGTTGTGTGGTGGCGGAAATTGTGGACCACATGCTCTTCTCCCTCCAATCCTCTCTATCGAGACATCTTCGGTGTCTACGCTCACCAGCCCTCAGCAAAGTGCGACAGTCTACAGTGTTGACTGTAGTATATCAGGGAGGAGTCGGGAAAGCACTCTTTTCTTTCCACCCATAACTACAAATCAAGATGACCAAAGTGCTTCTCTGGGAAGTAATGCCACAATCCCCTGCAACCATGCTTGGGCACGACTTAGTGCTCACCCAAATATCGATTCCGCTGATTTAATGTTACTCGCAGAGGTCGTAGCGTGCAGAGACCACTTACGAGTCGAATCTAATGCTCGTGACGAGGTGGATAATGGTGATAGTAGCGGCCGTGCTGGCCGGAGGGAGCGGGTGGTGAGGGTTACTGAGGAGGGATTGAAGGATGCCTTGACGTTGCTAGATACGATTGGTTCTAGTAGATCACAGCTGTGAAGATACATAATTATTGTTTGTTTTGATACTGCCATTAGGCTTTTGCCCCTTGGCTAAAATGGGCCGCTCGTTGGTTGACAGCTCTCATTCTCCATACTGATAATAAAGATATGGATACGTATATCGTATATTAAACTACTCCCTATCGTCCCCTTGAGGTGTGCCCTCCCTGGGCAACCCCGAAATCCACTTCGCCATCTTTTCCAGCTCCCTTTCCGCTGCAGGACAGCAGATGCCCACAAGACACCAATCATGAAACATCTCTGGCTCCACGCTAACTGTCACCCAAGAACCACGTTTCTCGCTCTTCCTCCCTTCTTCGATGGCCTCTATGTCCTGGACTTCCTCGCAGTCTTTCCGAATCCGTTCAGCAGTAAGTATCACCTCATCATACAAGACCTCCTTTCCTCCTATGGAAAAATAAGCTCTCGGGTAATTCCCAAATGAGCATGCTTCTTGCTCCAATGATGTCGAGTGGTTCGCTTTGGGATCCTCGCCGGCTTGGGAAGGTGGACGCCACGCAAGGTCGAGAGATCCAGGAGAAACATAGGGATTCCGAGCAGCTTCTTCTTCCGTCATAGTTACGCCCCTAAACGCCTTTGACCCATGAGCAGATGGCGTTGCATCCGTTCCGCGTTTAATTATGTCAGCCTTCCGATTCCTCACAAAAGAACAGTTTTCTCCATACGGAGATTTGTCAGGCCAGTGCGTGCACCCGACGTCGCACCAAGGGCTCTGCAGCAAGATCGCCCCTGGTATAAGATTTGCAGAAGAACTAGCATTTATAGCGGGTCGGTCGGAGGCGAGGTCTCGGAGATAACGAGTAAGACAAAGGGCAATATTTCCACCTGCTGAGTCACCGGAGAGGATGATGTTGGATTGATGAAAACCGACAATATTGACGAGATAGAGATACGCGCTAAGAGCGTCTAGTGCCTGGGTTGGAAATGAATTACATAGCTTGGGATGATGTGGAGGGGCGCGAGCGAGGCGATATTCGATGGAAAGGATACGGCGGACAGGATGAAAAGGTTGCTTTGAGCAATGCGATAGGAGACTACGAGGTAGAGCGCTAAATGAGGATTTCGGCTGAGCTGAGCCCATCTATTGACGTTGAGTCATGAACACAGAATGAAACAAGATAGTAGAAATGAGGAACGTACAATGTATGCGCCTCCGTGGAAATGAAGTACGACCTTCTCCCCAGGATGAGGCTTATGGTCGCCCAGTCCACCCTCCAGACGCTCACCCCACCAATACCCAATAACAGGGGCAACATCGACTTCATTTTTTTCCATCCACTCCTTGAGAACCCCACGTATTTCATTGTCGCTTATGGCAGGAATCTCAACAACTCGCGCCTCATTTCCATTCTTCTCGAGCTGTTTGTTCGAAGGCGGAGGCTTGTCGTCCTTTATCATAACAGAGAATAGCCCAGTCTGAGTACTGACGGTTTCGTAAACCCTTATAATTTGAACGGCGACTGTAAACCAGAGCGGCCAAGTGGCTGAAGGTCGATGGGATGAGGGTGTATACCAGAGAAACCATGGTAGGATAGAAACAACGACGCCGAGGACAACGATTACGAGATAAATAGTTTTTATTGGCTGGTAGTGATATGGGAAACCCATTGTGGAGAACGGTCTCCGTGGCTCAGCTAGGATAAGCACATGAGTTTTGGGAACCTGGCGGAGTCTTTGAGAGAGCCGGGAATGACATCATAGCGGGAGCGACGGTTCCGCTATCTGAATCATCCTCGGTCTCAGTCTGAGAATAGCTGTACGCGGCAAACACCCAATACATTACAGGCCACGAGTCAAAAGCATCGATGACTGCTGAGGGAGACAATAAACGAAGCAAATGAAGACAGTTGGGAGGATTAGGACGCCACTGAACAAAGTGATTAACGATATAATGCTGTTGGACGGAACGGACTTTTATGTGATGTGATCTCAAGGTTCCGGAGAGCTGACATTGTGTAAGTGCAATGTGATATATGACAATGAGTACGGAGTGGCCTCCGATAAGAGACACGCATGCCAGTGAATAGACCCTGCGCTGTTGACTCTAGGTTTGGCAAACAGACATAAGCGAAGCAGTAATCGGTAACCGTACCCCGAGGGTTTTATAATCAGTCGTGGATGGTCCGGTGTTGAGCCGAATGCCATGTGAAAGAACAGTCGAAGCAAGACCGCATGAAGAGAGTATGTCTTTGGACTCAGTGCCATTTTCCTTTTACTATCCACGCCATCCATTTGGACGGCGTCTGAACGAGAGATCAGCGAGCAGCACATCGTAGTAGTGGGCTCTTGGGACTCCAATTGAGGGCCCCACTTGTTTGAGACCCACGACTGTGGTGGTGAGTTAGGACTGACGAGACATGTGCGACCGATCTGTACTGCATTTGAAACGATCTACTCCGTGGCCGCAGAAGCGCGCCAGCAGCATAGCAGAGGCCATAAACATGAAGACTGACGAATGGAGAGTTGCACTTCCCACGACCTTCAAATTGCTCATCGAAAGCATTAACAACTGGCACACATTGGTATCCCCTTTGCATCGCAGGTGTGAGGTGTGGGCTGGGAAAGACCTCAGGCTCTATCCCAGTGGGGAGAGGCTCTTTGTGGTCGATGGCGGACGTTGACGGAGGCACGCTGGAAGCGACCAATGCAAAAGTCACAGACCTATCACGGACCGTGGTGCATATGACACGCTGCTTACTTATTTCCAAAAGCGCGCGTCCGTGACTTGAACCTTTTACAACCCTTCATAAGCGATCTACACACATCTTTAAACATTGCATGCTGAATAGAAATGTATGGGGTGTCCTGATTGTCGACAAAGTGCACAACCATCCATACTTGTCATTGTGAATTTCGACCACAATTTCTAACACCAGATTTCCGAGTGGAGACGGCGGTGTGGGAAGATACAAGATGCGGCCGTCACTCTGGTGTCCCAGATCAGAGGTGTTTTTTAGACGATCCAGTTCCACAATTTGCTCTGAGTGTGCCTTTTTGATCGCTGATGGAGCCGTAGGGGACATACCTAGCCATTCTCTTACGACAAATGAAACCACGATAGGAATTAAAACAAGTCGCGTGCACCGCCTTCGATTTATCTTACACTAGAATAATGTTGCAATGTGGGATATGTACATGGTTATGAAGGACGACCCAGTTGTAACGATAACAAGTCATTAATTTGTGGACGCTCTGTTTTATCTGTCGTTGACGACATTGACGCTCGTAGTTTGGGGAGAAAAGGGAGAAGTGGCAAAAAGGCAAAAAAAAACTGCGGCACTCAGGATTCCCATGTAGTCCCCTACCATGGTACTAACTGAGTGGTACCCAGCTTAACTTCGCAGATCAGACGGGATGTGGTGCTTTCCGAGTCCTATGGCCGCAGATGGCCTGTGCTGTAATCCCACCCCTGATGGATATCGATACCGCTTGTGGCAGTCCGTCATTAATGGAGCGTGGGTGCGGTCCTCGGGACAGCTGAGACGAAGGAGGGTTAGAATTCGAACGAGCAGCTGGGGAGAGAGAGAACCGTTGACCTATATACATGCTTTCAATCCACTTGTCTTTGTCCGCCAACCCCCTAGATATTGATATTCATCAGACGTGGGAATACGACCTATGCCATCTGCGGCCATAGGACTCGGAAAGCACCGCATCCTGTCTGATCTGTGAAGTTAAGCTGAGTACCACTCAGTTAGTACCATGGTAGGGGACTACATGGGAATCCTGAGTGCTGCAGTTTTTTCATTTTAGTTTACCTTTTGCCACTTCTCTCTTTTCTTCCCAAACTAGAGTGCTTGCGCTTCGCGCTTTGCTTGACTCTGCACATGTTTCCTTTCACCTGTCCCAGCATGAATCTATTTCTATTTTTTTCAGTTCATTTCACGAATACTCATACTTAGGCTATAAAAATATGTGTTTAATTGGAATGCAGACATCTGACAAACACAATCCAATTTTTCCAGTCATTGTCACGACCGACAAATCCCGGGGCTCCGTCAGTGGCGAACCAATGCCGATAGGCGAATCCGCCGACCCGAAACCCATCCTAACCAGCCCCCAACCCCATGTCTGGCCCCCTGCCTTACTGCTTCCTGAGCCCTTGGCGCTCCCGGCATTCAGTCATGCCTGCCTTGTCTCCATCTGAACCACACTCATCGCTTCCCGCTATGTGGTCACAGCCATGCCCCGCTTCCGTGCATTCCGCACCCTCTGCCCACTCCGCACCCTCTGCCCATCTCTGCACCTTCTGGCCACTTCTGGTTGCCCTTGACACCTCTGGTCAGGTCAACACTCACACTCCCCTCTGTACCTCTGTTGGCCTTCATGCTGTCCCTGTGTGACAGTGCTGGCAGATCAACCTCTGTTTGCGGACTTGTGTCGGCACCGCACCGACCCCGCTTATTTGCGGACTTGTATCGGCGCCGCGCGCTGACCTCCGCTTTTCCTCTGGCCATTTGTCACTTGGCAGCTTATCATTCATTCCTTGCCGAGTGCCATTTATTGTTTGCTTCCCTGCCAATATCAGCATTTGATCCCCTCTTTATTGGCACTAGGTTATTGATCTCATTCAGTTATTCATCAATAACCCTTGCCACTTATTGTTTATTGATCTGTTCCTCGTTTCCAGTTCCCGGGCTCTTGTCCTTATTTAGTTTGACAATCCCCGCTTATCTCCGCGCCGGACTGACCGGCCTTTCTATATTCCCTCTTGCCTATTTATCTACCTTGTAAATACTTTCGGGGACCCCAGTCTGAAATCAACTAGAGTACCCCCCCTGTCTGGTCTGAGTTCCTCCTTCTGCAAAGGGGGCTTCCCCCCTCTGAGTCCGTGCTCGCGGAGTCCGCGCTCCTCCTATAGGTCCGCTCCGCCCGCAAGTCTTGTTTGAAGTCCACTGTAAGTGTCAGTTTGTAAATACGGGATCTCCCCCAAACGTCAAGCTCAGGGCACAGCACTCCACCTGAGTCGCTGAGGCCGCGATCCCATTCTGCTAACTCTGAACAGCGCTTCCGGACGCGCCGCATAATTCCGCCCGCATATCCGCGCGCACGCTCCAACAGACCTCTGCATCACCTCCGACCCCGACTCAGACAGAAACCCATTCCGTCTTCAGTCCGTCTTCTGACAGTCTGCCTGACTCTGGCAATATTCCTCACTCTGACAATATTCCAGACTCTGACAGTACTTCCGACTCCGACAATAATCTAGATCTCTGACAGTCATTCGGAGTCTGGAATTATAAAGGCAAAGCAAAAAAGAAGGTGGTATGACAACAAATCACAGTGGAACCAGCATATGCCTTCACGGACTACCATGCACAAGGACAGACGATGTCATGGAATACCTGTGGTCAGACATAGGAACATCACCAAGCATGTTGACACCTTTTAATGCATGCATGACATTGTTGCGTGCAAGAGGAAAAAAAACCATATGATTAAGCCAAGACTTTAAGGACAAGAGCTGAGTGGGAGCGGAAATGGTGGAAGGAAAGTAAAGGGAGAGAAGGGACAGGCGAGATGACGTAAAAGTAAGCATGTAAAGAAAAGGAAACAACCCAAAAGGGAAGATGATGACAAATTTTCAGCGTCGCCAATTGCGTAATATCGGGAGTGGTTAGTGACTCTGTGTGCAGAGTAACTACGAACATCAATGTCGTCAACGACAGATAAAACATAGCGTTCTCAAATTAACGACTTCAATCTGATTGCCCGTGACGTCACCCATGCTATCTAATCACTGGAGTCGTCTCTGCAATCGGAGATCGATTCTTCTAGTAACTGGATCCTTCCATCGCGCAAGTATTCTTCTGAACGGTATCTGTGAGGCCCCGGCCCATGTCTATATTCCGCCCACAACATCAGTTGATGTTGTGTTGTGTAATAATTATGTCGCGACGCTAATTTAGCGTCGCGGAAGCTTCTCTATTTATTTGTGCCGAGAATGTATAAGATTGTATATAAACCCTCGGGGTAGCTGTAAAAGGCAGATTAGCCTTTACTTCTACCCCGTCAATATACAGCCAAATCAAGCGTATACTTAGACGGATTACTGAGGCCTGAGGCGAACGGGGGAACGGAACATTACCGTCCCCAAACCAGTAAGACAACCTTTCACTTTTTTACGCTCTTATTCTCTTTCCATTCTCGGCACCGCGTTACCGGCGCCGAAACCCCATTTGGCAACGCGCGCGTCGTCGGCCCCTGACAACGCGCGACTTCGATCAAGTTCTCATGCGAACTTGTTGAACAACTCGACACCTCTTCTGGATGTCGTGGAGATACAACACCAGGAGCACGTCCAACGCTCCCGCCAACACGGCCGGCCCCTCCACTAGCCGTAGGGCGGAAGACGACACCACCTCAAGTGATGGTGGCGATCTGGGCCTGCAAGGGCCCAGGGACGCGTCTCAGACGCGTCCCACCTATATGAGAGACGTTGACAAAGTCACAACGTCTGAAGCCCTCGCAGCGGAGACTCTCGCGGCATTCGTCCCAATGCGCGCGTCGCGTCCTCCATCCCCAACCCACTCCCTCGTGTCTGAAACGGCGCGAGTACTAAGAAATCGCGTCGACCAAGTTGACGATGACATCGCCGACTTGAGAGGCGATGTCCGTAACATGAATACCCAGATCTCTGGGAATAGCGACAACATCGCTCGTCTAGATCGTAACATCATTAAGGTGGAGGAAAGACTTAATGAGAAACTTAACGAAATTCTCCTCGCGCTCTCTCGACGCGACGAGCCAAAGCCACCCGCAGCAACGGTGGATAACCCATCTGCAAACCCTCCAGTGAACCCAACAACGGGTGGAAACCCCATCGTCGTCTCTGACCAGACGAAAAAAACCGCTGTTGAGGCGCAAGCGCCCCAAGAGGTCCCTGTAGTCCCCGTTAATCAAACGGGTCAACAAATCACTAAACCCGCTGTGGAGGCGCAAGCGCCCCAGGAGGTCCCTGTAGTTCCCGTTAATCCAACGGGTCAACCAATCAGTGGGGTCCCCATACCTGGAGGGATCCCCACTGTCTCTGCCGTCGTCACAGAGGCGACAAGTTCACGCGCGTCTGTCGAGGTACAAGAATCTGACGGACGTTTTGTTCCTATCTTTAGTGGAACTAAGCCACCTACCCCGTCGATGGCGCCAGTAACCACTGACGCCAAAGGAAAGGGTAGGGAGATCGACCCAGGACAACTGGCTGGATCATCGATTACAGGGGAGAGTGGAACTTCTCCATTCCATTTCAGGCCAGGCTTCGTGCCGGCGCCGTTCATTCTGTCGTCCCAACCCACGAACAGTGGGGTGAAGATACCAAGCGTTGACGCTACTCAAATGCGTAATTTCCCTCCCGACCACGGGAGAAAGAAAGCAGTGCCGATGAAGGCCACTGTGGAGACGATACAAGAGGAAGACGGTGACGCGGAAGCCACCAGTGTTCCGTACGATTACTACGCACGGAAAAAACGCCCGATCTACGTCCAGGATCGTGTAGATGACATTGGCGGACAGCCCGCCAAGGTCAGACCTATCTTCGCTAAGCGTAGTCTCAGCGAATCTACTTTTGACTTTAACGCCCGTCTGGATGCAGACGCAGCATTCGTATACAATGTGGGTCGTGGGGCAAACGGTGAAGACCCCGAAAGACTGTCCCACGGCACAGCACTCAGACGAGTGCTGGATAACTACCACCGATTCTCACAACCGCCTGCGGCTCCAGAAGGGGGCAAGAGGCGTGTAGACCAAGTTAGGTCTAACTCGGGAAGAAGGCCCCGCCGTCCGAGTGGCGATGGTGATGACGAGGATGGTGGCGAGGGTGGCTCGTCCTGGCCCAACCCACCATTTCCTGACCTATTTGGCACCGAAGCAAAACGGGAGCCTTCATCCAACTTTCCAAACCGCTCGTCTGTACGACCCGGTTTGTTTGACTCAACCATGCGTTCATACGCAGCACCGGCGGCACGAGTAGTGCCTGATCCATCTGAGTTCATGACTCAGCTTCTTGAATCTGCACGCCGAAGTGTGGAGGTCCGAATCCTGCAGCCACTGCCTGCAGATGTACGCCCAGAACTGCTCAAGAAGATGCAGGGACTGACTCCGACCATCAAATGGTCTGGAGAGAATAACTCGAAGATATTCCACAACTGGCTGCACTCCTGGCTAGCCTATATGTCGTCGTGTGGGTGGAAGGGTGAAGCTTACAACGAGTTTCACGTCCACACTTTGACAACCGCCGTTGAAGGCGAGGCACAAGACCTCCTGATGCACTATATACGCATTGGAGTGCAGAACGGGGTAACCCCCCCATTCTGGGATCTACTAGAGATCCTTATCTGCACCTTCATCAAGAAGTCTGCAGCAGTAGCATCCACGAAAGCGTTCAAAACGCTTTCATACGATTCCGCGAAGGGAATCAAACACTTCTATAACCAGCTGTATCGTGCAGCTGGGGAGATGATCACGCCTCCTGACCAGGCAACGTTCAATGAACGTTTCCTGAACGCCATCCCTGGCGAAATGCGTCGGGAGATGGTTATGCGCCACGACATTTCCGTGGACTACACAACGAAAGACGAGTTGTGGACCGCCGTGCTCCGCCTGGACCACGCATACGATTCAATTAAGGCGATCTCTGCGTATCGTAACGACTCGCAGGCGCCGGCCGCGTCAAAAACGACGCAAAAACAAGCCAACGCCGCAGCAGCACCCAAAAAAGCTGCTGATTCTTCGTCCGCCAAGAAAGTGTACAAAAACACATTCGGGGGAAACACGTCAGCTCTGAAGAGCGGACAACGCCCAACCTTCCGTGCGAGCTATTCGCCGGCTCCAAAAACAGAGAAATCGACGTCGTCTCCAGCGACGAAATCGACGCCATCCTTGGATAAGGATGGGAAACCGCGTTGTTTTAAATGCGGGAAAATAGGCTATCAACGTGATTGCCCAAATCACGACAAGCCCAAACCGCGCATGTACAACATAGCGGTCGAGTCTGACGAACGAGACCTACAGGACTCGGTGCCTGTAGAAGAACCAGAAGATGTTGAAGATCCTGCAGAGGTGCAGGACTATATGGCCGACGATGAGGCGTTCGACGATAAACTCGTGGACGACCCATACGATCCCAACCTCCTCGCTGAGGCGGAGGAGGAGTACGTAGAAGTGGACGCCGACATGTTCGTCGGTGCTATGACGTTCATGGATCCCACGGACGAAAACTTCTCCATTAAATTAGCGTCTGCTCGGCAAGCAGACAAACTGCCATCTGATGAGCAGATAGTAGCTGAGCTTGTCGACGACGCGGTAAAGACCTACAAAAGGGACGGTGTTATACCGGTCCCAAAATCTTCATCGGGGAAACCGTCAACGCAAAGTGTGACGAGTTCTTCAGTGCCTAACAAGCTTCTGAAGAAAATCCCGCCAATATTCGACGCGAAGTTTAGAATCTCACGAGAGGCGGGTAAATACCCTGAAAACCGCAGCGCCGACTTAAGGCGGACGCTCACCGGCGAGGTTAACATCGCCGGGGTAAACGCTTTTGTCCTATTTGATAGTGGCGCTGAAACAGACGCCCTATCTCCAGATTTTGTCCGAGCAGTTCACATTCCACTGCTCGAGTTGCCAAACCCCTTGGTTCTCCAGATGGGGACCAAAAACAGTCGTTCGTGCATAATGTACGGCACGAATACTCCCGTAACCATTCACGGGGTTATGTCTACTCACTACTTTGACGTCGTCAACATTGACCGCTACGACACCATTCTCGGGGCTCCGTGGCTGAATGCCAACGGAGCGTCCCTCAATTTCGAAACTCACACCGTCCACATAAAGACGGGCGACATCAAAACGTTTGATGTCCTGACGGAACGGGGTAAAACCTCAGTGGGGGCTGCTGCACGCGGTCGCCCCAAACTTCCCCGTGCACCGAGATCCGAACTGTCATCTAAACAGACGGCATGACGCAATACGGCGAAGGCTGGAAACCCTTCGCCACGCATCCTTGCCATCTCCGCTCAAAAAGACGCGGATACCTCCCAGTGGCCCAATCACTGGCCAAGCCCGAGGTCGAAAGATCTCAGGCTTCCCGACTGTTCCCATTTAGAAGGTCTGCCAATGACAGACCCTGAATTCGTGCCACTCAGGAATTGGTGGCGTGAACGTTTCAAAGACGTCATGGCGCCAGCCCCTGAGGTCCTACCTCCGTTCAGGGAGGTTAACCACCGGATCAACTTGATTGATCCGAATAAAAAATATATAGAAAGAAGGGCTACGTGCCCTCAGGCTCTCGAACCGCAGCTTCGAGAAAAGATCGCTCGTTATGAGCGAGCCCAATGGTGGGAACGCAAGGCGGTCGCAACGGCGGCTCCACTTCTTTGTCTTGCAAAGAAGGACGGTTCTTTACGGACTGTAATCGATGCGAGAAATCGCAACGCGAACTCCATTCTCGATGTCACGCCCATGCCTGACATGCGTTTCATCATGGATAGTATGGCTCGGGTAACTTATCGATCAAAGATCGATATGACAGACGCGTACGAACAGATTCGTATCGAACTGGACTGCGTACAATACACGGGGATGAGTACCCCGTACGGTACTTTCATATCGAACGTGCTGCAACAAGGGGACTGTAACGGCCCTTCC